TTTGAGCCTCAATTCCTTCATCTTTCAAAGGAGCACAGAGCCCTGTTCCAACTCAGATGGTGTCTGTTGGATTTTGAAAGGTACTGTACATTGGAATGTGCATTAGCAGACCAAGGCTTGGCAGGGTCCCCACGGTTCTTAAAATAGTGCTCTCTCCATTAGGTGGGCAAGTCCATCATTTTAATATATTAAAGTGAGAGCCTGCACAACACTGCTCCCCGTTTGTTCCTTCCTTCCTCCTCTGCACGTGCTTCTTGAGCCAGGCTGCTGAGCCTGACAGGGTGTGATGGGACCTGGACTGTCAGACACTGCTCAGACTGTAAAAAGTCACTTCCTCTCCTTTCAAATAAACATCACACACCCCTCAGATGACACATCCCCCTCTAGAAGCAAAGCTTCCAGGGACTAGATGGGGCAGCAGACAAGTCTTGCTTACTTCTAGAAGTCCCCTTGTGCAACATCCCTTGGCAGGCAGATTCAGAGTGGCCACTCTAATCGCCAGAAATGGCAGAAGGTTAGCACCAAGTGCCAGGTTCCCAGCCCGAACCATCCTGTCCATCTGCCCCATTGCCAGCCCTCATAGCATCCAATACTGGGGTTTCAGGCTCCTGTGTGGGGCCCCATCTCCCTGCAGAATGCCCTTGACCAGTTCCAAACCATTGGGAATGCTGGCTTTGACCTCTGTTTGTGTATTTCTAAGCCTAACAAATATTTACTGAGCATTTTGTAGATGGTATGCAGTGGTATTTGTAAGCAACAATTAATCAGTAAGTAAAACCTATCCTGGCCCTCCCTGGTGGTGCAATGGGTTAGGACACAGCACTGCAAGCTGGCTGCAGCTGCTTCAGTGCTAGTTCGATCCCCGCCCAAGGGTGACCACATGGCGCGGCAGACCTCTCCTGACCCACCCGCTGCTCCCCATCAGCAGTGTACTTTGTTGATCTGTCTGTTTGCTCCCCACTCTGTCTCTGGTGAATCCTCTCACCACCCCTGCATCTCTGGCCTGTACCCCAGTTCTGTATGCATGAATAAATAAATCTTAAGAAAAAAAAAAACACATCCCTTAGAGTTTTATTTGATTCTCAGCATTTCCATTTGTCAGATGTGGAACTTCAGGGAAATTACTTAATTTCTCTGAGCAGTGGAGTCTTCCCGCGGCAGATGGGGTTATGAATGGCTAGCTCATGAGATGTGATGGTTAAAAAATAACTCTGTGCCTCTGGCTTCCTTCCATCCCCCCACATAAATAGAAGAGTCCAGACATTTTTTACCTGACTATATGTAAAGCACTGAACTGGGCAGTATGGGAAACTTGGGGGAGGGGAGCTAATGTTCTATGGCCTTCGGGATGTGTTTTTTTCCTTCCAGAAACAACCCCTGCACCTATTGTGTTTCCCTATTTCCTCTTGGCAGCCCCCAGCTCCAGGCTGAACCCTGCCACAGACAGACCCTTCTCTAAACTAACCTTCTCCTCTCCACAGGGGCCTGGGTTCTCAGGATTCCTGTGGGACACAGCGGCTGGGGTGGAGCTAAGGGATGCTGCCTGGCAGGAGAGCTCGCCCAGCAATGGGCACGGAAAGCCCACAGGTCCCAGCCCATACCTCGCCCGGTTCAAGGTAGTTGTCCATGTTGCTGAGTGTCCATTTGTCCTAAGGCAAAGAAGCCCTTTCTAAATTGTGAGCCAGAGAAGCCTCACCTTTTTATCTTGCTCTTATTCTCTCTCAGGCTCAGGTCAGCACATACTCTGGGGGTTTCTGTGTCTGGTAAACTTGTCTAGAGCAGGAGTGAGAAGGATTTGTGGGACTGTAGCTCCAGAGCACCCATAATTTGACAGGTGGTCAACCCCTAAACCTGACACACATTAGAACCACCTGGGAAGATTTTCTTAGAGTCAGGACTCCCCAGGTTCTACCCAAACATACAGAAGTTCTGGGGTAGAGCCCAAGGTGGTATGTTTTTCTAAAACAACCTCAGCACCTCTTTAGTCCTCCCAGTATGAGTTAAGGAGATTGGGCATTCGGAAATTTTGAGATTATGGGGCAGCAGATTTCTGTTATTACCAGAGGAAAGGGTCACTTGGAATTGGAGAGGTTCAGGGTGAGCTTCTATAATGGCTGGGCATCCGATAGCTACCATCTCCAGAGGACCCCTTCCCCCAGAGTCAGGAACAGCAAGCAGACTGAAGTCTCTCTGAGTCCCCCAGAAGTCCCTGGGAGGTGTTAATGAATAGCAAAATGATCCAAAGTCAGCAACAGGAAGGAAGGATAACTGGGCCGAAACTAGTCACTAAGTCAGCGATCAATCTAACTCATTCCCATGGCCCTTACCTGTGAGCTGGGCATTTAAGTCCACCCTGCTTCTTTGTGCTTCTGAGCAGTTCTAGAGCCTGAGAATTTCTCAAACCCCCGCACAGTTTCTGTCTGCAGGCACAGGGCTTGGCCCTGTGATCTGCCTGCTGGGCCTGCTTAACTCTGGTTGGGATCTAGATCACGCACCTGCCCCTATCAGGGGGCAAATTTCCAGTCCCTAAGTTGGGGAGTGATGGTCCGATGTTGGGGTGGACTGATCGAACAAGTTAGGTCTCCTCCTGCAAGTGCCTCAGGAAAACCTTCCAGCTGAAACCCCTTGCCTTAGTCCCCCCTTGTGTTAGGGAGCTAGCCTTGTTTGTTTACCCTGGTCAGGGTTGGCATGAAGCTGTTTAGAGTTGGAAGTTACTGATACAGAAATGAAACAGAAATGCATTAGCCTGTCCTTGTTGCTTTGTTGCCTATGCTCAGGTAGGAGGTAACGACTTGACCCTTGTGAACCTTCATTTGGCAACCCTGGCCCTCCCAGGGGCTGATAATCCAAGCAAGAATCACAGTGATGGCCACCGCCTGGCTGGCTTTGCCCAGACCCTGCAAGAAACCCTGAAAGGTAAGAAATGGTCTTGTGGCTCAGCCAACAACTCCCAGTTGTGCAGGGTAGGCAGGGTTGCCTCTTCCTGCCTCTCTTTGATCTCTAGGATGGCTCTTCTGCAGCAGCAATGCGGATGTATGGAGGGCACAGGAGACATACTATCCCCTATTGGCATGGAGTCATGCACCCCCAACCTCTGTGCATGGGGGCACCCCTGTCTCAGTGAGCCTAATGCATGGGTCCCATAATGTCAGCTCTGCTGCTCTTTTTGATGAAAAGGATCAGAAAAAAAAAAAAAAATAAGTGTTGACACTCAGCACCATGACAGCTGCTCCTGGCTGGATTCAGCTGGTGTGGGTGAGCCACGTGGCAGTGCCACCTGCAGATTTACACATGATCTTCCTTTAAAGAGAGTCTTTAGAGTCAAGACAGGGAAGTCCCAGTTAGTGGTGAACTGAGTTTTTCTCTCGTAGGGAAGGGGCCTAAAGTGCTCAAGAAAGCTGAGTTCTAATCAGCTTCTTTTGGAAGCTGTTGGGCCTTGGGCCTCAGGCATGTCAATTCGCCACACCAAACCCTCCAGCTGATGGGGAGCCCACAGGGCTAACCTCACAGGGGTGCCAGAGGGCTGATAGCTGTCCCTGCAGCTCCCAAGCACACAGTCGGTGCTCAGACTGGACACTGGAAAGCCTCACAGGAGCTGAGGAGAAGGCAGGCCCTCTGTTTCCCAGGCTTTGCTTCCTGAAGTGTTTCTGCATGTGGTTTCCCAGAAGGAAAAGTTGACATGGCTGTAAAGACGGGTATATTTTCAATTTGTTTGGTTGTCAACTCTGACTTCTAGGTGAGGGTTCACAACTGGAGACCTGTAATTCTCTTCCATGTTCTTCAGTCTCTGTCAATATTCTCTTATCTTCCTAAACCTTTTCTTGTTCAATTGGCTACTCACAGTGGGTGATTTTATGAAGATTTGGCTAAAAGAATAGTTCAGCCAAACTAAAAATATATATTTTAAAAGAATTTTTGAGTGTAGTAAAATACACATAACATAAAATTTACACCTTAACCACTTTTATGTGAACAATTCAGTGGCATTAAGTATACTCATGGTCTTTCACAACCACCCTCACCTCCTTCTCCAGAACTTTTCCCAAACTTAAATTCTACCCATAAAACAACCCTCTATCCCCAACTCCTGACCACCACCATTCTATTCTCTGTCTCTGTGGATTTAACTACTCTAGGTTAAGATAAAATCGCAGAGTAATTATCCCTTTGTGTCTGGCTTACTTCACTTATATTATGTCCTGTGGTATGTTCATGTTATAGCATGTGTCAGAATGCTCTTGTTTTTAAGACCAAATACTGTTCCATTGTGTTTGTAGTTTATATACATATTTAAAAATAGATAGACATATATAAAATATGTAGTCATATCAAGTCTAGATGCATAAATATAAATATATATGTAAATATGTACATGCATATGAATAGAAGGAATGTGTTTCTTTATTCATTGGTCATTAGACAGTACCGTTATCATTCTGCAACTGTTGTGAGTAACGCTGTGCAAAGTCATATATTGAGCCAGGATGTGCAAAGTCATATATTGAGCCAGGATGAGCTGTGACCAATATTCTATTTAAATTATGAGTCGTTGGGCTAAAAAAAAAAAAATAGTTAGAAAAGTGTGAAAGCTGATATACTCCATCCAAGAAGCAGCTGTGTGGAAAATTATTCACTCAGTGAGTCTCTAACCTACTAAGAAGGCTGATTTGGTAGATTTAGAAATCTGTGGTTATTTGTGATTGTTCTCTATCTTTTCCTTTTCTTTATGTGGCTGAAGAAAAGAAAGATCACAGTTCATAACTTCTCTGATAACTTCAGAACACACTCACACTTTTTTCCCTGATATCCAGGAAGTGGTCAGGTTTTGTCAGAAAACCTGGGCAGGTTATTGTTCCAAGTTGCCAAGGAACTATTGATCAATAGCCTGACTTAGCCTTGACATGTCCAGATATGGACAATGACTCATGTCTCCGGTGTCCACCTGCTTGTAACTAATATCCAATTAATTGTTAACTGTCACAGGATTGAGGAAACATCAAAGCCTGCCCACAGTGCAGCAAGAATAAATCAGTTAGCAGAGGTGGTTCAGCTAAATGCAGACTAAGTCTTCATTCTATGGGCTTCTATCAGAGCAAACAGAACCATTTGATTAGCAAAATCTGGGCTTTTCTGGCATAAAATGTGTTTCAGTTGACATCAGCAGGTCCTCTGGTGGAATTTTCTTCTTTAAGACCCCACCAAGGGGCCCTCCCTGGTGGTGCAGCGGGTCAAAGCACAGCACTAAGAAGCTAAAGCTACTTCCACATGAGTTGGATCCCCACCTGCCCCAGAGGTGACCCACATGGCGCAGCAGGCCTCTCCTGACCCGCCCGCTGCTCCCCTCAGCAGTGTACTTCAACTATCTGCTTGTTCTGCTCCCCGCTCTGTCTCTGGTGATCTGGTGAATCCTCTCACAGTCCCTGTACCTCTGGCCTATACCCCAGTTCTGTATGCACGAATCAATAAATCTTAAAAAAAAAAAAAAAAAGACCCCACCAGGGGTTGAGGAGAGGGCCTTGAATTCAGCAAGAGTGAGGCAGGATGCATGGCAAACATGATGTCTGTGCTGGGCCATTCCCTGGTGGGAACCACTCCTGCGATTGTCCCCAGCATTTTTTGCATCTGGGACTATCTGAGGAAATCAGCTGCAAATATTCTCCTCTGGCTTCTGGGAAGGGAACAACTGGGAAATCCACCCCAGACAGATGGCTTTCAGGAGAATTCAGGCCTCTACACATCTGTGGATTGTCAGAGGCAAGTCCAGCCTTTATGTCATCACCCAGGTTAATTTGACAAAAAGAAAAACAATTATAAGAAACCTAGGTGTGCCCTTCAAAAAGAGCTGTTGTTTTCATCCTTGAAGTTGTGTAGAGGTGGATTTATTGACCTTGGACACCAGCATCTCTTCTGGATTTAGAATTGATTATTCAGCCCAAACTTTTTTCAAATCTGCCAGTATCAAATGGTTCTGTTTGCTCTGATAGAAGCCCATGAAATGAAGACTTAGTCTGCATTTAGCTGAAACATTTCTGCTAACCAATTTATTCTTGGTGCACTGTGGGCAGTCTGGGGCATTTCCTCAATCCTGGGGACATTTAACAGATAGCAATTAATTGGATATTAATGAAGTTGAATAAAAATTTCTCTTTTTATAGGGGACTACCTGCCTCAGTTTTCATAACTTATAGTCTTCCTTCATATTCAATAAATGTAGCATCTCTTTTTTCTTTCCTTTCAAATATAAACTTGCCATAATTCCGAGGTGCATCTCATACCTCATTAACCCATTTATTCCACATGTCAGCCATCACTGTTCCAGGCACTGTTCCAGGCACTAGGGATCTCCATGTGAACCTGCAGCTCTTCCATTCTAATTCTTGGTTAGGATCCCTACATTTGAAGACTGTCTCAGTGACTATAGACAAGCTATTCAACCTCTTATATTCTTAGCTTCTTCCCTGCTGAAAGGACTCTGCATACAGTGAGGACTCAATGGGCTGTCATAAGTCATTAACACCGGCCAGGTATGAGTTACTCATATTCTCAAGTTGGCTTTCCCCTTGGAGGTTGGCACTGACTTCCTGAGTGCTAAGGTTATTAAGATCTACCATGAGGGCTATGAATACATGTGTCTGTTGGCTAAAAATGGCTGCCAGAAAGGTTTGCCCTCTTCTCTTTGTCCCTCACACCCCCAGGATAGTGTTATCCACAGTGTACAAGTGCCCTCTGCTGGTGGCATGCACTATTTTTCACATTAGATGTCATTCCTGGTAGAGATATCAAAGAGATTTTGTGTGGAGTGTCATCCTCATTTATAAGCTGCCTTCTTTAAAGCCCTAAATTAAAGACTTGCAATATATTACTGTCTTTGCAAGGTATGACAGAAATGCAGCTCTTCTCGATAACCTCAAGACAGAAAGTGATGTCTGGCAGAGATAATAGGGGTTGTGAAGTCTACCTGGAGTCCACTGTTCTTTTAGGATGTGAACTCACTCTGGAAAATGTCCCCTGCTTGTCTCACTTAGTGTTCTGTAAATAAATCTGCAGAGAGAAATATTGAAAATGCATTAGAGAGAAATAACTTAGACCCGTTTTTACCTTTCTAGAAGTATTGTAAAAAAAAATCACAGATTTGATGGCTTCAACAACAAAACTATTTTCTCATGGTCCTGAAAGCAGAAAATCAAAGATTAAGAAGTTGGCAGGGTTGTTTCTTCCGAACAACCTCTCCTTGTATTACAGCGGCACCTTTTCCCTGTAGCTCTGTGTCTTTCCCTCTGTGTGTCTGTGTTCTAATCCTCTCTTCTTAGGACACCAGTCAAATTGGATTAAGGCCACTCTAATGGCCTCATTTTAACTTAATTACTTTTTTAAAGATCTTGTCTCCAAAAATAGTCACATGCTGAAGACTGGAGTAGAAATTATGCATGTAAATTTTTAGGGGGGACACAATTTGGTCTATATCAGGTCCCCAAATCACCTAGTAGGCCTCACTGATGTAATAACTAGCTTCTGCTAGATGTTTTTTTGACAAATTATTATTATCCTGAATCATAAAAATTGCAGGAAAGGGGCCTGAGCTCTCTGGTAGATGCCTGAATTAGGCACTTAACCAGTTTTTCTAATCTTGACAAAACTCCAGAGAATGGAGAATGGATCATTTTCCCCTCTCCCAGACCTAATGCCTGGTAAGAACTGGAAGTGGCAAGGCCAGGCTAGCACTCTCAAAGTCATCTGACTGCTTTCCTTTAAAACAGGGCCAAGACCATTGTCTTCCAATTCACGGCTCTTTGGAGTTTGTGTAGTTTGCAGCAACTCGCCATGACCACTAATCTTCACAGTTAGCACCAGTGGACAAGATTACACAGTTTTAAATATTGTGGGAAAAGGAGACAAAGCTGTCAATCTTTTAGAGAATGTAATGTCAGTTTGTTAAACTTAAGAAAAATTCTTTTAAAAAAATTAGTCCCTTTAAGAGAATGAAGAAAACTGTCAAATTGCACCATAATGTCTATCAACAAATGGGAGTTATACTGGGAAAAAACATAGAATCTCCTATTCATAATAAAAATTAAAAATATGGCCCTCCCTGGTGGCGCAGCGGGTTAAAGCACAGCACTGAGAATCTAAAGCCACTTCTGCATGAGTTCGATTCCCGCCTGCACCGGAGGTGACCACATGGTTTGGCAGACCTCTCCTGACCCGCCCGCTGCTCCCCTCAGCAGTGTACTTCGACATTCGGCCTGTTCTGCTCCCCACTCTGTCTCTGGTGAAGCCTCTCACTGCCCCTGAGCCTCTGGCCTGTACCCCAGTTCTGTATGCACAAATAAATAAATCTTAAAAAAAAATAAAAAATATGAAACTTAGATGTATGGTCATAAAATAAAGTGTAACACTTTGCTGAATAAACAAAGAAAAAGAGGCAGAGCAGGCTGTTGGGCAAGAAGGTTGGAGTCCATGTCTCTGTCCTTCCACATCTTGTATTTACTGCAGTGGCTGGAGAACTAAGCCCTTTGTTGCCCTGAGTGTGGTTCCCAAGCTTGACTGTACCTTTGGACCCCCGGAGAGCTTTAGGGAGACTGAGAACAGACTCACTGAAAACACTCTGAGTCAGAATCCCTGGGGGGAAGCTCTGTTTCTGGGTGGAACTTTGTGCTAATATTTCCAGAGACCCTTGCTGTGCCCAGGGCTTGCTAGGGCCTCTCTTTCCATACAAATGACAGCTTCTCTACTTCAATCCATTCTGCTTTCAAGGATTCCTACAGGATGCTGTGGTTGAAAAGAAAATGTCTGAAAGCTGATGATTTGAAGCAGACTAGGATGTTTTGATAAGTGAAAAACATAAGCAGGAACTTATATGGAAAGTTGCTATCATTTATGTGAATACAAATATGTACATCTGTTCATATGTCCTTAGAATATCCGATGGAGGCACAAAGAACAGGAAATGACTTTATCTGCTCAGCTAGGATGAGAATGTTAACTAAAGTTGATTTTTATTTAATTTAATTTTTTTTCCACAAAATTCCACAAGCATGAGAATATATAAACATTTTCAATGAAAGAATAACATTGAAAGATAGTAAAAGCTCAGAAATACATCAATAAAATAGAATGCAGCTCAGGAGCAAGTCACTGGTAATATGATATTTAAAGTGACAGGTATCACAATTGAGTTGAAAAGGAGGAATTTTCAAAAAATATTACAGGACAAGTTAGTTGTGGAGAAAAATGAGAGTAAATTCCAACTAGGTTAAAGTTTGAAATGTCAAGGAATGAAACCATAAATATTTGTATAATTTTGGAGGCACTGTAAAAAATTTTGTTTGTATTCTAAAAAAGAAGGTTTAAATTTCTGTAAACTTCAGTTTGATAATAGACCTAATGAAAAGGCAAATGGCAAGGTAGGCAATAAAAATTTCCTACATGTAATAAAGGATTGATATTCTTAATATGTAAAAAGTTACTGGAAATCAATGAATATGATGATAAGATCCTATACAAAGAATTGATACAAAGAACCTATGTTGCAAACAAATCTTGGATTCTTCTACCATGTCCATTAAAAAAGAACCAGAACTTCTCTGAGAAATGACTGATTCCAGGTCCTGGGGCAGGAAATGTGAACAAGATGATCCTGGAGCTTTTCTAATACCAGAAAGAAAGATGTTAAACAAAAAATGTTTTGGGAGTATGTCAGAGGAACACAGGAGTCCACAAAAGAGCTCCCAATGGCCAAATCTGACAATTTGAGCAACAAAACATTGGATTACTACTCAAAATACAAATATCTGTGAGTCCATACTGACATAAATTAATAAATGAGAAAGAAAAGTCCTCTGTGCAGAAGGATTCCAAATGATTTTGTAGATTCTCCAACCCAAAGAATGGGTGCATTTATTTTACCCTCAAATAGAAAGGATACCCCATTTTCACATACTAAGTTAGTTGTTAATGATTACATGTTGGCGAGGGATTCAGTGAGAGGAACTTGCTTAATGATGCTGGAAAGAGTTGAAATCAGAGTTAGAAAGGAGATTGTATCAAGCATTTTAACTGGGACACTATACTAAGGTCAGAAAGTAGATTCTTGAATGAGAATCAGTATTATTTACATCAATGAACATTGAGAACAGCCTGGAATATGGCAACAGCAGGAGATTGAGAAATCGTGTATTCAGCAGGTGGATGCTTGCAAAGAGCTGCTTACTGAATGCCAGAGAGACCCAGCCTCCACCCAGGTCCCCGGGAGTTAGAACACACCTTCCTGTCATGGGCTCACATTGCCAGCCTTCCTTCCTGGTATTCTACATTAGGAAAGCACCCAATTACATCTGGAACACTCCCAGCCCTCAGGAAACCAGACTGTTTCCAAACCTCTCTCCTCACCCAGGTTCTGCTCATCCTTCCTGGCCTGAGTGCTCCCGTGCACGCCCAATACCCAAATCAGGCACTGCCTCCTCAAGGGAGCCTTCCTGACCACCTTTCCCTGTGTTCTTTGGGCTCCTGGCACGTTTTTACATCTGTGCTCCACTCTCATTCTTTTCCTAGTCTGACCTTCCAATGAGACTGGGCTCCTAGAGAGCAGGGCTGTGTCTCCCATATGTAGGCCCCAAGTAGGTGCTCACTGAAAGTTTGTTGGGATTTTATTAAATATCTAAGACCACTAAGCCTTTTTTTTTTTTGCAGGAAAAACAAAACAAAAAACTAGAACCATGAGCTGAAACAGATATGACCTCTGCTTCACACACACACACAGACATACACACATACCATTTCCAGAGTTCTTCAGATTTTTTTTCCCTGTGATGGTGGTATGTGGTGGGGAAGGGTTTGGTGTTGCACAAGGGATTTTGAGATGTTGTAAGACTGAGAACCACATTGCTACCCTAACACTAGGGAATCAAATCTGAGTAGCACAGTCCCCCTTACAGTGTGCTGTGGTCAGTGTTTTAGTTCTACCACCTCTTGAGTTCCTGATTTTCTTTCTTCCATTTCCAGGGGAAAAAGACTTGATTGTTTTAGGGGATTTTGGCCAGGGGCCAGACAGCAGTGACTATGACATCCTGAGGAAAGAAAAATTCCACAACCTGGTCCCCGCACACACCTTCACCAACATCAGCACCAAAAACCCTCAAGGTTCAAAGTCTTTGGACAACATCTGGATCAGTAAAAGCTTGAAGAAGGTTTTCACAGGTAAAGCAGAAATCTCTCTTTCTCTTACTAAGAAATGGATTTCAGAAACCATTCAGGCAGGATGGAGCTTATGGATTAGCACTGTCTATATAGTCATCAAATGGGGCCACTTTTAAGAGCAAAAGGGGATATGAAAAGTAATTAAAAGATGTCCCCTGATCTCCAACAGAGGCAATCCAAGCATGTCCCTGGGTGTAGGCTGGCAGAGTTCTGACTGAGAGAGGAGCTGATGACCCCATTTTTAGGGCTCTAACCATTCAGCAAATACTCTTCAAGACCTGTCACCTTCATGCATTGTGTGATGACCTGAGGTCTACCCACCTGCCCACAGTGCTCTGAGGAGCAGCAGCCAGGGTGGCAGATGTGTCACCATAGCACAAAAGTGCTCTGCAAGGACTGGATGTGATAGGTGACCTCACCATTGAAAAGCAACCCTCCCTCTAAACCTGCTGAGCAGATTTTGGTTCAAGAAAAATTAGCGATAAATATAGATGTGTTGGCCCTCCCTGGTGGCGCAGCGGGTTAAAGCACAGCACTGAGAAGCTTAAGCCACTTCCGCATGAGTTCGATCCCCGCCTGCCCCGGAGGTGACCACATGGCGCGGCAGACCTCTCCTGACACGCCCGCTACTCCCCTCAGAAGTGTACTTCATCGATCTGCCTGTTCTGCTCCCCACTCTGTCTCTGGTGAAACCTCTCACCGCCCCTGCACCTCTGGCCTGTACCCCAGTTCTGTATGCATAAATAAATAAATCTTTAAAAAAAAATAGATGTGTTGGTAGAACCTTCTGATATAAGACAAAATCAGATGTTCTCATCCCTGTTTGGAAACTTTTTCTAAGTACCAATGGAAGCATGTTACTCTTCAGTGAGACATAGACAATTTAAAAAGTACTAAAGCCGGATCCCACCAAGACTGTAATGTGCAACCAGCATTGAGATCCTCAGGGCTAGAATTTCCCATCCCGACTGTGTCACTAGCCTCTCCTCCTTTTGTCTAGGCACCAGTTTCCTATGGGACTGTGTCAGGGTAGATGAGACCAGAGGTAGTGTGTCTTGGTGGGGAGAGTCAGAGGGTGACAATCATCAAATTAGGCAAGATTCAGTGTGTGATACACTCTTCTGGCCAGAGAGAGACCAGCCCACAGCCTGCCTGGCTGCCAGACACATACTTGCGGGAGGCCTAGCTTGACAAAAGCTGGTGGAACTGAGAAGTTAGAAACCTTGCTGTGAAGTTGCAGAGACCAAGGTGCAGGCATGAGCTGCCACTGGAAGTGTTGTCATCAGGTTCAGTGTCTACCAGACCCCATGACCTGTACCAGCCCCCACACTGCCTGACAACCCCCAAGCCACATGGTGCTTTCCAGCTGCTCAGAACCAGCTTCTGGCACTTTGTGTCATTGTTTTCCAGTGTAGTACCCACTTCACATATTTCTAAATCATAACTTTCTAAGTATTTTTATATATTACTAACTGAGGTAAAATACCTTTACCTTCTATACCTTCTCTGTAACTCTTTTTTACCCTTTTTAAAGAATTTCTCTCCCTCTTCCCTCATAATATCCTACTTTGCAAAATAAGACCTTTGCTTTGAGCAGCTTTGTAAGACATTTGCTCCTGTGTCAAAGACTTTTCTTACTAGGCAGTTTGGAAGTGATGAGGAAGAGGTCAACCAAAGGCCAACAGGTACAGGAATGGGCAGGCAGCCTATACTCAGGTGGTCTCAGTCCCTAACCAGTAACCCCTCAGAAATTCAAATTAGCAGAGATATTTCATTTGTGCTATCAAACTGAGAACCGCTGTCAGGGATCCAGCTTCTGTAGCCTTGGCCTCCACCTGCCAGCTATGACCTCCTCGTCTGATTTCCGAATCTTCCCTCTCCCTCAGGTCACTGGGCTGTGGTGCGAGAAGGCCTCACGAACCCTTGGATTCCAGACAACTGGTCCTGGGGTGGAGTGGCATCTGAGCACTGCCCCGTGTTAGCTGAACTATACACTGAGAAGGACTGGAACAAGAAAGAGGGACCAAGGAACGGCAGCAGTGTCACGCTGGAGCGGAGTGAGGCCAACATTAAGCATGAGCGATGATGGCAACAAATGGGGTTCCCACCCTCTGACCCCAGAGGGCACAGGCGAGGAGTCTGCCCTTGGGGGGAAAAAGCCGAACCAAAAATGCCCTTCAACCCTCCCTCCGAAAACAACAACTGGGCCTTGAACCCCCTGCCTTCTTTGTGAATGTTTCTGGACCTGGAATGGGGGGGAGGCAGAGCACATTGGGCCCTCGAGGTGCCAGGTGGGCCAGTCAGAACCCCAGGAGAGAACTGAAATGTTTGCTGTTCTGGGGAGGCTGCCACCCTCAACTGACAGGGGCTGGCTTCCCGGAGTGAGGTGACGTTGCGGGAAGGAAAAGAGAGGGCGGCTGCTCGGGAAACAAACGCCAGAGCGCCCTCCTGTGGCCGCCAGTGGGAGCTGTTCGGGCTGCAAATTATATAAAGCTTTTACCTGCAATTGAGCATGCCCCTCGAATATTCCGAGTGGTGATAGTTCGTTTTGTTTTATAAAAATAAACTGAGATGAACCTGCCTGGCTGCAGTGAGCACCCTTGGGGTGGTTGCCCACTTCCAATGCCTTTGTGTGGGGCTCTGTCCTTTGGCATCCTGAACACAGTGCACCCCTCAGGGAAACCGCTCCTTTAGCATTGCCCCCCACCCCAGACATTGCAGGGGCACCTGTTCCGACCTAGACTCTCCCTACCTGGTACTCAGGAGCCGGTTCTGCTCCCAGCACTGGGCTCTTCTCAGCTGCAGCCTGGGCCCCAGCTGCAGGCCTGTCCATCCCACCCTCCAGCCCTCAAAGCAGGATTTTCATAGAATTTCCAGAATCACAAATTTTAAGATGAATTAATAAATGGATGGCCTATCTCTTTGTTTTCCACTGAATGTTAAATTCAAGAGGGTTAAGTAGAGCTTGAAATCCAGAGGAAGGGTGCTTCATTTTTTCAAAAGAAATCGTTCAAGCTGGGGAGCAGGAGCATAAGTTCATGATACTTTCTTCTATTTTTATATATATTTGAGATGTTACATAATATCAGTGAAACAAATGCATAAACAATAAAAGGTCCCAGCCCAGAAAAAAAAAATAGAACATTTATACTTTTTATAGACTAACTACTACATTTCTTGGTAGACAAAGTAGGCTGCTGAAGTTTTCACTACAGTGGGGGTACAGGTGGAAGTGTTTTGCTCCCATCATTCTTTATCTTGATGCCACTCCTTGAAGTGGCTATTTTGCTAGGAGTCACACTCTGGGGGTTGAGGGTTTAATTCTAGAATGGGGAAATTGAAATATATGTATTTTTACAGTAAAATATATATATATTTTTAGAGTATATTAAAGGGAAGAGGAGAAAGGATATTTTTAAAGCTGGAATTACTTTGTATTCACTAATCACCTGGTGTGCACCCCTCAGGCTGGACTCTGCCATGGGTGTGCAAGTCTCCGGTGTTCTCCTGCAGTCTCTGTGCAGCTGCCTAGACCTGGCTGTGTGCCTTTACCTGTATTCTCCATGCTCTTGATGAGCTTCAAAGAAGCTCTGAGAGAGGCAAAGCGGTCTGAGCATCCTCCTTACCCTGAAAAGCCCCTGGGAAATCAATTTATTCTTGCATCTCCCATTGCTTTCAAGAAAGCCAAGTTGTCCCTTTAATAAAAATTAACCCCTGAGCCACATCCTGGTGATACCTGGAGGTGCTGCTCATAACAAGCAGGCCAGACCCTTTTAGTTCAGGCCTGGGCCCCGAAATTCCTCCCTGAAGCTGCCCCCCACCACCAGCAGCCTCAAGGTCACCGCATCCCTTTGTGTTCTCACCGCAAAGCTGAGCATAGGCCAGGGCCAGAAAACCAGTCTCATCAAAGACTTAGGAGTGCAAGTAAACAACTCAGGAACCAGAAAGCCAATTCACAAACGTACAAGCAGAGCTTCTTCATCTTCACTTTGCAGGGGCAGCAGCGGGGTTTTGCCACCCAAGACCTCCTGGCAAAGGTCAGCAGCATGGCTGCTCAGTAAGACCCTTAAGTAGCAAAATTCCAGACTGGGGACAGATGTGGAAGGTGAGCTGTCCTGCTACCCCAGCCTGTAATCGGAATTCTGCCTCTAGCAGGCACGTCATCCTGTTCCTAGTTGATAAGCCCCAGGAAGAGCCCAGCTCCACCCACTGGGCTGCATGCTTCCCTGAGAGGTCTGCAAGGACACATTTGAGATCTAAGGTTCCCCAAAGGCAGGTGCAGGGCCTGGGGGTGGAGGAGCTTTCTACAGGAAAGAAAGGAGGGGCTCACCAGGGACCTAAGGCCAAAGCCTTCAATACTTCTTGGGTCTCCAGACTGTAGAATCTGTATGCAGGCAGTAGAACTCCGCTTCTCATATCGATACACCCCTGGGGAGTGGTCACTGGTATGGTGCCAGGTAAAATTAGTGGCCCCAGCAGCTTTGGAGGTACTAGTGGGAGACAGGTAGGGAAGCGGTGGGTAGGGTTGGGAGCTTAGCTGTAAGGGTGATGTGGGCTTATACTCCTGTTCAGATTCACTTGGAAATTACAACCTGTGACTTTAGGCAAGTTACCTGATCTTCCTAGAGCTTCCATTTTCTTATCTGGATAATAACGGAATATTTCTAGCTATCTTGTCATAAAAATTAAAGTAAATATTAAATGAAACATTGTAATCAACACCATCACCTCCGGTGGTGGCGAGACTTCTTAGAGAGGATGATGGGAGTTTTGTTGGAGTTTTAAAATATTGCTGCTTTCAATAACAACCGAGGCCCGTGTCCGATGCAAAAACAAACGAGACTTTATTAGGCCAGCTCGCGCCAGGATCCTTCCTTTACGTGCCCTGTCACAGCAGGCGCACCCTTCAAGGAAGGATCCTGAAGATCTACAGAATGGTGCTTATAAGGGCAGTTAGTAGGGATCGGGATTTTCCACTGAGTACGTCTGTCCGTTGGTGGTGGGTGCCTGCAAATTCCTGTTTATCCAGATGTTAGGGACACAACAGACAGACAGACAGACACTGGGACCTTATCTTGATCAGGCAGGACTCTGGGCTTATCTCTGGGAACCCACGGGGCCAGCACCTTCTAGGAACAATGGCTCTGGAGGGGGCGAGCTGTCTAGTGGGAACTAACTTTTTACAACATTCCCAACAGTTTAAGATGACTGGAAGGTCTTGGAGAATTTCCAATTGGTGTTAAGACAGGCTGGCAATAGGTGGCAGGCAAGATGGCATCAAGATATGGCATTAAATGTCACAGAGATGGGGGTTTCCTACTGTCCAGACGATGCTATTGAATCCTGGCTGCCGTGTACTCTGAGCAGTGACCCATAGTGGCACAGAGACAGTTTCTAAAGCCCCCAGTCAAGCATAGGGAGATGCTTCTGTGTGAACGCACAAGAGTTCAGATGCCAACTGGTGTGGGGGAGCAGGGAGGTGAAAACCTGCTGAAAATCATGCCAAGTGCCAAAAAGGCCTTTAGGCAGAGCTTACTGTGCATTAAAGTAGCAATCAGTGGGGCGGGGCAACCCTACCTTGAGGGTCAAACTGCCTAAGGGGGGCGTTGCCTTGTGTCTTTGTTTCAGGTCTGCCAATGGTGTTTATTAGCAAGCCAAACCCCCATCAGCAGTCAGTGACCGGGAGATGGGCTGCCTAAGTGCACAGCCTTCTTCCATTATGCTGAATTATTTAATTAAATCACTATTGTTTGGGGCTGGGGAGAATTAAGAACTGGGATTTACTGTGCTAAAGTACTGTTGGCCCAGGGCATGACTATTAGATAAGGAAGACTGGGAATGAAGAAGGGACTGGCTGTGGAAATTTCACCTAGCTCCCTCGCTCCCTGCTTTCGGGAAGCTGTTGGGGAGGCTGTGTAACCCCAGCAGACCTGGGGGATGGTCTTGCCCCAGAAGCACATAGACCAAAGAGAACAGATGGGGTGGCCAGACCCCCTAACCACTGCAGGCTGCAGGCCACAGGACCCTGGACCAGCAAGGACCAGCTTCAAAAGCAGAGGTGAGGTGCTGTCTGGGGTCACCTGTGGCATCTGGGTCTTGCTTCCCGGGGTTTGTTTCTAGGAAGTTTCTCCCACTGCCCTTCCAGGGATTGGTTGGAAGGGGGCATATGTCTGATCCGGGAGTCTGGTGGCCATGTTTGGCTTTTAACATGGAAACTGCAGTTCTGTAAGTACAGTGAAATTCAAAGGTCGGCTAAATAGAGGGGCAGGAAAAGAAAGTAGGCCTTTGTTGCTGGAGAGCCTTGCACAGAGGTGGCTTACTGCCACCTTCCACCCAGGTCACCTAAAAGGAAGAGGAGAGAAAAAGCCTGGAAGAGACTTCCCACCTTCTTGCATTTTCTGTATTTGGATATCAAACTTAAAGCAGACTTCATTCCTGCTTTTGGTTCTGGGAATACCTAATAGTGTTGGCCAGCCAAGTTCAGTCAATAGACAGTGGCAGAAGACGGATTGGGCTACATGTCCATTCTGAAACTGAAGAAGCATATCTGATTTCTTGGCCCAGCCCACTCTGGATCTGGTGGTAGCATCTGCCTTCTTTATTTTGAGAATTCAGTGGCTTTTTTTTTTTATTATTATCAGAGACGACTTTCTCTTCATCAACAGGGCACCATCCCCATTCTGTGCTTTAGAGGAGATTATCAGTGTTGAGCTATGCCTCCCTCTTTCCTTGGGAGTTTTTTGGTATACAACTTCCTGAGTTTTTTGGTATGCACCAGTTATTCTGATGATGGAACTCTGACAAAGTTCTGCCAGTAATCCAGAAAGTCAGTGAGATTGTTTGAGAAGTAACCTATGTTGGGGCCTGGGGTGGGGGAGAGGATTTCAATTAAACAGTGACTAAAACTTGACTGAACCTACTATAAATGATACAAACAGGGATGGAAATGGGGATAACCAAGGCATCAAGACAAAATGTGGTGTTTTATTCAAATTTAAGTGTGACTTTCATAACCAGGTCAGGGATTCTTTCAGTGGGGAGAGCAGCTCCTGCATCCTGGGTATGAGAGCCCAGGAAGTGGAAATAGCTGGCCAAGGCAAGCAGCATGTTATTGTTACATGTCTCTGGTGGTGCTGTTCTAACAGAGATGATGGAAAAAATCAACCTTTTCATCAGTCACCAAACACAAGACCAGGTTTCAAAGCTGATACTAAGTAATCCTTACTATCTGGAGTCCTAGGACATTTTTTGAATTTTCTTCTGAATTTTTTGAACATCATTTTTTTTGTCATTTACTTATCTAAGTCCAGTTGTCCAGAAAACTTTCTAATAATCTGATCTTTTCATATTTCTCTCCGATGGCCTGGTCAGGGGCAGTCAGGCTAAATCTAAGGGTGCTGAGGCTGCAGGAAAGGGGTGTTGAGTGACCAACCAAGCAGTGAATACTCAGAACCTCAGACCCACAGGCCTTCACAGTGTCTTTCAGATGAATCCTGAAGTTCAGTTTTCATCCTCAACATACAATATGTCCATCTTTTCAAAGCCTAGTATTGTCCCTGACAAATCTAGTTCGTTACCTAACCCCGAACATCTAGGATATTTGCCCAAAGGGCCTCGGGAATCCCAGGTTATCGGAGGTCTGTTTACCCAGGGGCATGAAGTGAGGAGAGAGGTCTCCAAGTAATTCACTGTGTTCATTGTTACTGGGAATCTTGGGTCAGAAGACCTGAAGGTCCCACAGAGCTGCTGTGTGTCAGAGCAAGGTGGGGCTTGAGATTAGAAATCAAGAATTCCCTAGCCTTACTGTGGCCCAGAAACAATGAGGAGCTGGGTGTGTGGGCCACTGTTTGCTGTCAAATTAAAAATTCTCTTTGTCTGTGAGTTCTGGTATCTTTCCTATTACCTCCTTCTTTTCCTTTCTCTAAAAGGGGAGGGGGGGAACTGGTTTTACTGAGAGGTGTCAAGTAATTATGCTAGGAAGTTGTGATGGGATTAAATATTGTCTGCATTTCAAATTGCAACATCAAATCCAGATATTATTTCAAATAGACATATTGAAATATTTTTGAAGATCTCAACTCTAGCTATATAATATACATATATAATATATATGTCTACATGAAGTGTAAATGTTGCTTTTGGAATATTTTATGATAAACTTGTAAGAGCATTAAATTGGACAAAACTGAAAACATTAGAATAAGCTGTCAGGAGACTTCAGTAACTCCTTCATTGAAGTTTGTTAAAGTAATATGCAAGTCTTTTGTAGAGGGATATGCTTGCCTAAAATTAGTTTATGTTTTGAGGTTAGCTCCAGCAATCAACAGTAAAATTAATCAATCACCTATAGCACCACCAGCCAAAAATAAGGTATTAAAATGGAAAAGAATTTAAAAAGACCTAGCTGTCCCTCTAGTGGACAGTTTTCAGTGTGGCATCCAGAAATTCACTGGTATTTTTGCTGGTGCTCAAATAACTTAGGTAGATCCAGATATTCCAACAGCAGACATAGTGTTTTCTTAAATCCAAGTAGGATTTTTTTTGCTATAGGTTCCAATCTACTTAATGTACTACATTAATTATCAAGGAAAATACCATAAATATGAATAGACATTATTTTTAAAAGGAAAGAGAAGTGAATATTATAGACTACCTAAATGTAAGATATTTACACAAGGTCATCACATATTTGCTGCTCTTAGGAACTTTAATATATACAGTGTTATCATTTGTTTCCAGTTTCTCTCATGTTGGAAAAATAAAAATCTCCAGAGCTCCACTGTCTTTTGAAATAGTCACCAAATTAAACCCAAGTTAATTACCATTCCTTCAGTTTCTTTTAAAGATTTATTTATTTATGCATACAAGAGCTGGGGTGTAGGCCAGAGGAGCAGATGGGTGAGAAGATTCACCAGAGACAGAATAAGAAGCAGAACAGGTGGATCCACCAATATACACTGCAAAAGGGACCCTTAGGTGAGACAGGAGAGGTCTGCTGCACCATGTGGGTTAGCTTGCTGGCTTGGGTTCCAAGTAGGGATTCCAATTCATGCTGCAGTTGCTGTAGATTGCTTCATAGTGCTGAGACTTAACTACTTGCACCACCAGAGAGGCCCCCTCCAGTTTTTTAAAGAACAAACTTTCATAACTTTAAGAATGCATATCTTAAATATACCCTTTAATTTACAATAGTCAAGATGCAGAAACATCTTGTGCCCATGGATGGATGAATGAATAAAGAGGTTGTATACAGTCATGTGACACTTAGCGATGGAGATACATTCTGAGAGGTATGCTAAACAATTTTGTCTTTGAGCAATCTTCATAGGATGTAATTACACAAACCTAGATGGATAGCCTAATACTAAGTTAGGTTATATAATTTAGACTATTGATCTAGTCTGTTGGGACTACCCTCTTACATGTCACCGATCACTGATACTTGATAGAACCCTACTTACATATAAAAGTAGATAAATTATTGCCATTTATGATGTATGGATGGAACTAGAGAGTATTATGTTAAGTGAAGTAAGTCAGATGGTGAAAGACAAATACAGCATGATTTCACTCATGTGTGGAAGATAAAAAAAAAGTAAACAAAATAAAAAAAAACTATAAAGAAACAAAATGGTGGCTACCAGAGAGGAAGGGGATCAATTGTATGGTGCAGGATGGAAACTAGACTTTTGGTGGTGATCTTGATATACCTAAAATATACAGTGATTGAATAATAACACTATACACTTGAAACTTAAAGTTATAAATCAATTTACTTTAAAAAACAGATAAAAGTTTATATCTTAAAATATTGCTTGGTAAAATAATATTCAAGATGCAGTAAATAGAAAAGTAGAAATACAGAAAAATATGTGCTAAAAATAAAAGTGCTTTAAGGTATGTATGTATAAAACATCTCTAGAAGGACACACACAAACAAAATAGTGAAGTTGGTTGCCTTCCCATCCCCTCCCCAGCTTTATTGATATATAAATTCATATATGACATTAAGTTTAATATGTACAATTGGAAGATTTGATAAATATTACAAAATGATTACTACAGTAAATTGATACCTCTATTGCTTCTTGTGTGTGTGTGTGTATGTTGCAAACATTTAAGAATTACTCTCTTACCAATTTTCAATACTGTTAACTATAGTGACTAGATTTTCTAGGCCTGAGTGGAAGTCCATACCCTTAGACAAACATCTTCTATGGCCCCTTATTCTGCCCCTCCCACCCCTTGGAAACTACCATCCTATAGTCTGTTATAGATGTTAGATTCCACTTGTAAGTGATATCATACAGTGATAACACATATCATTTTGTCTTATTCCACTTAGCATAATGCTCTAAAGGTCCATTCACTTTGTCACAAGTGGCAGATCTCTTTTCCCATGACTAATATTCCATAGTGTGTATGTATGTGTGTGTATATGTATGTTCTGTGTGTATTTGTGTATAATATCAGATAAAAAAGATACACATAAATATATGTATGATGTGTATGAGTATATAGATGAATATATGCGATATATATATGTGTATGTGTATATAGATATATCATCTTTATCTAATCATCTCCTGGTGGCACTTAATTTCTTTCTGTATCTTGACTATTGTAAATAATGCTTCAGTGAGTGAACATGGTGGTACAGGTAGCTCATTGACATTTTCTTTTTATTTTCTTTAGCTACTGGCCATAATTGATGCTTCAGCCAGTGACAAAGCAATATAATCCCCAAACCCCTATTGCCCTGAAACATCGTGGCTGTTGCAATATTGTAGATGTTTGCAGTCGCAGCAGCCTCATACCTTTCATTTTACCACATTTCTTGATCGCATCATTTTCCCACATGCTTTTATTAATCTCACCTTGTTTTGTTTACCATGACCCCTAAGAAGATAAAATCCACCTCCACTGTTGCCAGTAAGAAACCACATCAAATTAAGTAGAAAAATCAATGATGGTTATTACAAGGTAGGCATGTGACATTCCACCATAAACTTGGAGAACATTACACCTACCACCTAAGCACCCAGTCTTCCACCATCGCCCTTGGGTCCCCTCCATGCTCTGATCCCCGTATGCTACTGAGACCTCTCATAATGTCAGTTCTGCAGTTAGATTTCAAAGCTTTGTTTTAGTTTAGTCCACTCCTTTGTTTTTCTTCTTTATATTCTATATATGAGTAAAATCATAAGACTTTCTCTTATTTATTATAATCCCCTACAGTTTCAGTCATGTTGCCATAAATGGCAAGAGTTCTGTTTTGTTAATAACTGGCTGGTATTCTTGTATGTATATATACCAAATCTTAATCCACTTATCTACCATTGGTACTTAAACTCTTTCCATAACTTGGCTATTTTAAGTAGTACTGCAACAAACACAGCAGTGCACATAGCCCTTCAAATATATGCTCTTGCATTCTTTGGATAGATACTGACGTGTTTTGTTGGATCATATTTTTAATCTTTTGTGAAATCTCCATACTGTTTTCCATAAAAAAGAGGTTTATTTTTCTTCACACCATTATCAATATTTGTTGTTTCTAGTCTTTTTGATATATGCTATTTCTCATAAGTATAAAGTGGTGTCAGTTGTGACTTTGATTTTCATCTCCCTGATAAGGAATAAGCATACTTTTATGTTCCTCCTGAACATATGTACCTCTTCTTGTTGAAGTGTCTATTTAGTACTTTTGCCAATTTTATGATTGTTTTCTTGTTGAGTTGTATGTGTTCTTTGTAGATCATAGATATTAACCACTTGTTGGATATGTGATGTGTAAATATTTTCTCACACTCAGTAGGATGTAATCCTCGTAAAATTTATCACCACCATGTCACCTGTAAATCATCACCATTAATTCTTTGTGTTATTCATTCCTGTTTTGATCCCTCTCCCTCCCCTGCTCTATGTCTCAGATTTACAGTTTGCATAATAGTTTTTGTCTTTTTTTCCTGATCCTTTGTTCAGTTTCTCTATATGACTTGTATAAGTTGGAAACTGGTACAAACCTGGACTCCCACAAAGGCTCTCTTGTCCAAGGGTGATTATGTGTTTTCCAAGGTTCGATGGACTGAGGCTGAGAGGGGATCGAGTCAGTCATGGGCTACTGCAAAGTCCAAGCTGTTACCTAGTTCTGTATGGCTATTCCATGATGCCTGGGTGGGCCAGACTCTCCCTGGGTCCCTTCACATGAGATGCTAGATCCCAAAGTTTCACAAAAACACTTTTGTCTATCAATGTCAGTCAAATCGTGATGGAAAGAGTTGAATGAGGGGTACTTAATTTGGTCATGTTGCTAGCATCTTTCTGATGTTGGTTGTCTTTAATTAGGATAACTGGGTGGCTGGAAAGAAACAAATGCTAAGTAATCCCTTCCCTGTGTTCAAATTTCTACTCTTTCTCTGCTTTGTCCTCCTTTTCCCAGGTCTAATTTCTTATAGTTTTTAAGGCCAGAAATCCAAGATCTAGGTGTTGGCAGGCGTGATTTCTCCTGAGGGACAGAAGTAGAGGATCTATTCCAGGCCTCTCCCTGGCTTGCAAATGGCCACCCTTGTTTCCTCTTCACAGGCTCTCCCTCTGTATTCGTGAAATTATACATAGTCCTAATGTTGTTCCATCACTGGATGACAAACATTAGTTTTCCACATCCTGGCATTAATTTCTTTAGCTATTGGAATCAGAGTGAACAAAAAAGAATGAAATCCTAACTTGTTGACATGGCTTTCACAGTTCAGCAAAACTCTGAATTCAAAGACCAAGACCTTTACAAAGTGGTGACTTATTTGAACATCTATCTGCTCCCTCCAGGCTTCTGACAATCTAAGCAGCTGCATTCATGGACTACTCCTGTTCCTGACTAAAGCTGCTCAGTTTTCAGATAAGCCTCACAAAGAATGGTAATAAAATATTGTGAAGCTCACCACATTGCATCTGATCTCCCTCCCTCTACTCAACTATATGGGCCTATTTGAATGAGTTTACTTGGTAGCACTCTCTAGGTATGGGACCTGACCTGGTTCTGTGACACTCTTTCCCACAAGATTGTGACTTCAGTTCTTGTCTTCCTCATCAGAGGACTGCTGGTGTTCAGCATAGATCCTCCTCTTCAATGGATCCAGATTAAGTATGTGCTGAATGACCAAAATGATATTTTAAAAGAAAATCATCTCTCTCTATTCTGTTCATCCTATTTATGATAGTATAAGCTGAACTTCTTAGAGGAAAGGTGGAGTGTGGAAAATGTAGGTATTTCTCTATATTTATGTATACTAGAGGAAGAATGTAACTAATGGTCCTTTCAATAATTACCACACAATAAAAAGCAGCACCACAATAAAAATATAATTAGTTTTTCAAAGAATAGAATTTTGCATGCATTCATATCTACATATTTCATTTGAGAACTTCAGTACTATTTACTTCTGTTATAGCTAGACACAAAATGCCCCAATATATACAAAACAGTACAAATTTTAAATACTTTTACAAAGGCGAAAATATAAAGAAATAGACTATGGATTTATGTTTACAAATGTTAATTTTAACTCCTCTCACATGTGAAAACCTAACAGAATTTTTATTAACAATCATGTTAAAATTACAAAACTTATGAAATTCTAATCCATCCTCAATATCCTATATAGCATGTAATTATAACAATGAAAATTAATATGATCTCCAACTATTCTCTCTCCTAAGTACTGTTATTATAATTTTCTACTTATTAGAACTTTTAGAGAACAAAATTGACTTTAATGCTATTGCAAGAGACCTAATAATAAACATTGCTGATCTTCAATACCAACTTTTAAAGATTAGAGCTCTAAGTATTTATGCTAATCTGAAATAATTTTTGGTTCATTGCTAACTTTTAAAGTAGCTTAAGAAAATCAATGTGATTTAAGTTCATTTTTTGTCTAGGTAGTGCTTGTTTTTGTCTTTATATCAAAGAAATAAGGCAAGAATTATTTTCCTTTCCCAAATCAGATAGATTATCTATCCATGTTTAAATTCAGGGACTAGAACCACTGCAAATAACCCTTCTAGTAGGAAATTAAGGCTGTTGCGATTTTCCTTTATATTTAAACTATAATGTAAAGATGAATGGTGTTATTGACTACAATGTAATTTACAATTATTTGCACTTAAATTACAAGACATAAAGTTTGCTATCTGTCTATATTTTAGTTCTAGTTACTAGGACACTATTTTCATAATCACCTCTGATAAGTTTAAAGATGAAGTCAGAAAACACTACACAAAGCTGAAACTGCATGACTCTGCCACAAAGAAATAATGTTTGAGGAGTGAAGGTGTTTTTCCCATGTCTTGTTAACACCGGCACAGAGGGCCCCCAGCCCTGCAGAAAGCTTGCAGGCCAAACTCCAACTGGTCACACACATTATGTGGGCACCTTCAATGCTGCAAAAGGTCTGACTTGCTATAGCCAAAGATGAGACAGAACTAGTTCTAGAAGCAAGAGCTACCAAGCTTCTAATTGTATATCCTGTTTATTGCAACATTCTTAAGGCAAGCCCTTCTAGATATTTGAAAGAGAAGAATTACATAACTTGCAAAAGATTTTTCAAATAACTTTCTAGTATGAATGTGGACCAGGCTTTGTAGTATACATCTAACAGTGTTAGCACCATATTTAAGTCTGAATTGAGGTAAACAAAGTTTCAGATAGCTTTAGATAGAAATCACAGTAGCATTTTAAATGGGTATTTACTACACCCACATTTTTTCTGATCATTCAAATTAGTTGTCTGAGGAACCATTTGATCCCAAGTATGTATGTATGTATGTATGTATGTATGTATGTTTGTGTGTGTGTAAATATATGTGTGTAAATATATATATAATCTCCAAGGATATATCATAATTGATACATTACAGAGCTAGATATATTACTTTTAGCAAGAGAAATATAATTTCAAATAATATCATTATTAGGTTGATGAAATTTTGATAACTACTAAGGCAGCATCATAAAACCAATTTATCAAATTGCAACACTCAGAAATTCCATTTTTCAGACCATGTTCAAATTTACCATAGATACTGCCCAGTCAACATCTAGCTTCTAGATGATCAATCTATTTTTCTCTTACTAGTTGCTTTACTTAATAAAAAGGGAGTGCCTTCTCTCTTACTCAGCTATTTTTATTTCTGTAGACAAACCTCTCTGAAACTTGAATTTAATATTTATATAAAAGAATGGAGTGGGTAAGACTCTAAGAAAATTTGGTTCAATTTTGAAGATGTATAATAACTTTCAGCATATGAAAACAGATAATTCTCTAATTTTAGCTCTTAGAAGCTGAGTAGGTGAAGTGGCAATATGTAAAATAAAGGACTAATGAAAACTTTTCAAAGTACTTATCCCATCTTTAGCATTACTTAACAGAAAGTAAAAATTTTACTTAGTGCTAGTTGTTTGGGACATAAGAATAATAGCTTTGCAAAGGAGGATAATTGCTACTATCAGATAAAAATATAGCCCTGGAGTGTGAACAATACTGGATTCAATCTCTACTCACACCTGTTCTTGGTGCTGAAGCAGAAGCACTAAGATCAGCACTTACTGCTCAGGTAGAAATTTATTGCTCATTTTGACCACTCACTAATCAGTAGTATTTTCATCTGGCAGTTGAGATTCAGATAAAAATAAGACTAACTTTCCCTTGCATTGTACAGAAACATTTTTAAATTTAAAATCTAAAAATTCAATAATATATTGCAGACCATTTTGAGAAACTCAAGTAAACTAAGTCATTTTTCTTTTATAAATTTGCTGATGCAAACTGCACCTGATTGGTAATACACATAGAAGAATAACTCAGCTATGTTTGAATAACTCAGCTATGTTTGCAAGAATGCTAATTAACATATAAGATCTTTCAGTTCCCTATCTGTTAGTTCATTCACTTCCATAATCTTCTCCAAATGTTCCATGTATCGGTCATGGTCCTGCAAGAAGTGGGGGACCCTCATGTTTTCAATAACTGCCAATCCCTTTAGACGATCCACATCTTCATAAGAAACCTGAAAAAAGGAAGAGGGTTCATCTAATAAAGTATAACTACAAGTCACATTTTTTTTTAAGGTTTATTTATTTATTTATACAGAACCAGGGTACAGACCAGAGATGCGAGGGTGAGAGGATTCACCAGAGACAGAGTGGGGAGCAGAACAGACAGATCGATGAAGTACACTGCTGAGGGGAGCAGCAGGTGGGTCAGGAGAGGTCTGCCTCGCCATGTGGTCACTTCCGGGGCAGAACTCATGCAGAAGTGGCTCCTGTTGTGCCACCAGGGAGGGCCCCACAAATCGCATTTTAAAGAGCCGTTTCTTCCCTGAAATCTTAAGTGAAACTTCATGTAGCTGTTTTTGAATTTTATAACAAAATCAGTGGCTGTATAAAATAAGAATGAACTTACCTACTCCTCCTTATAAAGACCAAAATAAGGTAAAAAGTCAATATTTGACTTAATACTACCTTTGTACTACAAATAATGCAATTCAGTGTCTAGAAATTACACACCTAAGCAATATATTTGTGTGAGAGACTCTAAACCTAAACAAACCTACTGACTAAATCTACATAAAAGAATCAAGAAAACAACCAGGAAATAAATGCCATCCATTATTACACCAGAAAAATCAGCACAACTGTATACTGGATTCCTGTTTATATTTAATGTAGAAAGATAACAATTTGTGTTTTCTATTACATTCTTTTGTTTTTATTTTGAATTTTCATAGAAAAATTTCATATCTCTTTCATTTTTGTTAGAATTTAATCTTTTACTTGTACCCATATTAGTTTCAAGGGCAAACTTTTTTAAGTTCTATAAAATATCTTTGTAATTTTAAATTTCAAAACATGGCTGACTTTAAATGCCATTAACTTTTGATCTGCATTCAAAAGTTGATCCTTGTTTAATAGGAAGACTTTAAATAAATCATGTTCAATGTTCTATTTTCATTTTATTAAAATTTATTTATTACATATTTATGCCACTAAGTACAATAAAAATAGATTTGCTGTTGACATGGGTGAGGTTTAGCAATTTTTAAAGCATTATATGATTATAATAGAACAGAGTGAATAAATATACTGACATTGGGAAACAAGGTATCACTTTAAGAGAAGGAGGTACAAATACAGAATGGGACAGGAGGTCTGAAAGTGTCTTGTGGTGTCTAATTTAAATTATAATTTAAAACAAATATATATGATGTGATCATTCAAAAGGTCTAGAAGCAATAGCACCCAGTAGAAATGAGCACACCTAATATTTAGATCTATTTCTCTAAATACCATTTCCTCTTAAGAGTAGTCAAAATTTTTTGGTTCTCCCTGGTGGTGCAAGGGGTTAAATTTCAGGGCTATCAAGCTATCCCCACCACTGTGAGAAGAGTTCCATTCCCTGCCAGGGAGCTATCCAACCTGGCACACTGCAGACTTCTGTCTTGCCCATTACTCCCCTCAGCAGTGTATTCTGTCGGTCTGCCTGTTTTGTTTCCCACTCTGTCTCTTACGAATCCTCTCACTCATGCACCTCTGGCCTGTACCCCAATTCTTAATAGAGGAATCAAGGTTTTCTTGGAGAAATAGCTGATCTCAGATTTGGGTAGCAAAGTATGAAACCAAAATATTTTACTTTGCCAGAAAACATGAAGATATATTTTAGAAAAGGGATGTGTTATACCTATAGTCTACTTTAAAATACTTTACAAAACAATGCATTTGAAAATAAAGTTATGCACATGCATACTATATATATATATATGTATGTATGTATGTATGTATGTATATTTCCAAAATTCCTATTTTCTTCTTTATTTCTTTTTACCTACAAAGAAATATTGCACATTGGTTTTATGATAGGACCATTTTTCTTCCCTCTTATTGTCACATAAAGGAAACTTACTTCAATAGTAAACACATTTTGAACCTAAGTCTTACTAATCATAAAGTCAAGCTGGGTAAATACTGACTGATGTGCCAGGGGTCTGTGTGTCTATGGTTTCACTTACCTTCCCCAGGGCAGTCAATAGAGGAAAGTCAATACTCTCTCTGTATCGGAGGATTTGCAGGATGCCATCCAAGTATACCTGGTCTTTACTGAAACACCCTGGAGAGACCAGAATAATTTTTACCCCCTGATGCTTTAAAAAAATTACCAAGTAATTAGATACTAACCCATTACCTTTACTACAAGAATCAGTCTTGTATATTAAAAAAAATTTTTGTTGAACTTTGCCTCATTTAGTTTAACTATTTTTATAACATAATATGCAAGGTCTTAGGAAATACCAGGACAGTGTGCAGACTAACTCCTTTAATAATTCCTCCAGAGGCCCTACTCTGTTGTTACGTAGCATTGCACCCTAGTTATAAAGAAATACCAGTAATTTAAAATATATGTTTCATAAATAATATTTTTTCCCCTTCTCCTCACCCTCAACAACAACAAATCAAAACCTTAACTTCCATAGTAAGATGAAGGTATCTGGACAGAGAAGCCTGGGGCAGGATAGCTATAGACCATTTAAGTCTCAAAGGATGCAGTGTGGAAACAATGGATTTTAGAAACTCCTAATTTAAAAAAAAAATGTGACTTGCCCCCTTAAAAATAGCTATACGTGGGCCCTCCCTGGTGGCCCAATCTGTTAAAGTGCAGAACTGTGAAGGTAGCCACAGACACTTCAGCACAAATTCAATCCTGCTAGGGAGGTGTCCCACTTGGCGCAACAGACTTCTGTCTTGCCTGCTGCTCCCCTCAGCATGTACTTCATTGATCTGCCTGTTCTGCTCCCCACTCTTCTGTGGTGAATCCTCTCACTGCTCCTGCCCCTCTGTCCTGTAACCCAGTTTTATATGCATAAATAAATCTAAAAAAAAAAAGCTTACGTGATTTTTATACTATCCCTTCCTATGAAAACAACTAGAGCCAGATTTTCTATATAGGTTCAGAAATAAAAACATGTATGAAGACATGAATAGCAGGAGCAACTCGTGAGATCTGAGGTTAAGTTAAAAAAGAAAACCTGGCCCCTGCCTGGTGGTGCAGCGGGTTAAAGCACAGCACTAAGAAGCTAAAGCCACTTCAGCAAGAGTTCGATCCCTGCCCCGGGAGATGACCACATGGCATGGCAGACCTCTCCTGACCTGCCCGCTGCTCCCCTCAGCAATGTACTTTTCAATCGGCCTGTTCTGCTCCCACTCTGTCTCTGATGAAGCCTCTTACCGCCCTTGCGCTCTGGCCTGTACCCCAGTTCTGTATGCATAAACAAGTAAATCTTCAAAAAAAAAAAAAACCTTTCTCCCACTGTAAAAATTTTTTAAGTATAGCTCTATCAAATAGATGGAAATTCTACATGAAGTAACATATATTAAATTGTTCATTTTGTCAGGTATGCTAAAAGCATGGGGGTTGTAAAAAAAAAATTGTTACCAATTGATGCACATGGTAAAAAGAACATCATGCCTAGAATTGGCTTTAAAATACTATGGACACTTGAGAGACTAGATAAACAATAGTTAGAAAATACTGACAATGACTAAGATTGAGTAAAGCATTGAGATTTTAGCATGTTAACAGCTCTTCTTTCACTTGAAAATTTCAATTTTTTTTTAAGTAAGTGAAAGGAAAAAAGACAATTCTAAAAATGATGTACCCCTATGGGGTGTCAAGGGCAACATGAAAAGTGCGCATTTGGGTAGAGAACTGAAATGTAGGAAAGTGGACCTAAAAGGAGGTGGGAAGTGGTAGACACACTTTCTGAAAATGAGCCTGGAGATAGCTTTTGCATTACATCTAAGGAGAGAAAGATAGATGTCTTCTTTGCTTTCTGTCTTGTCTGGTCCTCGCACTTAAGAACACAATATCAAACAACTACATCACAGGTTGAGGAAATGTAAATGTAGGTGGGGCTGCTGACATGACCATTTCAGGTTTAGGTTATCTCCAAATAATAGTTTAAAATAATTTTAGAAGAAAATGTGTTAGTATATTGAACTAATCTGAAAGTGAAAATGATTTTTAAGTGAACAGTTCCTGTTTTTTTCAAAGTGAAATGAAAATAAATAATGCCAATAATTGTGGTTACTTGGACCAACCTCAAGGAACAAAGACTAATTTTTCATAGATGAGAGAATTCTGATAAACAAATTAAAATATAACAACAAACATTGCCTAGTAAGTCAGGAAAACTACAGTATGGGACACACCTGCCTGGGAAGTGTCAGTCCATCCCCTCTTGGCTCGCACACAATAATCCCATCTTGTATTAGGATCCTTTACAAATTTTCCAATATCTTTGAAGAGTTCGCAAAAAGACATTTGACTGGCTTGATAAACAGTGTAGTAGAGGAGGGCAGCCCTCCACAAAAAGGGGTCTTTTCTAAACAGGACACTGTGAATACTTGCCAGTCCTTCCTCTGTGGGATTGTTTGGCTTTAGGTCATGTTTTTTACGGCCAGTCCAATTGTTCCATGGCTGTTGGAGATTGTTAATACCTCGAAAATAATGTGTGCCTGTGGAAAAGAAAAGAAACATGGAAAATAAGAAATGCTACTCTTATTCTTCTCCAAAAGAAGCTTCTATCAACAGCTCTAAAACCAAACTGTGTGCCTACAAATCACAATAAAGTAGAGAAAATACCTAACCCTAAAACTATTAGACTGCTATCAAAAGGACCACCTCTCATTAAGAAGTATAACTTCTATATACTAATTTATTTTTTAGGGAAGAATCATAGACCTGATTTTCAGTGATATCTGAAAAAAAAAAAATCTCAGTAGGGGAACTGCAATCCAAAGGCATTAAGTGGCTTTCCAAACTTTATACAGCTCTATAATGCCCTAACAAAATCTAATTTGAAATGGGATATTATCTTACCTTTAGTTCAAATGGATGTTAACAATTTAATAACTTTTTGCCAAGTAAAACTAAAAGAAAGACCCATTATAGGAGACCATTTCTTTGAAGCTAGTATCTGGTGTTACAGTTGAGCAAATAGAGATGGTTGCCCCTACCTATTTCATGCCTCAGCATTCCCTCCAGCCAGTGCTCACGTGCAGTGGAAATATTGATGGTCAGCGTTGGGCACCCATTTACTACTGTCATTGAAGCTCGGGAAAGTAGGTCCTCAGTGAGATGTACCACAATCTCAAGAACAATAGGAAGAATACATACAGACTCACATACATATACAGAGAGATATATATGTGTATATATATATATATATATATAACAAAATGTAAACATAAGAAACAGCTTTCCCAGGAAACAACAGGCCCATAAATTAATACATTTTCTGTTGCTTACCACAACCTTGACATTCCCAAAAACTAAGATAAAGAGCAGACCCAATCATTTTTGACCCATCTAATTTTGAACCTTTGCGAAGCGAAGGACCTCTTATGGGATTGAAAGGAATATATATGTACTTTGCTGCGGAAGACACAAAGCATTTATGTTCCTCTACTGTGCTTTCACATAGAGTGCCTTGCTAAAATGATACAAAGGAAGGTGCAAGAGCCAGCATCCTGTTCATTGATAGGCCAAATTTTGTTTTGTAACTGAACCCTAGGTACTAGCTACTAAAGAGGCCATTGGGACAAATCTCTTCATTAATAATTTTCACAAAAAATTCACTTAATCCCATAAACTACATAGTGTGGCAGGCAGTAAGAAAAGAAAACAAACAGGAAGAAATTGAATACAACTCAATATAAATTTAAACGTAATATTATTTTGTGGGCAGTCCAGATGACTAAATTAGTAAAAGGAGGTTAGGAGAAAAAAACCTGCTAAAATGTGGCAGTTGAGAGTTAAAATGTTAGCATTCAAATCCCCATGTTTGTCATGGTTCATACCTCACCCATGCAGCCTTCTTTCATCATGTACTTCCTAACATGACTCCAGATTCGAGTTTTAGATAGCAGACTACCACCAGTAGCCTGTTCAAATTTTTCATAACTTCCATATTTCTGTAAAGTTAGTTCCATAATATTGATGGACTGTAAAGGAAACAGAAATAATTAACCTATTACTTTGAAAAGAGCAATAAACCAAATATGTTCTTATCTATCAGGTCCTGGTTTGTATTTATTGATTTTCAAATTAAACTGCAACTGAGGTACCGTATCTTTCTCAGCCTTCACAGATTTCATTTATTTTCATAAAAATTTATTAAGTGCTGGTATAGTTTACAAATACTCTCTTTCCATGTGTTTGTTTCTCTTTGATATGATGAAGTTATGATAAAGGGGCTCAAGTACTGCAACTATTCTCAACAGTTGACAAGCTGAGAAGCTAAGGCACAGGAGGTCCTTGATTGCGCTAAGATCATTCGACAGTATTTTTTGGAGAAAATTGTCTCCAGAAGAGTCACTACATATAATTTCCACTTAAATAAGGGGGGAAAATGTCCCATTTATAAAGACCACACAAACCAATGAAATTTTTTTCTGTAAAAATTCTCTAAAATTAGGAGCCTCCCTGGTGGCACAGGGATTAAAGTCTCTGTGTTATCTAGCTGTCACCAGCCACTGTGACAAGAGTTCTGTCCCTTCCCAGGGAGCTAACTCACATGGTACAGCAGACCTGTTTCACCCACTGCTCCCCTCAGCAGTGTACTTCAGTAGATTCAACTGTTCTGTTCCCCACTCTGCTCTGGTGAATCTTCTCACCTCCACATCTCTGGCCTACACCCCAATTCTTGTATGCATAAATAAATAACAATGTCTTTTTTTTAAATCCTCTAAAACTGGAAGCACTCCTCACCTGCTCTGGCAGAAAGCAGTTTCAACATTACTAAAACTACTTTTATGTTCAACCCTAGTGAAGCATATTGCTAGGACATAAGTACCCAATACCAAGCTAGATATATGTATCATACACTTATGATAAGAAATGGCTGCAATAGGCTTTTCTGTTCACCAAAATGTTACAAAAAACTTGACTATAAAAGTAGGATCAAAAGGCAGGCAGTACTGGAATAGCATGGGAGTTGGTTTCCAGTGCAAACTTTTACATCCTTCATGCCTACGGAATCAGAACCTTCAGCTCAGCAAGATCCTCTGATGATTACTATGTACAGTAAAAAAATGAGACAGATTCTAAGAGAATGCAAAAATAGCACAAATATACTGGGCTGATTTATTTGTTAAAACTACAATGATTAAAAGAACAAGTGCCTCATTAAAAACCTATTTAAGTAGACTAGCAAAGACATGAACACATCAGTTTAATGATCACTAGTCATTTATTTATATATCAAACAGAATGAGAAGAATGTAAAGAAAATGATCTTAAAAACTCCAGAGGAGATATTTATAGTAGACTGATATTTAGACCTAAAAAAATGTTACTCGTTTTATTGTAGTTATCCTTATAGGTGTTTAGAAGTATGTACTTAATTTTGAATGAAAAAAAATTTCTAAAGCATATACAAATTGAGTAGGCATATGCTGTTATCTGGCTACTACTTACTATAACAGATATGTTAAGAACTTAAAATCAAAAATATAAGAAATTTAGAATTTAGAAAAATTAAGTATAGATGTTTCTTGTTTTCACAAAAAAATGTACTAAGACAAGGTTATTCATATTCATAATAAGTTTCATTCATATTCATAATAGAGAAAAAAGATTTGATTGGAAATTTAGACTGAAAAATTTTCCTAGGAAAGCTAAATAAAATTTGTCTTGGCAGTTTATTTAGGCAACTTTTATATCTATAAGCTAATTATTAGAGCCATCAAAGAATGAATATAAATAGCGGGGGTTTGGGGGAAGCTAGTGTAATTTTCCCATCAAAATTATATATAATAGCATTACATCCTTCATTTCATTTTAACTTATGTGGCACCATTATGGCGGCCACATGACGTGGAAGCATCATCCATGTTTCCAAAGGCTTATCTTATTATGTCATGTCAGCCATTATTCTTTGAATCACTGCTAGTGGGTGCAGGGTTTCTTCCTGAGGTGATGAAATATACCAGAATTTAATAGTGGCTATGGTTGAAAATTTCTAAACATAATGAAAATTACCAAAAAATTTAAAAAATCACTGAACTGTACATTTTAGATGGGTGAATTATATGGCTTGTGAAATATCTTAATAAAACGATTTATTTTAAAAGGCCCAATGTAACATTTTAACCACTAATCCAGAAAATAAAAAATCTTTACATGAACTTTTCTTCATTATCTTGAATTATATCATAAACTTTCTGAAAAATCTCAACACTTTGTCCAATGATCTTTGGTTTACTTGTAGATCCTATTTACTGTTAAATTGGAAATCTGACCATCAACCACGAGTCACTTCAACAGTCATGTGTTGGAAAACTATCTACTTTCTTTTTAAGTTTTATTTATTTATGCATACACAACTGGGGTACAGGCCAGAGGTGCAGTGGTGGTGAGAGGATTCACTACAAACAGAGTGGGGAGCAGGACGGGCAGATCAACGAAGTACACTGCTGAGGGGAGCAGCGTGCGGGTCAGGAGAGGTCCGCTGCACCATGAGGATCTCCTTTGGGGCGGGATTGAACTCATGCTGCAGTGGCCTTAGCTTCTTAGTGCTGTGTTTTAACTAGCTGCACCACCAAGGAGGGCCCTATCTACTTCCTTATTGCAGTTTTCACTTAATGAAAAACTATATACAACAGGGACACCAACATGGTAACAGTCTGGGCGGTGTTGTGGAAAGACTTGCAATCAGAAGATCTTTTTGCATTGGTCATCCACCACCTCCTATGGGATCCTGGGCATGTCATTTTAACTTACTTAGGTTTAGTTTCTTCACTGACAAGTGGAGATGAAAATCTTTACCCTACTTATTTCACTGGGTTGTTAGGAAAACAAAATTAGAGATACATATAAAAAGAGAGATAAGTAGAGAAAAGGGGAACATGAGAGGAACTGTGTACATGTTTGGTAATCTGTTCCTTATATGAGTGTAACAGTATTTAAGTTTCAGCAAAAAAAATGCTGATTTAGTGTTAGATTGTAAGGAAATTAGTTTGACCTTCATCTAATCCCAATCTCCCTTCATTCCTTCCCTTTTAAGAAAATTCTAACATCTAGAACTATGCTACCAGCCCCCACTCCATACCAAATAACCTCTAAGCAATCAATTTCTTTTTTTTTTAAATATCTATATATCTATGCATAGAAGAACTGGGGTACAGGCCAGAGTTGGATGGAGTTGAGAGGATTCACCAGAGACAGAGCAGGGAGCAGAATAGTTGATATACTGAAATACACTGCTGAAGGAAACAGCGGGCAAGACAGGAGAGGTCTGCTATGCCATGTGGGTCACCTTCATGGCCAGACAGGGATCTAACTTATGCTACAGTGGCTGGCAATAACTTGATAGCACTGTCTTTAACCCCTGCACCACCAGGGAGGCCCACAGATTTGTCTTTGTATAGTGGTATTTTTTTTTTTTTGAGTGCTGACAGTGTTAAAATATGGCTGGATTGGGGGGGTGGGAGATGGGGAGAGGTCGTCCTGAATAAACTCCACAAATACAGCTTTTATGGACTCCCGCCTGCTTGCCAGGACAGAAAGATCCAAGACACCAAGGACTACAAATCCCATAATGTCATCACCACTGAAGACAGGATTGCTGGGAACTGAGGGTGGAGTTAAGCAGCCAGGTTTGGTATATAACCAGATATGTGGGCTTTGGAGGCCTCTTGGTTTTTTTTTTTTTTTTTTTTTTTTTATTACAAAGTTTATTTTTACATCATTTTGCACATTTTTTTTTTCCATCTCGATTGTAATCCCCACGGGTTTCCCATGACCAGATCACCCCTGTGCCACCACCCTAGTCCCATGCATTTCCCTCCCTTCCCTCCCCCCACCCCCCGTTTTTGATCCCATTCCCCACTCCACCCCCACAGAATGTCTCTGGTATATGGTTGTTCATTATTTTTGTTATTTTCTCGCCTGGTCCATTTGTATAGTGGTATTTTCTAAACTGTTTCTTATGAAATAGTGGGGTCAATGAGATATGAATTTGGAAAGTCCTGGATTAAACAAAGTTAATAAAGACTCGTCCAAGTTTTTATCATGATACTATTGATATGTGTTATGAGCTTCTGGGATGAAGCTCATAATTTAAGAAAATTATGAGCTAACTTTATGGCCATCTTTCACATAGTGTTGCTCAAATCAGTTTGAAAGTACTTAGATAGGCATGAGGTACACACTAGTATTGGTAGTTTGAGATTCTCAGAATAAAAAGTAAAATTTCAAATACTGAACTACTTTTTCAGAAGTGGCTATTGACCTCTGATAACAAATTAGGTATATTAAGAATTGGATTAGATTATCAGGCCTCCATTTAACATACTAGAGCCACAAACTGATGGGTCACTCTAGCACTAAGTAGTCACAAACTCAAGCACTGTATGCTGCAAACAGTAACACTGTGTATAAGACAACTGGAAGGGGCAATAGAAGAGTGTATTCATATGTCAATGTTTTCAGAAACACTGATGACCCAAAATAACCTATAAGCAGGCTGAATTTGACTGTTAGGTCACAGGCTTAGACCCATGGATTGTAGAAGGCTTTGTTAAATTTCTAGCATATCATCAGCAAAGAGTCATTCATTCATCTAATTATTCATTTATTCATCATTATGTGTATATTTTTGTGCCAAATCATTGTTATTTTTGTTCATTTTCATATCTTAGAATCAATGTCTCTGACCATTAGTCTTGCAAAGATGACATATAAACATAATTTAGCAAGGTAAATTATAGTGAAGGTAAGAATAAAATACTGTAAGATAACAGAGAAAAGGAATTAGAAGTAAAGGATCTGAGGAAATAAAGGATATTCCAAGCAAAAGGGAATAGTGTCAAAAGTAGGCACAAAGCAAAAATGAAATATATCTTGGTTTGGGCAATTATAAAGTTTCCGGGCAGAACAGGTACCAGAAGATTATTTAGTGCCAGGAACTGTATATCTGTATATTTTAAGGATAGCTGAAATAAATACAGTGAACTGTTTTATATATATATATAGTCACTTTAGTGGTAAAAACAAACAAAAAAAGTAAGGATTATAACAATGGTAAATACTGTGATAAACGTTTGCATAGATCTGGGGATAGAGTTGACTTTGGGAAATGGACGTATGAACAAGATCATGTAAGATGAAAAGCCTGTAGACCTTGCCAAAGGATTTGGACTTTATCCTGAATAATGAAGTAATCTAAAGTTTTTCAGAAATAGAAGTGACATGATTACATTTGTAGCTTAAAAAGAGTGCAATAGTGCACTCCTAGAAAGAGTATTAATAGTGTGGGTAGCAGGGAAGACTGAAAAAAGCAAAAATAGTTTTGTGAACAATTCAGTTTTCTATAAAATATACTGCGGCCTATGTCCATAGTATAATTTTTAATTGTTTGCAAAAATTGCATCCTACATATGCAAAACCCAGGAAATAAATAGATGTGAGACACTGAGTCCTTTCAGTAAAGGAACAAGTAAAAGAACAGTACAAAAGAAAAATGTCACTACCCCCCTTTTCTTCTAATACCCGGGTAGTTTAGGTGTACATAATAGGAAGAAGGGAAACAAAAGGGTAGTTACTATCAGAGTAAGACATTTATAAGTAGCTTAATAATGCAGATTCTTCTCTCCCCACCACCAAGGAAAAAAGCAGATATTCAAGCTATTTTGTTAAGAACAGAGATTGTTCATGTTAGGCAACTTTTCAAAGGCAAATCAACAGTTCTGTCTCAAGAGTCATCAAGGCCTTGTTCCTGCAATCTATCTTCTTCCAAGCACACACAATCTTTGTTTGGTGTATTTCTAGCTCTGACTGTAAGAAAATCTTCCTTCTATTAGTCTAAGAAATGATCTCATGTCTCCAATCTAATAAAAATTGCAATCTAATAGAAAACAGCTATTAAATGTACAAAATTCAAAATAATCTTTAAAAAATCTTATATTTGGTGATGGAAAGCCCATGGGCATTACAACTGAGATGGGAAAAGGCACAAAATGATGTAAAAATAAACTATTGTATTATTTTCAAAAAATCTTATACCTTAAATCTTATACCTTATACCTTAAGCTACCTGTGAAAGGTTTTATGATGTGCTAATAAACACAAACCTGTCTTATCTAGGAAAACTATAATTTAAAGAGCTTGCTTTTCCCTCACCTCTGTTGTTTAGACAATTTGAATTCTACAAATATAAAATACTTCCTTTAAGGCTAGTACAATTAAAACTTAAGTCCCCCAAAATAAAATGTCACCTAAAAGAAAGTTTATGTCAAGATATTCTAGTGTCAATGAAAGTATCTGATTTTCAACGAATTGTTTCTCTCAGAAAAGGAGAATGAACACTTGCCTTGCTTTAGGTCATGATTTTATGTATTTATCTATTATGCATGTGTTGTAATATAATGAACATGATATAATTTAGCAATGAATTTAGTGGTGTAGAATATACACATATTTTCAATAATGAACACCTGAAATATTGTAATTCAATGCTATGTTAATAAAAAATTTTAATTATTTTTTAAAAATTACTTCCTTAGTTCATTTATATTATAAACTCTAAAAGACAGCCCTTAAAGGACTACATTCAAAGTCTTTGGCTTATGCTGATTACTGGTGCCAATAAATAAATAACCACATAAACTAACGCTTATATTTAAGATAGAGCTGGTGAATCACAGAGGGCAAACTGACAACCTAAGAGATGAATATGACCCGCAGGCAGTTTTTCATGGGCCTGGACAGTCTTTAACTGAATTAGCTGATAAAATTTACAAATTGTAAAGCTCCAGCATAAAATTCAGTTTTCCACTGCTTATAAAATTTTTGATGATATGGTAATACTAGACCCAAATGGTAGCTCAGATTAAATAACTGCTATCTAGTTTCTAGTTTGCTACTATGACAGTCAGTTCCCTACAATCATTTATGATCTCTATGCAGATACTATAGACAACTGAGTTTGTAACTCCATAGTTTGCTAACTAGCAAGATGAAATAAGAATTTCTTAACATAATGAAACTGGTCCATTTGGGTACTTAATGCCTCTGCAAGTTTACAAAACCTCTTCCAAGACATGCTTGGTAACTTGGAACTATTAACTTCCATTAACTTTAATGCCACATGACGGTCACTTTTGCAAGCAGGCCTGTCAAAGGATAGCAGTCTCAGATCAGCTAAGTTAACTTCTTTTGTAAAAACTCTTTAGCTTTTCCTTCTTGACAACCATTCCTTCTTGACAACCAGCCTCAGCTCTGGGTCTCTATTCATAAAGAATTTTTTTCTCACATAAAAATTTCCCATTTCCAACCACTAATGATCCCTACTGCTCCAGTTTTATTAATAAAATAATTAGGCCTTCAGTTTATATAATGAAACAAAAATTAACTTATTTTCTCCCAATGATTTTAAATATCACTATACCAATCAGTTACTAGTTAGCATGGGAAAGCCAGAATCTAAAGTGAGTATTATTCCAGCCAGAGGTGGAAAACCAGTCATTTAAGCTGTTAGCCTCCATCATTTCTATTTGACTGATGGAAATACTGAAAATAATTCAGTGATTCCTAATACCACCCTACTTAAACTGCTTCTCATCTCTTACTTTCATATGGTTCAACAATATGCTATCCCTAAGGCCATTATATTTTTGATATCTAGAACAGCAAGGGATAATCAGCCGCCGAAAGAAATGGTGAAAGTGGACTGACTGCTAGTTTACTGTTCAGGAACACTGCTGTGTTCAAGGATCATGCTGCATAGGTCTTGTAATTTACTGTACATCAATGGAGCAATCAACTGGGAACTACCCGAATCTGCACACTTGGTTCTACTATGAAGTCTTATTTGTGGCTGGCAAGTCTAGCATCATTTTACCAATCTGTGCACTGAAGAAGCGTATGGTCACTTTTGAGACAATAAAGATTGCCTGCTATGGAAGGATCCAGGTCATGAAACTTGTAGACAGGTGCAAATTCTCCATCTCGAGGCCAGATACTAGTAGACTATTTGGACATTCCGGCCCCTTTGTACAACAAGTTTGAGTCATGAGACTGGACCTGTAGCTGTGACTTTAGCTTTATAGCTGCAGAAAAGAAGGAATTCGTGTCATAATCACTGAGATGCTGAATAAGAATTTAAGTATATTTTTATGGAGGACTTGTTCTGATGACTTTATTTGATAATAGTGATTTAAACAGCACATTTGGTATTTATTGTTTAAGGCATTCAATCTCCCAAATGGTAACATTTGAAGTACAAGTTATCTAGAATTACTGGTGTATTTTAAAGTCTCAAGCAATCCAGTCCAATGTAGGATTTATTTGTAAGCTGATATTGGTTTAAAATAAAAAATAAATAAATAAATAGGGTTTATTCTTAAACAAAAATTGGATGAAAATAAATACTATCAAGCTACAGGTGAAACAGTGTCAATTTTTTATCTATGGAATTACTGATGCTCCCTAACTGTTTTCAAGAGAAATGAAAAAGCATTTATTTCATCTAAAGCTGGGAAATCAGGGCGCTCCTTCCTAGCACAATGGGTTAAAGTCCAGTGCTTTTAAATATTCATGGCCACTACAGCACCAGTTCCATCCCTGGCTAGGGAGGTGACCCACATGATACAGCTCTCCTCCCATCTGCTGCTCCTCTTAGTAGTGTATTTCAATAGATCTGCCTGTTCTGTTCCCCACTTTGTCTCTGGTGAATCCTCTCAACATCCCCCCTCCTCTGACCTGTACCCCAGTTCTCCTACGTATAGATACATAAATCTTTTTTTTAAAATAATAAGGTTGGAAAATCACTTTCTCAACTGGCAGGACCTGGGTACAACTTCAAATTAAAGAATATTGGTAAATAATTCTGTCATCTCCTCTAGCATTAAGGGGGGGGGAATAGCAAATAGCATTTTAATATTTAACAAAAATTTTAAATATGAGATTTCCTTGTGCCTGAATTTCTTATCACATATTCACATCTTAGGTTGAAGTTAGCCATAACATTAATAATTGGTATAGTCATGAAATTCTTTTTAAATTGTAACACTGAAGATACTTGTTTTTGTTCCTGAAAAATGAAATCGCACCGGCAAGTGTCATTTTACCTGCTTAAGAAATCGGTTAGAAGCGTTGCTGTGTTTGGCTAACACACTTGGCAGAGAAGGATTAGCATACTCAAACTGAGGATTGTAGGTATAGTCAGACTTGAAAAACCTCAGTTTTTCTTTCTCTAAGTTGGTGGGCTTTATAGCAGTCAGTATACAAAATTTCTTTCCAGAAAAGTCATCTCCTTTTTCAAAACTTCTAGACAGCTGAGGTTGTGGCTTTGGTTTTTGAAGAGTGGACAAATGACGCTGCTTGACCTTGCTTTTGGGTTTAGGTGGGATAACTATGCTGTTCCCTGTAACAGAGATATCATGTGTGAACTTTGCAGGACTCAACACTGAACTCGTGACAAAAACAGCAGACTGCCTTTCTAGGCAGTACCAGCTAGCACTGCTCATCACGGGCATGGGGGCTTTTATCTTGCGAGGATCTTTACTATGAGAAGAGGAAGGAGTTTTGTTGGGGTTTCTACATCTTTTGGAGTAGGTGGAGGAAGACTGCTTTTGTGAAAGATGTTTTTTTTCCTCTTTGCTCTGTAGGAGGACATTGTAACTACTGGTTCCAGTTGTGAAAATGTCCTTAAGTATCCCAGGAGGTAAATGTGAAATGCTTCTTTTGTTGTCAGTGATCAATGACTCTTCAACATTTAGAACAGACTTCTTGGCAAGTTCTTGCTCAGGCCAGTGAAGCTTCTCTGTGTTAATAAACAAAATCAGAACAAAAGAAATAACAAAGATACCAGATGAAGAAAATCACTTTATATATAACTATATTGAATGTATTCTGAGGTTTTGTAAATTTAATAATTTTGCAACAATCTTTAGAAAGAAATCTTGAACATTAAAAGGGATATTTGATTAAACTTTGGTCATGCTGGACACTACCACTTCTAAATAAGTGCACACATGCTAATTTAGCTGTGCAAATATGCTATTTTAAATCTTCTAGATGGTCAAAATCTGATATAGATGTGAGATAATACATGTAAGTAATCTGAATGTTCAACTCCAGCAAAAAAGATTGATTTTGTTAAAAGGATAGAGTTTTTAATATACTACTGTCAAAGTATTATTAAAGCAATACCAAGACACTTTCAAAACCAATACAATCTTTTAAACTGGCACTAAATATAAAGGTAGCCGTCAGTAAAAGTACAATACTGCCTTATCTGTCTTAAAACCACTGTAAAATTAAATAGATAGTGTATATCACATATTTTTAGTAATGTCACTCAGTTAATTTTCTTAGCCCTAGGCTATAGTAAGATTAAAGAAAAACAAGGTTTTTTCCTTAATAAGCTTGAAAAATTATTACCACTGTGTAGATATTAGAATGGCAAATGTCAAATTAAAGAGGGGTCCACTCTACTTTTATATCTCACAGTGCTTTAAACAAGTTAGAATCACTTTATATAATATTGCTCATGCACTGCTTTAAAACTGCTGATTTACATTCTTTCTTTAACATACATGAATACTTACCAATTAGTACATGATTGTGATAAACAATCTATAAATACATTGTTTCTGCCTTCAACAAACTTTTAGTCTGGCTACAAAGGTAAGGCATGCCTATATTTGGATAGTGATACAAAGTACTATAAGATTATGTGTGGAAAACAAAAGACATATACAATAATCTAGAGTTTGGAAAAGGAAAAGAGTAATGTGAAAAGAAACAAAGGAGGATATTGCATATCCTTTGAGAGTTTTAAGATTCACTTCTAAATTTATGAAGTGTTTGTCTTAAATCCTGCTTATTTGAACTAAACTCCAATTTAAATTCCATCTACAAATCTGTGCTTGGTGTCTATATGCTTATAAACCTTTTGGATATCCTTTCTGCAGATATGACCTTTTATGATTCTACCCACTTGCTCTCTTATCCAAGTTTCATGGACACTTATGCCTCTAGTGCTAAACCTTTGGCTCCTACTACAAAGCAATATCAATGCTGGCTGGCGTGGACAGTTGCCTATCTTTCCAAGAAGGGATATTTCATTTTTTAAAAAAATCTATAGCCACAAAAATCTGTCATTCACTCATTCAAAATTAGCTATACTAGGATTCTTCTATGATAAGTAGTAATTAATAATAACTGTAGTTGAAATCACTATTTGTTGACATGTTTATGTGAGTTTGGGATTTCGTTCATATTCATTTATTTAATACCTTAAGTCTTTGATATATTAGATAATTTGCTCAAGGCTATATGACAAAAATTAATAAACAGTAAACTGACTTGAATTCAGGTATCTGTTTACAGATCCTGTGCTCACTCTGTGATGTGTGGTCATTCATACAACTGTCAATAAACATTCACTATTAAGTCTGCTACACACATAGCACTGCACTTTTGCTTTTATATATAGATCATGCATAGCACTCCAGCAAGACCAGACATGATAGTCTGGATAACTAAGACAGGTACAAGGCCATGGTTTTGTATTTTAGCTTTTTTTTCCCCATCTCTTCCTTCTAATATCTAGTGCATCATCTGATAGACATTCAATAAATATAAAATCAATCAATAATTAATAAAACTAATTAATATAAAATTATTTCTCCAAATACCTAAATAAACAGGCATTTGTAATCCTGGTCCATCTGTATTTCAATGAGGAGATCACTGCAGAAGTAGAAATATAACAAAGAAGACCCTCCCTGAACCAGTGGTACTCAATCAGCAATTTTGCTCCCCTCTGAGGGACACTTGGCAATGTCTGGAGATGGTTTTGGTTTTCACAGCTGAGAGGTGCTATTGGTATCTTGTGGGTTAGAGGCCATGGATGTTGCTAAACACACCTTCAATTGAACAGGACAGCCTCCTACAATAAAAATATTAGTCCTAAAACAGTGATAATACTGAGAAGCTTTGTCCCTTACATGTAACTTTTAAAGTGCAAAAGGCATTTAAAGATTGGGGTGAAAAAAACAACACCATGTCAAAAGTGGATATTCCAAATAATGTAAAGTACTTAAAGTCCACTCAGTTACATCTTCCAGGCTAACATGTGAAACTTAAGTTTGGTGTCTAGTAGATAACACACTAGTGTGAACCTACAGGAGCTATATAAAATGTGTATTACACGGACAAATTGAGAGGAAGGAGTTAGATTGCACAGGGTCATATTGAAGGTGTGTAAGTACAAAGAAGGCATTCAGCAAATGTTAAATACTCAACCAGCCAAAAGTAAACAGGACAAGCAAAACTTTCATTACAGTTCCTTAGGGGTTTCATCTTAAGTGTTGCCAACTGATAGTTAAAACTGGGCAGGATAGGTGAACATAGGCTAAAGAACACCAGAAGACAAGGCTTAGTCCAAATGCCCACAAACAATGTCAGTCTCCCTAAAAAAGACACCACAAATCTAGGAGACAAGAGATTGTAATGAAAGGAAGACTGCAACAGATATGAAAAGGGAAAGAGCAAGAGAACTGCGATAAGAATAAGGGCATCACAAGCCTAGAAAAGTAGGTAAGGACTAGGTACAGCCAGGAAGGTAAAGGGAGGTAATCAGATTCTTTTCTCATTCAGTCTTCATATTAAAAAGAGCAAAGTCACAGTATATTAAAATCAGTAAATAAAAATTGCTCTGAAGAACTTCCAATTTTGATGATTTATATTATGTATTTGAACTTTTTTTTTTTTTAAGAGCATTTACTGTGCTCTATCTTTGGCTTTAGACTTAGTACTTCTATCACCAAAGAGCTGAGCTCTTAAGATCCCTTTTGTTTTCTTCATAAAGCATCAGTGACATCTAAGTTCATAATTTTGTCTCATCTCAAATCTACATACCTCAGGAGACAAAACAAAATTAGCCCTAAACCATTTGCCAAAACTTGTAAGAAGAAATGAGGGTAGGAGAAAGGTGGCAGCTTGTACCTGATGGAACACCTCTCCCCAAGAGATGCAGCATTACTCCTCCTCACTATTTACCTGAGAAGCTTAGCATCAGTTCTTTTTACACTTCATCTGCTAATGAGCAGTGTGGGAGTGCCAACAACAGTTATTTAATAAGTGTCTATCTAGACAAGTGCTGATATCCCATGAAGTGCTAACAAGTGAGGCAAATATTTCTTCACACAGTTCATACAAGATGGGTATAAATTAAATTCTCAGTTACACTAATCTTATTTCATTTAAAAAATTAGAGAAACTAAAATACTGCTTTGGTCATTTTAAATATCATTGTTTAATGAAAATGACTTCTAAATATGTATAAGAATATAATACAAGGCTACAAAGATTCCATTGTAGACGACCCTATTTTTTCTGACTCCTTTTTTAAAAATATATGAGTTATACTTCTTTGAGGGAAGTGTAAATCAGAGGAAAGTGTAACTCATCTTTTCTTAGAAAAATAATGAAATTAACATATTCTCATATTAAGACAATTTCTATATAATACTTAGTCATTCAACAGTCTGTTTCACTATACACTTGAAATAAATGAAAATAATTTGATGATCAAAAAATCATTCACCCCATCCTAATTACCTCTAGTGAGGTATAAAAAAGGAAAATATTAAAATTGATACTTAGTATATACACAAGTAGGTGAGTACACTGAAATTACCAACACAATAAAAGCTTAATTTATATCTAGAACAGGAGAAAAAGATACCAGGATTCCTGGCTTACCTTTCCAGCTCTTTCAATAACCTCTCTGTAATATTAACCTAATCACTAAGCCCATCAGTACCTCATGTTCCTCATCAAAAAGACTGAGAGAGGAGAATACTGCTCACTAAACTCTTCGTGTTTCAGAACTGTGAATAGGTGAAGCTTCATAGTAATTACGAGGCACTTGGATAAGTGAAAGATTAGATCATCAGAAACAAAGTTGGTGGAAAATGCCATTCAACCAATGCCTATCTGCAAAATAACAATTTTATATACTTCACAAATACTTAAGAAATCTGATAACCTAGGATAATATTATACTACAAAGTGATATATGGCTTGATTATAAACAGATGAAGAAACAAAATAATCCCCCAATAAGTAAACACTTTATTTTTTTCAAATCATTTATCATTATGTGCAAATCCAATGATATAATATTTATCAACAGTACAAAGGATAACTTGTGGTATATTCACATAATACTGTATTACAATGAAATAGAATAAACTGAGGCTGTGAGCAAAAACATAGATGAATCTCAAAAACAATATTGAGAAAACAAAACCACTTGTATGTAGATCAAAAATATGCAAAACTAATTTATGGTATTAGTAGCTGGAATAGTGATTACCTTTGAGGAAAGGATTAAGACCTGGGAGGAAATGAAGTGTTCTTTATCTTGTTCTAGATAGATGTAACATACACATGAATTGATATATCTTAATTTTTAAAACAGTATATAAAAATCAGAATATTTAAAACCATTTATTGCCCAATTTATCTGCATTATTGCAGATATGCTATAAATTATGTTTCTAAATTCAACATCACCCAATACAATTTCTCAACTGTAAGTAAAGTTTTAAAAAGATAAATTAAAAGGCATTGCTAATTTCATTCAGGAACTGAGAAACTCTGCTGTACTTCAGGATCCCTAAAAATGGCACACTCCCCAGGAGCTCTCCAGTGGTACTCTACTGATAACAATGATTCCTATGATGTGAACACTGATGGTTTTGGTCAGAAACTGGTTTTGGTCAGAAAGTGTGTGTGTGTCTTTTACAATTAGAAATATTCAGGGTATTCTGTAACGCCAGAAAATAATGATGCGTTTAAAAAAAAAAAAAGACAACACTAAACACCATCTAAAACAATAATGAACATGCCAGAAAACAAACTTTCTCATGGCTTTCCACTTCCAATGAAGCCAAAACTAAGTATGACATATCAGGTCACTCGTGGTCAGGTCACTCTGCCTCTTCCCTTGCACAATATTTCCCTATAATCTGTTCACCTAGTTTCCTTTCATTTTGTTATTCCCTCACTCATGCTCACCATTCTCTTTCTAGACACACTGCCTCGTTACATGATGCTCCTTATGTTTGGGGAACCCACTCCTCTCCCTCTTTATTAGATTAATTTCTGTTCACCCTTCAGTTTAAATACCATCCATACAGGAAACTTTCTCTGACCTCTTCATTTGAAATCTTCCTAACATCTCACACTTCTCTGAAGCACTTCCCATGGTTGCAATTTTACATATGTTTGTATAATCACCTATCCAACACTCATATAACCTCCATCATGGCATATGTCTAAACTTGGTTTTGCTTGCTTACTGCCTTTTTTAATCAAAGAATGGCCCAAACAGTAAACCAAGGGAGATAATATTTAAGAGCAAAGAAAAAATACAGGGTTTAGGTGCCTGAAGACTAAGGAAGAAGCCATGTCAGGTGGCATTTAATACAAAATAATTTGTGATATTAAAGACACATTTTAATGACAGGTGTTGCAGGCAAACAGGAGCTGTTTGGCCTTAAGTAAACTTTTGTTTCCAGTATCTTTAAACATTTACTGTTGTTACAAAGGTGCTACAGTTCCAGATAATTTATTAGCCACTTCTTATATCATATACAAAAAAAAAAAAAACAGTCAGAAATCATGTGAACATAATCTACATGGCTTCTGTTAGCATTCTGTTACTTAATGAGTTAGATGTTTCCTATTTAGAAAACAATAATTTGTACTTAAGTAAAATATGAACTTTTAGGCAAAACTTATTTATAAACCTGCCTGTGATTACAATGTGAAAGCCAACACCTTGTGTAAACAATCAAATATGTCACTGCTATTAAATTATATCTTCATGTTGAATTTTGGTGCTTACATGTGCCTATAGGCTTTTTTGAAGTGTTCTGACTTTCCTAATGGTTGAGAACTTGGGTTTTGTAATGGAGCATCTCCAATTTGAATCTGAGCTATTTATTAGTAGCTGTGATCTTGAACAAGTTACTTAACTCCTTTGTGTTGTGGTTTCCTTATCTGTAAAATGGGATTATAGTAATAAATATCTCACAGAATTGGCATGAGAATTTAAAAAACTTATCTAAAGTGCCTAGAATAGTAATCAGGCTAAGTTAACTATCATTATTATATTCAGTATTTTATTAAGCTCCTATAGAAACACTTCATGGAATGATGGGAAAATAGTAATTAATTGGATTTCCAAGACATATTTAATAGCAAGAAGTTGATTCCACATTCTAGAATCAGCTTTTTAATGATTTTAGTACAATAAACTATCTTCTCTACAAAGCTATGAAAAGGCAGAGAAACCTCAGCACATATACTGTACACATCTTATTTTACTCCTCCAATCATAGTTCTACCAGGACATTATATTGAGATGGATATTTAAATTTTTATTGAAAGCTATAGAAGCCCGGTGCCAAAGTATCTTTTAAGGAGTGGACCATTGCTTCGATTGATTAATAAATGACCCCCACTAAATTAAGAGACAGACAAGAGGAAACATATTTGTAACATACCTCCCAAACATCCAACTTGACATATTGAAATATCAGAAGATCCACTCTGTATTTCTGACTAGTTGAGCAGAATATCCATTTTCTATAAATATTACTATAATTGGATTCTTCCTTTACAAAGACTGTTATGCTTTGGGGAAATTAATTGGTCTCTAAATCTTCATATAATAATGTGCATTTGGATTCGAGCTATATCTTTATAACAGAGGTTCTCAAATGGGTGGATGTTTTGTCCTCCAGAATGCACTGATACTGTGTGGAGACATTTTTGGTTGTCACATACATAAACCTACAGTTAAGTACTGGTAGAGACTGTTGTGAACATTCTAGAAAATTAGACCCTAGTACTCTGTAGTGCCTAACTGCACACCAAATATGATTTTAAATAGAAGGTAACAAGATTAGATAATACATTTGGGGAACCGGTAACCCACTACAGTTAACTTTACTGTATTTCCCACCACGTGCTTAATAACGGGACAAAATGAAAAGGGGTCGTTTTCTCTGCCCTCTGCACATTTTTCTTGAGTGCCTCTGGCGCCAACTGTTCGGGCTTGGGGTTGAGCGTCAGTAGCTCGCTACTGCCCTTGTCTTGGCCAACGGCAGTCTGTACCCTGACCCGCCCCCCATCCGCCTAGAGCGGCCGGCCGAGGGGACGTTGGCCGCCGCCACAAGCACCGGGGCCAGTCCCTCTTCGCACTCACCCGTCACCCGAATGGACTCCAGCATCGTCCCGCCGAGGCCGCGGGCGAACGGCTCCGCGGGCGCGGGGGGCGAGGGCCGAGCGAGAGCCTGAGGGGTCGCCCCTAGCCTCCAGCCGGGACTTCGGAGGAGGGGTAGCGGTGGGAGGTTGCTCTCGGCAACCTGGGGCAGGATAAGGTGGGTGAAGACGAAAGAATTCGTACGGACACCGGGCTGTGAGCGGCGATCCCTCCAGTTCTCAGGTGCGGGAAGGTACACAAGGCGGCCCCACACTGGGTAGCTGCGTTTATAACCCGCCACCGTGACGTTAGCCTCCCCCGTTGCTAGGAAACGCTCCTAGCTATAGCTAAGCTCCTGAGAGTCTGCGCGTTGCTTGGGGGCGCTCCAGCTACCGCCGCGGGATTCGCACCAAGAAGGAGAAATGCGGAACTACAGCTCCCGGCGTGCACTGCGCAAGCTAACGTCTCTGGGGCTTGTGGGCTGGACCCTGAACTGACGCAAACCCGTGGGTTAAAGGCATTTTGACAGATTATCCCCCAAAGGCGTTTGTCCGCGTAACTACGCTGTAGCTTCACCAGCACTCTGTCCATGCTGTGAATTGCAAAGTCAGTTTTCCCATTAGTTAACTTAGTAGATGCGGACAAGCTAAAACAAATTTAGTTGAGCTGCAAATAACGTAGGGAAAATTCAAATAGGTCCTTTATGACATAGGTCCTATCATCTCTTTGATCTCATTTCCCACTCCCCTTTCCCTTTGATCCTCTAGATACATTGATTTTCTTGATATTACTGAAAAATCACTCCAGGCGGGTTGCAATTTGGAATTGCTCCTGCCCGAAATGCTCTTCTCCAGACATCCGCAAGACAGCCTTCACTTCAATACTTAAACATCACTTCTCAGTAAGGCCTTTCATAGTTACTCATTTAAAAACCGCATTCTTTATTGGACTGTGACTGGGCATTTGGTAGCAGGCAAAGTGAGAGTACAATCTTGGAACCTATGCACTGTTATAATGCTACCACAATAAAAATGTTTAAAAGTAAAATAAAATTCCATTTTGTTTTCAGATATCCTATGCCCCTTTTCCGCCTTTTTTCTTAATAATTAATTTTATCTAATTTATTATATATTTTGCTGATTCGTCTTTATCATTATGTCTTCATCCCTAGAATAAAATTTTCACACGTGCAGTGATGTTTGTTCACTGCTATTGTCCTATCATCTAGAATTATACCTGTCACATAGTGGCCATTTGATAAATATTTGTAAATTAACTAATAAGTAGAAAGCATGCATTTTTAATGATAAAGAAAACAGAATGATATGAAATGGACATCATTTTTAAAAATTACTTTTATGTTCATCCTACCAGCATTTTCTTTTCTTCTGAACCACTTAGATTTCTAAATATCCTTAATGATAAGTACCACAGTACTTATATCAGTGCATGATATAGGAGCATTTGAATTTATCAAAGGATTTGAAAAGAAAGTCTTCATGTGTTATTGAACACTGAAATACTCTTGCTAACAAATTTGTGAATGCAGAGTTTAATTTCTTACAAACTAGTATTGTTATCAGCTCCTTTACCATTCTCCCATATTCAATTATTCATCCTCATCAAGCTCTGTGCATCTGCTTTGTTAATTATTGATTTGCACTGTGACTGCTTAGTATTTCCAGTGGGTACAGCCTTTGCAGCTGTCAGCTTGGCTGCTATTGAGTCAGCATTGTTTTTACATATCCACCAGAACAATGAACAATTCCATCTTCTGAGAAACTTTCCTTTATACCTGTTTCTAAATAAATCTTTAATATTGAGACAAAAGAATTGATGTGATTATCAGTTGCTACTCAAAGTACTCATGCAAAATGAAGTTAGGAATTTATTAAAACTTAAAGGTGTACCTCCTCTTTTCTAAAGTTGAAATTAAACTTAGGTTTTCCAATAATAGACAAAAATATTATAGTTCCTCTGCTTCAGTATTATACTGGGCTTTACTTTCATTTTTACATACACTAATAGCATTACATTGTGGACCGCTTTTATACAAAATCTTTAAAGACTTCGTTCAATTTTGGATACAAAAACAATAAGATATTTTAATAGAAATATTGTTCTTTTATATAGATGGGGTTTTTACATTACAAATAAAGACCTTATATTATCTTGTCAGTAATTTTTGTTTAATTAACTAGCTGTATGTTTATCTGTATATTCACAAAAAAGAATATACAAATATTCATACAGGATAAAAAATATTGGTCAACACTTAGATAGCATTTGATATTTACCTTGATTGGGGGAGTTTGGGTAGTAAAGGCTAAGGAAGAGGGACAATAGTGAAGACTAGAAAAGGCTGTTAATTATTATTGACTAACTAGTGTTAGTGGAGAGACAAACAACTATATGTCACATTCTATAGCAAAAGTTCAGTATATATTATGCTTGAAACAGAGAAACTTAATTTCTTTAGTTCTTAGTAACTAAAAAATGAGACTTGATGAGAGTTTAAAAGAATGGGAGAAGTTTCTGGAAAATATTTTTGACTTTTCTTCCTGTTATAATGGAAGTAATTTATGTCACTGAAAATATGTCACTGAAAATACATACATTGAGGAACATTCATCTGCAGCCTGCCCTAATAGAACGGAGCAAACATAGTGCCCAGATTCTGACAATCAGTAACAAAAGCCTCACGGCAAGCAATAAACAATGCTTCTTGAATCACAGAAGAAAAAATTCAGGGACTAGTTGGTAGAATTAGTTTTCATGACTTTTTAAATTTTCAGGTAAGTTTGAATGCTTTCAGAATGCCTATACTGAGAGAATGGAATGTTTTCAGTATGTCTATATTCAGAAGAATGGAAAACATTAAGTGGAAGCCAAATGAAAGAATGCATTGTGAAACAGTCTCTGCCTTTACAATTCAGAGAAAAAGAACACCACAAAAAATCCTGGGAAACAGTGACTTTTTTTTTTATAAGATAGTGATTGGGGTAGGAAAGAAGTTTTTAAACAAAAACATTGTCCATCTTATTTATATTTTTTAAGAAACCAAAATGTGTCTTAATTTACTCCTTCCACAGATACTGACAAGTGCCTGCTGTATACAAGAAAAGACTTGATAAAAATACATGATTCATACCTTTAGAAAATTTACTGAGAGTGCCTAAAATATATGTGAAAACATACACACACATCAGCTAATCCTTAGCTCCAACATCAGGGATGCTATGGTGAGTAAATTAGTATCCCAGTTCCCTTGAAGCTTATATTATACTGGTAGAAACAAACAAGTTAAAAATTATGCCATTTCAGATACAGATGAATGCTAGGAAATCCTGTCAATCAGAGAAGTATGCTAGATGGTGACTTGGAATAAGGATGGGTGAGTCAAAGAAAGGCCTCTTGGAGGAAGTTACTTTTGAGCTGAGACATTGAAGGATGAAAGAGTCAGGCATAGTAAATTTAGGTAAGGGGAATTGCAAAGGCAAATGTCCTGAGTTGGGAATCATCTATCTTTACATGATTATGGTGCTATGTGTGAAGGTCAGCATGGTTGGAGTTCAGTGAACCCTTGCAAAGTGATAGGAAAAATTATTTCAAAGTAGGTGGGGCCAGAACAGGAGTTTGGACTTTGTTCTAAGTGCTGTGAGAGTCACAGGTGGATTTTAAACAGGGCTGTGACATTATTTGGCTTATGTTTTTAAAACATCCCATTGGCAGCTCTGAGGGTAAAGATAAGAGGGTGAGAATGAAAGCAGGGAAACAAGAGGGGGAAATTCTTGCTTTTTGCTAAGTCATGTTGATGATGGCTTAGAGTGACAAGGAAGCTGTAGAGTGGGAGAAGTAGAAGACCATGTATTTTGGAGGCAGAGTTGATCTGTGAGTGGAGGAGAGAAAGAGGAAATTGGGTTTCTTTTTTGGTTTGAACAATTAGGTGGATAGTGAATCATTTAGAAAAATGGAAAAGACTAGGGAAGAATACACATAATATTTTTTTTCTTGCCTTCCTTTTTGGAATAGATTTAGTTAATATGTGGCCTCATAGAAAAGGGTAAGGTGGACAGTCAGGTCCACTATGTGGGCATGGCTACAAGGCACATTTTAAATCTGACCAAATAGAGAATGGATTGAAGGTAAGGGCTAGGGGGTATTAGTCTCAGTACAGAGAGAAAGAGGGAAAAATATAAATATTCAAGATCAGAATCAGGAGACCAGTTTTGGGGTCTGAAATTTTGGACATGGCACACTTTCAAGTATTGATTAGAGTTCAAGTGCAGCCATATATAAGGCAGATGAATAGAAAAGAGGAGGGGTCAGTATAGTATATCCTGAATGGTGATGTCAGAATATAGAAGACGACAGACACTAATGATTCATCAGTAAACATTTTTAGAGACTTATTACATGCCAGACAAAAATGAGCCTGAGAAAGTCTGTGATGGTATTAGAATGTGAAACAGAGGAATGTGAGAGTAGACATCACAAATGCCAAAATTTGGGAAGGTTAATGAGTGAAAACACTATGGTATGAAAGTAGTATGACAGGAAAAATATCAGAAATGTTTGAAAGTTGAAGTTCATGAAATTTGTGACAGATATCAGAGAAGTACAATGATCTAGTACAATCTCATAACAAAGTTAAGGAGACTTTATTTTTGATGTTCAACAGAGGTTGATGCTTAAAAAAATACTGACTTTTGCTATTTTGTAATATTTCAGAGCTATTTTCTTTAATATAGGATCATTACAAAATTGGGATCTATGAATATACCTTTCAGAAATTTAGGTGTGGAAAAGTAAAGTTGCTAATATATAAATTTTAGTATGAAAAACACCTAAAAGAGTTCTTTCTCTTTATGAATGATTTTACTGTTGTCTTTAAATATGAATTGCCTTAAAACCCTTGTTAATCACTAGTAAAAATAAGAACATTAAAGCTGAATATATTTTGAGAATGGTCTAACAAAGGAAATATGTCTGTTTGGTTTTTGGAAACAATTTAAATATGTTCAGAGAGTACTATCTGTTTTCTCTCACACTGGACTATGGAACATTTTCATTGACTAAATGACAAAAGAATAAAAATCTGTGAAGCTAAGGACTTTTAATAACAAAGACTGTAACAAATAAAAATAGCCCTTTTCAGTAAAATGTATATAACATTCTTTGATGGCTCTTACTTCTTCATTGTAATAAATGTAAAAGAAATGGCCTTTCAGCCAGATAACCTGATGTAGAGAAGTTGACTTTAGTTCGTGCCCCTTCCTTATGGTTAGATCTCGACTTTTTCACTCCCTGTAAAAATAAGAATATTTATCATATATCATTTTGTGTCCTTATTTAAATCAACAAAAATTCCTGGTCTCACTTTCCAATGTTGTTTCAAACAATCTCCCACCTATCCCTTTCTTGTCTAGCACTAGATAAAAATTCAAGCATCTATTCCCTTTTGTTCTTAAGTAGCATATTTTGAGTTAAATACCAACAATTTGATATACTAGACACTTGCATATTTTTACTACAGGCTACTTTGGAATCTCTATTTTCATGTGATCCACCTAACAACTCCAAGAATGGCTAGGTAGTTGATTATTTAGATAACCTGAACTTCCAAAGGCTAAGTCAGATGTTCTTAACCTGGTGACCACAAATTTCATGAAAGTCTATTAGTGTATTATTGAATGAGCACTTTTCTAGATAGAGGATCATCATTAAGTGTATTTTCAAAGAAGTCCATGACTCCCCCAAAAGGTTAAAAAAAGGTGTTCAATGATTTGCCTGAAGGCTAAGGTTATATAGCCTTGGTGGAGCCAAGTAACTTCTAACCCACACTAAGAATTCTTATTTATAATCCATGACATCAAAATTCAAATTACAGATATTACTAGTGAAATACCTTTTGTAATGCTTATGGATCGTTAGAATTGAAACATCAATATGCTGAAACCAACCCTGAAAAAAAATACTCATTATAATACTCTCTCACTATAAATTATTGAGTCTATATAGGAAAGATTGTCTTAAAATGTCAGTAATCTAAAATAACGGTCTATTTACCTTATCTGGAATAGTTTTGGTATGTTCGGCCGTTGATCTACAAGGTGTTATTTTCAAACCAACAAGTGAGGAAGAAGCCTCGTTACAAGTCCCAACAGAGACTTGCTAAAGGAAAAATGCATCTAAAGGTAACTAGGTAACGTTTAGCAATCAGAATAACACGAGACACAGCCTAATCTACTGATGGAAAGCATACCACGAACTGAGAATGGGACTTTTATTTTTCTTGGACCAGTTAATGTCTCAGTGTCTCCTTCCTCTAAACTGCAAAAAGGAAGGATTAAAGTATATGGCTTCTCAGCATCTTCCCAGTTCTAACATTTTATGTAATTGAGTGCATGTGCACATATGGAATAGTAAAAATGCACAAAATGAGGAATGATGAAAAAAAACCAAGGGCTATCAAAAATTAAATTTTACTGCATGAGGACTAAAATGTATTAATAATGGCTTAAACACATGAAAAATCTGGAGATTGAAAGCTCTGACAATTTGTCAGGGACAGAAAAAAAAATGTAACCACAGTTATGTAGGATGTAAGCTACTGAAATTAACAAAAAGTAAAATAGAAAGCATGAAGGAGCTTTGTGTGTAAGCTTTGCATATAGTCTATGTTAAGGCTCATCTTTCCAGTAGGAAAAGTTTCCAGCGCGCAAGATGGGTCACAAGCCATTAGCCTACGTGACCAGTAAACACTAGCTTTGCCCCTCACGAGGACCAAGACCGCAGAAGCCTTCGGGTAAAATTAAGCAAGGCGAAAAGCTACCGACGGCCCTAGGGCCAGTGGGATTTCAAAACACTAGAGGTCTTAATCTTACATTTAGGAATGTGGGAAGGCGGGAACGCCCACGCACAGCGGCTGCAAATCTACCGGTTTAAAATGGGTGGGGAGAATAAGCGTCGCGGGGTGGGGCTTCGGCAGGCAGGCGGTTAAAACGCTTGGAGAACCGAACCTACCGCCGCTACCAAAGCCAGAGCTAGGCTGAGTACCGAAACCAGGAAACTCCCAGCGCGCAGCGGGCGGGAGAATCCACGTGATCGTGCGTGGGGGCGGAGAGAGGCGCACCCGGCCCCAAACGCATGCGCGCGGCTCCAGGCGCTGAAATTCAAATTTGAACGGCCTCCGCCGAGACTGACACTGGAGACTGGGGGAAAGAGGAGAGTAGTTTGGGAGAGCACTGCCGCCCCCGACTCCTTTTTTCTCCAGGTGACAGTAAACCGGGACTCACTTCTTTTCTTTTTTTGAATTTGAGCCATCGTTTCCGCAATCTTGCTATCGACACAGGAAGCCTGGGGCGATGGACCCGTTTACCGAGGTGAGAAAACTTGCGGGCGCAGCCTGTCATAATCTCTCTCGGACCCCACTTCCTCCCCACCTTCTGTCAACCTCTGGGCCCACCGGCGGAGAACGCGAGTGTGCGCGTGCGCAGAATGCGTGAGGGAGGCGTCACGGCGGGGTGGGGGTGGTGGTGGTGGTGGTGGTCTCGGTCTCCGTCTTGGTTGCGCTGCCTTCGGCTGCTGTGTTTGCGGTTTTCTTGTGGTCCTTGTCCTATTGAAGACTTTTGAGTCTGGCCGAAAAGGCGGTAGGGAAAAGCGCCTGTGAGCCACGGTTATTATGCCCCTTGGCAGTGGAGCCCTGTTCTCGGTGAGAGTGAGCTTGGGACCAGGCAGAACTGGTCCGGTTAAGAGTAGTAACAGCCGGCATAACTTGTAGGGTGGAGTCGGGTGCTGAATGAGTCAGTGCTGTGTTTGCAGCCGCCTCTTGGGAACAGAATGGAATGTGATTTTGCGGGATTCATGCGGCACGCAGAGAAGCTGTATTTGGGGATACTGCTAATTAAATGTCTGCAAAACGTTCAAATAAATCATTGCTTAAACCTTTGCATCCCTGCCTGTAAAGTTCCTTCGGATTCTGTCGCTCAGCTACCTGGCGAAGTTTCGGGTTTGACACTCTTAATGGGAAAGAACTGACGCCAACAGATTTAGGTATTAAGCAGAAGTATTAACCTACGACTTAAATAAGCAGAGTAAAGAAACAGACCTTGTTTGTGTACGGAGCAGAATAGTATTAGTAATACTTTATTTTTTTTGAAATTGAATGCGGGTTGATTAATTAATTACGCCGTTATTATATCAGTTATTTATCTAGCTTGGCTTGTTGAGAATGCACATTGACATACTCAACTGTCCACTCCCTTGACTTCCAGGACAGTTCCTCTTTCTTTAATTGTGCAAGTTTAAAACTTTTTTTGAATTGTTGTAAAGCGCGCTAAAAGATGACTGTACACTAGATTTTAAAATTTAAAGGCTATATAGAATAATATTACTTTTTGGGAGATACGGTTACAATTCCATAACTACCTAAGAGATTAAAAGTTACAGAAATGAGAATTTACTTGCATTCAAACAAAACAGTATTTTTTGTTTCAAATACTCAGTCATCTTGGGGAAATCACCTTAATTTGTTCACCATAAAGATATTAATAGAAAAATCCAGAACACGTTCTTATATTAACTTTAAAGAATAGCACTGGTTAACACATCAGTTTTTTATTGAAGTTTTAAAAGTATGTATTGTTTTGTTATTAGAATAGGAAACAAAACCATTTCTTCTGTGTGATCTGAATTTTTTTTTCTATTTCAAGTACCTGGAAAGAACAAAGCATTTGAGAGAGGACTGTAAATTGTATTTCATTTTATTTAGAAACACCCTTCTGAAGTTAGCAAAAATCTCAATGAAATAATTTTCCTTTGAAAGGAATTTTCATTTTAGAGTGTGCTCAACGTATGCATGGTTTAATATATATAGTTTATATTATGAAATGGTAGACAGTTACAGTTGAAATAAACAGCTTTGACATCTTTTCCTTAATTGGTAATCAGTGGACTATTTGTTTTTGTTCCAGTGATCAGTGCATGATGTTAGGGCTCATAACATTTTATTATTAAAAAACAGGGCTAGACAAGGAACTGTCCTCAGAAAATTAGTTAAAATGACTTTCTCAACCAGAGTTTCTTATCAAAACCATAGAACACAAAAATTTTTTGAGGGGCTCTTTCCTCAATTTTCCCAAGGCAGCTCATACCTAGTAGAGCATTCCTACAACCATAGGAGAGATGTGAATTCATTGTATTAATGCTAGGGCATTAGGGCTAATTCTCTTGGAAACAATGATTGAGAAAGGCAACAACCATCCTAAATTCTCTTTTCCTCCAACAATTCAGTGGTTCATTGATTGTCCTCCCCGCGTGGTATGGTGTGCCACTTTCTTCAACTCCTTGTCTCTTCCACTTGTCATACTGTTTAATCTCCATCTGGGAAGTTTATATCTCCCATTTTTAGAGGATACCTTATCTTTCATAATGCTGATCTCACTTGTGTTTATCTGTCAAAGATGCTTCCTGCCAGAATAGGAAGGACTGCTTTCCTATTCAGAGAAGTTTCCCTGACAACTAGTACCCTATGTCATTCTATTGATGGCATAGAAAAGTCATTCAGTCCAACTTACTTTACAAAGGAAAAATTATATATAACAGTAACTATCAGAATATTTTAGCAACTTTTCTTTTATTTATGGTAGAAAATTTCAAAGTACACATGTATAATAACAGGCACCCATTACCCAGCAACTTACGGCCACGTTGTTTCACTGTATCCTGGTGGACTGCCTCCCTTTGCATTATTTGGAAGCATATCCTATACATAATATAATTTTAAATACGTCAGTATTTATCACAATAGATAACAAATTTTTTTAAACATAAGAATAATGCCATTATCACCCTAAGAAATTAACACTTCCTCAGTAGCAACTATTTTCTCAGTGTACGATTATCCCAAGTGTCTTAAATGTGTTTGCAGTTGTTTGAATCAGGATCTACATAGGGTCCACAGGGGAATGTCTTGAATGATGATCTTGAATCAAATAGAAATATAGAATTCATCTTGACGCCTGTCCAAGCAGTTGAGGAAGATGATTATTAAGATCAGCTGATTGCATTAAAAATATATCTGCTATTGTTACAGAGCAGATTGAGAGGCATCCCAGAGCCTCCAAACCTGCCCACTTGATCTGCCATCTACCACATCAAGACAAAACATAACTTAGTGCACAAGGCCTTTAATGGAAAGGAATTTTAATACAGTTAGTATGCAAAAAGAGAAGGGAAGGAATATAGCTTCCAAATCAAGTACCTGAAGTTACCCATCCCCTTGTGGATTAATGTTGGACCAAATAGGGTTGGTCCACTGAGCAGGACCACTGAGGCCCAAAAGTTTGCCTCAAGTCTAAAGCACCTTCTAGTGGGTTCCCATTAGAAGGGGCAGAAGGGGCAAAAATCAAAATCGAGGTTAAAATCTGCCATTGTTAACCTCTCTATGGATCTCTCACATCAGTTTCAACCAGCACAAGACCAAGAATTTTATTTACATGTCTCTCTGTTCCATGTTCCTCCTTCAGGCTCTCTCGCTTCTCTCTGCTCAGCTCCACCCTTCGTTGAGTGAGTCAGAGAACCTGTAACCTCTGTTCTTCTTTGGACAACCCTGTCGTGATATGAAGTTACAATCTGTTGAAAATAATTCTGTTAAAAGAGCATTTGGACATAGTGAAGAGACACTTTAGCGCATAGTGATTAAAAGACCATATTGCATTTGCCATTTCTTTACCTGCTATTTCTTAGCTCTGTGATACTATGTGGTATTTTGTAACATGAGCCTGAGTTTCTTCAGCTGCAAAACAGTGGTAGAAATAGAATCTACCAAATACAGTTTAGAAAATAAAGGAGTTAGTATGTGCACACTGAAAGTATATTGAATCCTATATAAGCCTTACTGATATACTTGTTAGGTGGTTTTAAACCACCAACTTAATAACATATCAGTGTGAACTTCTTAATTTGAAGAACTGCTCTCATCCCAGTCTAAGATTAGCACAGGAAAACCCAGAGCTTAGGTGTGCCAAATTAGAGTTTTCTCTGTAGCAAACTTAAAGAGAAAAATAAACAAAAACAAAACTGCAATCCATTACCTTATTAGGCATTTTTTTTATTGTGAGATACCTTAAATTCTTTTATGCATGCCGGCTGAACATAAATCAGTCTGCTGTTACTATGTTGAATAAAGTTATTTTATAGAATTAAAATCTCTATAGTGACTGGGAAAGAGAGCTGCTAGAGCATAATAGAAGTAAGTCAATTTATGTTGCGTCTTTTCAAAGAAGACAGGGAAATCAATAGTACTATCAAGAAAAATTTCTGTAGAAATGATCTGGGATATATGTGGCAGAAATTGCTTAGGGTCCATGAGCTTTGATTATCAATGTGGAATATCTTTTCCCCCATTATGTTAGTTATAGAAGTGTTTTTTTTTATGCTTCTATATTGTGAAGGAGGTCTGATTTTTGAAGAAATGTGCCTTAAATTTAAAAGAACTCAAGTTCTTTATACACAATTATAAGGAAAGATAACATTTATTAAACTTTTGAGTTTATGTTCTTTGGATACATCATTTCTTTTAATCCTTGGTGCTTATTAGTTTTACTTTACAGGTATTTTGTCTTATCTACTTTAACTTTTTTAATCTTGAAATTTTTTAGTCCAATTTGGACAATAGCATACTTGTGTTTGTTTGAATGGCAGAACCACATTCTTTTGTTGTGATGCATAGCTCATGGTAACTGAAGATATACTGACTCACAAGACTCTTAACTGACCAGAATGGAATGTGGGCATGTCTATGAATAAACATAATTAGGCGAGGTTTGAATTTGGGGAGTGATAGATATGATAGATTTCTGGTAGGGGTGGGGACAATCAGAAATATATGAATTTGTATAACAAAATAACTTTGAGTTTGACTGAAGATCTTTGTTTTAGAAGGTTTTATTTCACAAATTGCTCTTTCAGTGATAGAGATTCCATATTAGTTATTTCATTGAACTTTAAGTTAGAAATTGTTCCTAGGAAAAATAGCTTGCTTTCTTCCAAATTTAGCTCAGATATCTTTCACATACTCAAGGAAATTTTAAAAAATTATATTATTTTAAATTAAGAAGGTCAAATGGACATTAATTTCTTAGTCGGCACTATGATAGCTGTATTTTTACCTCTAGTCAATAAGGTGCATTGGACAGAAAATTAGTTCTTTACAGTGTCTTGTGTTTGTTTTACCACACTAATTCAAGTAAGAATGTTGGTTGGTTCCAAGTAAGAACAAAGGAATATTCATGATTTAATGGAATGACTAAGATTTTAACTTAGTTATTTTATTATGTTTATGTTTAAAATGTTAGATTTTTAGTTTCTCTTATGCAGTACTATATTTTTAAAGGGCCAAATATGCTCTTTACCACCACCTCATATTTTAGGGACAGCTATAACAAATTACTACAAATCTAGTGGTGTTTTATTGATCAAAGCAAATCATAAAACCCACCTAATGTAAGGGTATGGAAATCAATTCTTTTGATTGAAGCAGAAAAGTCTATGACTATTTAAAATCTTCTGCATCTAGCTTTATATATTTTATTCCTCATTTAATTTTCATGTTATATCAATCTTTTTGTCATTGGGCTGTTTGGTGAATCTTAATTATTAGAGTTTCTCTTTTGACATGTTACTTAACTGCTATCTTATGTGGCAACTGGTGATTTTAGAAGTTTTGTGAACCTTTAACTAAACTTGTGTCCTAACACTGACATATATGTAGAAACTGCTTGAACGAACCCGTGCCAGGCGAGAGAATCTTCAGAGAAAAATGGCTGAGAGGCCCAAGGCAGCACCAAGGTCTGGGGCTCACATTAAGCGAGCCAGAGAACCGCTATCCGAAGCAAGTAACCAGCAACCCCTCCCTGGTAGCGAAGGTAAAAGACTTGTGTGTGTGGGGGGGGGGGGGCGGGAGGGGGGCAAAGCTTGCACCTTTTAAAGGTGATAAGCCCTAAGTATTTCATTATGCAAGGTAAGAGTCTTTGAAAGACAAATGTAATGGTCTCTGAGGGAAAGATTAGCCTTATCTTTTATAACTGTTATATTAGGTCCAGAATCTATCAGGCCGGAGCAGAGGAGCAAATAAATTCAAATTAATTGTTTGAACTTTTTATTTTCTTCAGTCCAAACTTATCTTGAAAAACACAGGAGCAGGGGAACACTTACACTGGCAGTAGTATGAGATATGTTTATGTATACCCCAATAATGCAGAGCATCTGACCACCAAGTTTAGATGGTGCCACCTTTCTGGCATAAACACAGGAACAAAAGGCAGTCCTGCACAAATACTTGCCATTTAATGAGTCTTTTCATCCTTGTCTGTTGAACCATTTTTTTAAAAGAAGGTTGGCATACAATATAGGTTGTTGGTCTATTATAGAGTAGGTAAAATTGAAAAAAAACAAAACTCACCTGGAAACTATTGTATTCTTTCCTAAATTCTGGCATCAATCAGCCAGGATCAAGAGCCAGGATCAATCAGTTGCCTTAGTCTTTTTCTAGAATGATGAATAGCCTGGAGAGAATAATTTTCCTTAGTATAATGTTAATACATATAAAAAAGAGCAGTATGGTATTTTGTATTACAATATTACAGTAAAGCACAGTTAAGGCCTGGGACTAGCGCACAGTTATTTTGGAAGCTAGGCATTGAATGAGAATTTATTTTCAACTGTTTATACATTTTGAATGTAGGGAGGGAAATATATTACATGGTATGGAATTTAGAGGGAAAATAGGGGCCAGGCCCCAGTCCAGGATTTGTTACTGTTTCTATGATGATATAGGTTTCTACAATCAAATATTGAGTACAGCCTACTTGAAAACCATTGGATAGAACTACATTTTAATGCTTAAATGGAAGTATCTACTGTTTTGTAAGAGAATTATAAATTTGAAGAATTCTGTACTTCCAGGTGGTGTTGCATGTTAAAATTGGAACATTTTTAAAAATATTATTTCATGTATTTATGGAGAATAGATCCATAAAGGGGTCCAGAAGATTAGAATGAATCCTGACGTATGCATATTTAGGTTGATGTCGGGTAGAGCAATCATGACTTTATACTATTCTGGTAAAACTGCCAGAATAAGAACACTTGTTTAGACAGCCATTGAAACTGGTCTCATATGAGATTTTCTTTTTTGCTTTTAAGTTGTTAACTTTTTAGGAGAAATATTGTTAATCATTCCTGATTAGACATAATATTGTGTAGGTATTTTGGGACTTTAACATTTATTTTGTAGGTGTTCATAGACATTTAAATTGTGAAATATAGTTAAACACTTGTGTTGATGGATCTGTTTGGTACTGATCAGATAATTCAGTTATTGTTTTGTTTCCCTGCCTCTCTCCTAAACCTCAAATCAGGTACCCTTCTACCATTGCTTACTGTCCATGAAAGATAATTTTAAAAGCAGATAACTTTCTTCCTATTCTTAGTTCACTTGAGTGCCAATTTAAGAAGGGAGCTTAACTTCTCTTTGCTTGATAATTATATAAGAATGATATAATTGAACTAAATGACCTTTAAACTCTTTAGAACATTTTTTACTCTGTGTATGCATGTGTAATTTCCTATTGTCTTAAGACTACATGAAGTATTATACATGTAATTAAAGGAATAGCGAAACACATATTAATTTGCTGAGTACCCTGCTGCAAGTTTTTCATACTATGAGAAATTACAAAATTTTGAAGATTTTTTTCCTTTTTTTTTTTTTTTTAATCTAGAGAAATCTTGTACAAAGCCATCACCATCAAAAAAGCGCTTTGCTGAGTACCCTGCTGCAAGTTTTTCATACTATGAGAAATTACAAAATTTTGAAGATTTTTTTCCTTTTTTTTTTCTTTTTAATCTAGAGAAATCTTGTACAAAGCCATCACCATCAAAAAAGCGCTGTTCTGACAACACTGAAGTAGAAGTGTGTAATTTGGAAAATAAACAACCGGTTGAATCAGTTTCTGCAAAATCCTCTTCTCCCAGTCTTAAGTCTCAGGGGCAGCCACAAGAACCATCAGTTCCTATCAGCGATCCAGCATCACAGCTGGAAGGGAGGAGAGGGCTGAACTCAGCACAGGAAACAACTTCAGCCTCCTCAGTTAAAACTCGAATGCAAAAACTGGCAGAGCAACGGCGTCATTGGGATAATGATGACATTACAGGTATAAATTATATAGATGGATTGGTCCGAAAATTGTTAAAGTAAAACTCAATTTGGGACGTTGAAAATTTTTATTCCTCCATTAATACATGAAAGGTAATACTTTTGTGTAACCCAAGTATCTTTTGGTTGAAGATGGTTTGTATATCAATAGTATATGCATTGGTTGTGTTCTCATTGAAGTAGATAATGATGTAATTCTTAGACTAGTTTACAAACACCTGATCTTATATTATCTTGTATTTGCAATTAAAAAAAATCATAAACTCTGGCATTATTAGCTTTGCTTACCTTCAGATCTATACTCAAGAAATCGTACTTTGTGTATTCAGTAATTAAATAATCCTCAGTGACTGAGGTTTATGGTGCTGTTTATTAAGGGAGAAAGAAAACATCAAAAGGTACTTATTGAGCAACTGCAAAGTATATTATTATGCTAAGATGCTGTAAGGCTCGCTGCCTTTAAATCAGATGTAGAACCTGAAAAGTGAATCAATAATCATACAATAAGACTATGATTACTTTTGTATTTTTATTTTTGTATTTTTGTTTTATACCTTGTTACACAAAAAGCCTTAATATGGTGTATAAAAATATATGTATTATAAAAACACGACAATGAGGAAATCAAGGTGAAGAGAAAATGGACAAGGAAAGAAATGAAGAAGAAAAGTTAGTTTATTAAATATAAGTCTTAAGTTCTTCCTCACTTAGCCAAAGGTGGTTCTGAACTTGCTGGCACCAATGGTACCAGGTAGAACACTATCACTTACATGACTAATGTTTATAAGATAAAAGCACACCATCATTGGCACTAAGAGAGAACTTTCTTCTCATGTCCTCAAAAATGACTCTGTGGGCACTGTTAAACATACAAGGTTTTCTAGGTAGACAGATGGCCTGAGTCAAACCTTGTTCAGTTAAAGCAGTTCCAAAAATCAGCCAGCACAGTGCAGGTGGGCAGCTCAGTGGTGGCTGGTCCTTACCCAAGACAGTATTCCTTAAGCTTTGGCTTTTAGCCAGGCTCCTGTATCAAAATCATTCAGACCATTGATCTGGTATCTCATGAATATCCAAGAGTTCTGGGATATTTAGTCAAAAATCAAATCAAATGACCTGGAAAAATGGATGGATTATATATTTTTCAGGCAATTTTCTATAAATGTAAATTCTTTTAACCAAAACTTTGATAAGTATTGGATAACAAAGAATTTAAGCTTATACTACACCATCTTTGTTGAGATAACATTGGTTTATAACACTTTTTAATGGTTCAGGGGAATAGACTCACATCTCTTCAGATGTATGTTACGGTCCCACTCCCACCATCCAAGTAGCCACAGCCGGTTACATAGACCGCTGGTTTTCTTCCCACCTTTGTTTCAACTCCCTTCTACCCCTAGCCTCAATTCTTCAGTTATATTTATAGGGTTTATTTTGGTTTGGTTTTGTTCCTTTGTGGGTTTTTGTTGTTTGTTTTCACTATATTCCATATCTAAGTGAAATCATCTAATATTTTTTTCTCTCCTTATAACTTATTTCACTTAGCATTTCCTTTCTAGTTCCATCTATCTTGTCACAAATGGCATGAGATAATCTTTTATCTATAACTGAGTAGTATTCCATTGTATATATCACAATTTTTAAAAGATTTATTTATTTATGCATAAATAAATAAACTGGGGTACAGGCCAGAGGTGCAGGGGTGGTAAAAAGGTTCACAAGAGACAGAGTGGGAGCAGAACAGGTAGACTGAAATACAAGGCTGAGGGAGCAATGGGTGGGACAGGAGAGGTCTGCCGTGACGTGGGTCAGCTCCCTGACCAGGGATTGAACTTGTGCTGCTGTGGCTATGACAGCTTCATAGTGCAGTGCTTTAACTGCTGTGCCACCAGTGAGGGCCTTATATCACATTTTTTAGATTATTTTTTTTTATTTTCTTACATCATAATTATCACATCTTAATCCACTGCTCTGTGGGCAAGATTATACTCTGGATGTGATGGTAATGTTAAGAACAAATACTATATAAAGTGCTAGGCATTCTAGTTATTTTTTGTTCTAATATTGCATAACATTTAATTGTTAATTTTATAAGATACATAACACTTTTATCTTCATGATCTACAAGAGGAAACTAGATTTAGAGAAGCTAAGAAACCTTTCCACAGTCAGCAACTAAAATTCAAACCCCAGCAATCTGATTGTAGAGCTCAGTTCTTGTCCAACCTGCCTTTTTTTTTTTTTTTTGCATGTAACAGGTGCAGATATTCCATGTCATCAGTTTTTTGTTTTTTTTTTTTAAGATTTATTTATTTATTCATACAGAACTGGGGTACAGGCCAGAGGCTCAGGGGCAGTGAGAAGATTCACCAGAGACAGAGTGGGGAACAGAACAGGCAGATGGATGAAGTACACTGCTGAGGGGAGCAGTGGGCAGGTCAGGAGAGGTCTGCCACACCATGTGGTCACCTCTGGGGCAGGCGGGAATCGAACTCATGCTGAAGTGGCTTTAGCTTCTCAGTGCTGTGCCTTAACCCGCTGTGCCACCAGGGAGGGCCTCCATGTCATCAGTTTTACCTATATTTCAATAGTATCTGGGGACTCTCTGTACCTTGTTGTTATTCCTGAGAAGGCCAACTAGTAAATATGCCTAAGAGAAAAATGTTCCTTTTCTATTTTGTAGAATAGAGGAATGCAGTTTTTCCTAAAAAACTTTTAAAAAGACTTGATTTAATGTATGGTTAAAAGAACAACAATGGCTTGGTACATTCTAGAGCATGAAGCATTGCAGCAATGATTTTGAAAATTCCTCAAAGCAAAGTTAACAGATGCCTACCTTGGCCTTGAAAATCTCATTAAGGCATAATCTAATTTGTTGAAATTTATGAGTAAAGTATAACTAATAGTTTGATGAATGTGAAACAGGATGGTGGGTGTAAGTTAGTTAAAATTTTGAGGACTTATTCCAATCTATAAAAACTTTCTTTCTGATGGAACAGTTACAAAAGTTAGAGGTCTATTAAGCCTATTCCTGAAACAAAAATAACCGTCATCTGCTTAGAGGACAGTGCTTATTTTAAGGAAAGTTATAGAGGTAAGTAAAAGGATATTGGATTGAATATCATGTAATTTGAAAAGAGTTTGTCTAGTTTCAGCAGCTTGCACATGGGAGCTTTTTACTAGTTCTTAGATTAATTTACCTCTTTTTAATTTCTGAATGGAGTGATCCAGGTATTACCCATAAGTATAACTCTTAAACATGGATTTTTCTGAAAATGTTTTCAGATGATAAATCAGACAACACAGTCAATTCACCAGTACCATCAGAGGGAAAGACTTCCTCCCCTCCCAGACCACCCCTTTCAGAAGCTTCAGCAACTCCAGTTGGGAGAAGAGGCCGTCTGGCCAACCTTGCTGCTACTATTTGCTCGTGGGAAGATGATGTAAATTACTCATCTGCAAAGCAAAACAGTGTACAAGAACAGCCTGGTACCACTTGTTTGTCCAAATTTTCCTCTGCAAGTGTAGCATCTGCTGGGATCAATAGCAGCAGTGTTAAGCAGGAAGCTACATGCTGTTCCCAAAAGGATGGTGATGCTTCTTTGAATAAAGCCCCATCCTCTAGTGTTGTGGGAGCAGCTTTGACTAATGTTGTAGCTTCCAGCTCTGCGGTAAGTAAATGTAATTTGGACTTTGGAACCTTTTCTTTTGCTGTTATAAGTGATAATGTATGATGTATTTATATATGCAGTCATTGTATATTAGTTTATATTTATTTTTAGAATACTGATTTATGGAAAGTAAAAATCAATTTATTTTCCTATTTTGATACCTAACCCCAAGATAAGTTAGCCATTGACAACTGAGTTACATTAATTTAATGTAATTCCAAAATATGTAAATGTAACATGGAATAGGGAATGATGAGCTTCTTCTTACTCATCAGGGACAGCACTGACTATTACTTTCTCTATTCGAATTTGTTGTATCTGTGTGGCAATAGAAGATGACTGATATCTTTGAAAACTTGTAGCTATAATTTCTTCCAAAAGGCAAATTGCTGACTGATTGACCTGCCAAAGGTGGTTGGGTATATTTTTACTATATATGCTTTTAATGTTTGAAAGGTTACCTTGCACACATGTACTACCTCCATAGTTTTTAAAAACAATAAAGAAAAAGGATATTGTGTTTCTGTGCATTGTCTTTAAGTATAGAGCCAGGTTTTACAATTAAACCTATATTCAGTCCCAGCCCTGCAACATAGTTGGAATTGTCACTTTGAATAAGTTACTTGAATTTGCAAAACTTTATTTTCCTATTTGTAAAATGGGAAAGAAATAAATGTAAATGAGGCAATATACATAAATTACTTAATGTGATGCTGTGCATGTTGGTACTTAATTATAATTAGTCATTAAATAATAGGTTTTGTTAATACTGCTGTAAGAAAGAAATATCATTTGGTCTAGTACAGTTAAAATGTATAAAGTTATTAATATGATAATATGGATTTTTTAAAGAATTGGGAGTATCTTGGCATGAAATTACTCATCATTTTTTATGAGTAACTTAAATAATGGTGTTTTACAAGTTGTCTTTTTTCCATACCTTTCACATTGATTTGATTAGAGAGCAAGAATACTTTTCTCCATAGTTTATATAAAGACTTCCAAGCAAATAGGATTTGATTTTTTTTTTATAGATGTTCTGCATATTGTTACTTACCTTAACTGTTATCATGTTTTAGAAAACAACTTCCCCGGTGAAATCTTCTACCCCATCCATCACCAAAGCTAAAAGTTGTGACGTGCAAAATCCTGAGCTACTTCAAAAAGTTCCTGTTAGTCCTCTGAAAACAGAGATATCGAAACCAGTTGAGAAATCAGCTGTGTCCCAGACAGTTCAGCCCAAAAAAGAATTAAAGAGAGACATTTGTTTGCAGTCTCAACCTAAGGACAAATCTACAGCATCAGGTTATGTATTTTTTAAAACTCTAAGATAACAGCTGACTATTTTCAGGGTGTTGGTTGTCAGAATTTTTAATATCCAGTTGCAAATGGTATAAGGTTGAGTTGCTGAAGCTTGACTGTATCAAGTGACACTTTTCATATTTAAGTTTAATTGATTGAATATTCTTCAGTGTATATTTGCTCAGTTATTGGTCAAAGTATTTTTTTTTAAAAAGATTTATTTATTTATGCATACAGAATGGGGGTTCAGGCCAGAGGTGCAGGGACAGTGAGAGGATTTACCAGAGACAAAGTGGGGAGTAAAACAGGCAGATCCACTAGATACACTGCTGAGGCAAGCAGTGGGAGAGACAGGAGAGGTCTGCTGTGCCATGTGGGTCTGCTCCCTGGCCAGAAATAAAACTCATGCTGCAGTGGCTGGCAATAACTTGATAGTGCTAAGATTTAACCCTTGTGCCACCAGGAGGGGGGATCTGGAAAAGACATTTTTAGTTCTAAATTTTAGCTTCTTGAAAGTCAACTTACCTAACAACTATAATACATCATAAAAGAGATGTAGACAAATGAGAGTGAGGAAATTAATTAGTTAATAGGATAAGTATAAACCAGCAGTCATTTTCCAGAAGTAGGAAAGGAGGGAAGAAAGGCTTTCATTCCCAAAATGAGAATTGGAAATGATAGCAAAATTTCCATATGAAATAGGATTAGTTACTTCTAATTTTCTAAAGATTTGTGGCATAATTGGTATTATTATATTAGTCTTAGCTACTGGATATGCCCAGAATAGATAGCCAAGTCTCTTTTAATATTTATTTTGCATGTATCTTTACATTCTTAATATACTCTTAATTTGAGATATGTGATGAAGTGGTAATGTGGAATCTTCAAGTTATGGCCAAAGATCAATTCTTCCCTTCACCTGTTTTTGCAAATATAGTCTATGGGAACACATTTGCATACAGTCTATGGCTGCTTTCATGCTTCAGTTTTGAGTTGAGTAATTGCTGCAGTCACCACATGGCCTACAAAGCCTAAGAAATTATTTTCTGACTCTTTAAAAGAAAATGTTTGCCAATTATGATATATAATAAATCTCCTCTTATGTCATGTAACACTAACATTCTTGTAGTGAAGTAAAAGATCTTCCACTTGTTCTACTTTACATATACCTAATAATAATTCAGATATATTCTTTTAAGACTTGGTAAATCAAGACATAAAGCGTATAATCCCTAATTTTACTTCTGAAAAGAGAAGGATTTAATACATGGCTTTTCATATGTTAGACTTCCTAAAAGCAAGAAAAAATAAATTGGGTGCAGAGGTATAAATCATGACCAGGATACTTGTTGGTTATGGTATATAATTGATATAGATCAATTTCCAATCATTTAGGTTTTTTTTAATGATTTTGAGAGTTTTTTAAGCCTCACCATCCTATATTACAAAAATTATTACTTTTTGTTAAAAACTAAATTCTTTAGTTCAGAATATGGAATTAAATAGAATGGTATGATGAAAAAAATTTTTTGGATTTTCATCTGTTTACATTCTGAATGAATATTCCTAGTAGAGTCAAAGCATTTTGGGGCTATACTTAATTTTAGAAGTTTTTCCGTGGAAATCATAATTGTTACTTATTTTGAATAGCTTACAAAAATGTGTGTATGTTCTGTAGGAGGAGCAGGAATTAAGCCTTTCCTGGAACGCTTTGGAGAGCGTTGTCAAGAACACAAAGAAAGCCCAGCTCGTAGTACACCCCATAAAACCCCCATTATCACTCCAAATACAAAGGCCATACAAGAAAGATTATTCAAGCAAAATGCATCTTCATCTACTACCCATTTAGCAAAACAGCTTAAACAGGTATGACTTACAGCTTTTAACATTATTCATTATATGTTTTCAGCATAGGACCTGGAAATCAAATAGTGAACTCTGATACCAGCCTTTTTGACTGAAATAATTGTATCTTGATTTTCTTTATCAATTGTTTGAAATTAGGCATATTGTCCTGTATTCTATCTGTACTATAAATTTTTTAACCTTAAAACTGAAGAAAAAGTTTATTAGTGTTGGATTTTTTCTTAAAAATATTGTTTGGCTTTGGTGTAAACTAGAGTTTTTGATGGTTTTAGGAACGTGAAAAAGAACTAGCATGTCTTCGTGGACGATTTGATAAAGGCAACTTATGGAGTGCAGAAAAGGGTGAATACTCAAGAAGCAAACAGCTAGAAACCAAACAGGTAAAATCTTTGTTCACCTTAAAGATAGATAAAGTAGAAAAGTGAACTTAAAACAAAAGTATTTCCTTATTCCAATAAACTATGCCACTTGACATTCATAAATTCTTTAAATTCATACCAAATTATTCTCTTGTAATAATTTCTCACTCAGTGGAACATTTTACCATATTCATTGGTGACCTGTTTCAGATCATTTTTTAAAAAATATTCTTGTCACTCATTTGATTTCAGATTCCTTTTAACATTCTCCTTAGATGCAGCTTCTGAAATGCTTCTCAGAATCTACTTTTCTCATTTTTGATTGTATACTTTTCCTCAAATACCTGTCTTGACACCTAAGCAGATCTCTTACTCGCCATTCCTCCACATGTGTGCTTCAGTCCCATCATGCAGACTGTTTGCAGTTTCTCAGTGTTGCCATATTTTCATATATCTTTGTGTTAACTTGCCATTCTCATAATCTCATATCTATAGTGATGTCAGTCACCTCCCAGATCTCTTTACTCCTTATATTATTTTCTGCTGAATTCATCAGTAAACCTTCAATATAAACCCGACTTGTAAACTATATTTTTGTTTTTATATGCCTATTATACAAAATAATGAGTTACGGTATAGTTGTAAGATGAAAATAATAAAATTGTATTTCTAGTAGGTGCCAGTAGAAATAGAACAACATATTTAACCAGTATTTTTTGAGAAAGACTGGTTTTATTTTTTATCAGTTCTTTTGTTTACAACCATTTTTTGGTAAATTCTGATCTCAGCTCTTCCCTCACTTGCCTTTGGATGGATGTGAAATACCAATGCAACTCCGCTCTGTGCACTCCCCTTTCTTTAGAACTCTGTGTCCAAGTGGCTAATAAGAGTTTCTTCACTTGGCTCTAGTATCTTCCCCATGCAGTCACTGTCTTCATTTAAGGTTCTACTCTATACCCTATCATCTAAAACAATCTGAGATTTGGCTCCTTCTTCCCAACTCCTGACCCCTAGCATACACACACATAAACACCTAACACCTTTAGTGGTATATTTTCTAAAACTGTTACCAATTTGCCTTATCTGTATTTTTTTCCATTATTACCGTAATCACCACCATAACTTTGTATTGAACATCCTACTCCTAGTCTAGCTACCCCAGTTCATCTTATTCATCTTATTCATTGCTGCCAAAGAAACATGGCACAACGAGTTGAAGTGCAGCACTGTTGGGCTGTCCGCAGCCTCTGTGGCACATGCTCGAGCCCTGGCCAGGGAGGTCACCCACATGGCATGACAGACCTCTCCTGGCTTACCTGCTGCTCCCCTCAGCATTGCATTTTGGTTAATCTGACTGTTCTGGTCCCTCTTTCTCTGGTCAGTTGTCCGTCCTCCTCCTTACCTCCCAACCCCCAGGTCCATGCCCCAGGTCTTGTAATGTATAAATAGGTCTTTAAAAACAACAACAACAAAAATTTTTAAGGCATATATTAATTATATTCATATAGTCACTTAAGTTCTTGGAGAACCTCCCAAAGTCACCGTTAGAAATCTGTCTAAAGTTGGGCCCTCCCTGGTGGCGCACCGGGTTAAAGCACAGCACTGAGAATCTAAAGCCGCTTCCGCATGAGTTCGATTCCTGCCTGCCCCGGAGGTGACCACATGGTGTGGCAGACCTCTCCTGACCCACCCGCTGCTCCCCTCAGCAGTGTAGTTCGTCAATCTGCCTGTTCTGTTCCCCGCTCTGTCTCTGGTGAAGCCTCTCACCGCTCCTGAGCCTCTGGCCTGTACCCCAGTTCTGTATACACAAATAAATAAATCTTTAAAAAAAAAAAAAAAAAGAAATCTGTCTAAAGCACTTAACTTGATATCTAACAGGATCTGATTCCTCCCTACTATTCCTCTACATGTGTGCTTCTGTCCTGTCATGTAGACTATTTGCATATTCTCAAATGCCATGTTTTCAGTTTTTATTGCCTCTGCTGTTCTTATCTTCATGATGAACTCCTATCCATTAAAAATAGATCAAATTTTAATCCCCTCTAGAATGTTTTATTTGACTTTTCTTTTTTAGGAACCCCTCATCTTTGTTAATCATGTCATCCTGTATTTACCTCAGTTGAAAGATTCTTCTTCCTGTAATTGTTCTGCCACTGTGATAACCTAGTCCATGTTTGTGCTTTTAGTGTTTGACTCATGGAAGGAGCTCAATAAATTTGTATTTCAAGGAAGGAATGAATGTGCTAATCCTCTGTATCAGCATAGAACAAACTATTATTTTATCATAACAAAGTCAACTCTTGCTACCCCCTCACACACATATGTTATGAATTTTCATTCTATCTTCCCCCTCACACACATTTTTTTTTTCACCATCCCAACTCTTCTAGAAGGGCTGTCTTTTCTTGCTTCTTCCAATTTTTCTTCTCCCCTCTTGATCTCTTTATTCAGGCTCTCACCACTACCCACTCATGGGTCACTATGCTTACAGAATTCACCCGTGATCTTCAGTAATCAGTGTTCAGGCCTTTAACTTGACCTCTTAGTAGCATTTGACATTGCTGATCATGTTTCTGTCTGGAGCATCTTCTTCCCTTGATTGCCAGTGTGTCATATTCTCATGATTTTCCTTCTACAATTATGGAAGGTATAGAGCAACATTTCTTAAATTCTTTTGTGGGTCAGTAATTTCTGATAAACTTGTCAAATTCCTCTCCAGTTTACATATGCTTGTATAGAAAATTCTAACATGGTAGCAGGGACTTTGCCAGTTACTAGCTTGTATGTACATTTTACTTAACTCTTCTGAGTCTTGGTTTTCTAATCTATAAAATAGAGATTATAATATACTTAACTCATAGGGTTACTGGGAGGATTAAGTGCAGCAGTAATTAGCAAACTATTTAGAAAGATGACTGGTACATGTTAAAATTTATGTAAGTATTAGTTACTACTATTATTCTTGTTTGGTTATTTCTACTATTGCTTTAATCAGAGTCTTTTCAGAAAGAAGCAATGAATGTTTCTCTTCTATAGTCTTGTAAATGATTGAGAAAAGACTCAGATAAGGGAATTGCTTCTCTTTATTCCTTTCCTTCCAATCTGTTTTTGTTCTTTGGTTTCTTAGCATTTTACCCATTGAATTAACAGGTAAATAAAGTCCTGATATAAGAACTGCCACTAGATTTTATAGATGTGGGATAAAGTAAGTCACATAGAGGGAATTTCCTCCCACCCCCTCCGTGTGTGCTTGTACTTTAATTGGTTTATGTAAAACTGATATGTTATGAATTTTCATTCTGTCTTGCCTTTTAGTTACTATAAGGGAATTACCAAAGATATCAAACTAGGCCCTCCCTGGTGGCGCAGCGGTTAAAGCACAGCACTAAGAAGCTAAAGCCACTTCCACAAAGATATCAAATTAATTCTGAGGGCTTGTGCATGGCTGGCTCTTTCACATACATTATCTGCAATCTGAAGAGGCTTATATAGAATAATGGCTCTTTGTTGTTTCATTTAATAACATGTAAAAAAATAATTTGAGATATAAAATATTTTTTTATTTGCTTTTTGCAGGAAATTCACTGTCAGAACACTCCCCTCAAAAAGCATCAAGTTGTTTCAAATACCCAATCGCTTCCCAAAACAGAAAAGGTGACAGGAAGTCAAACACCAACAAAACCTTCTAGTACAGAGCCTACAGGTCAGCATTTTCTGTTTATGCTTCACTTAAGATGCAGCTTTCAGTCTACTCTACTTTTGGAAATTGGATTGGAAAGCAGAAATGCTGCTTTATTGTAAAATATTTCTCATTTCCACACACTATTTCATTTCTAGCCATGCAATATATTTTTTTCTTCATTTTCTTCCTAGAATGAGAACTCATACTCTTGATAAGAGTACATTACTACAACTTTTTTTTTTTGGAAGGAAAAATCAGTGATATCTATTAAATTATATATGTTCTATAAATTATAAAGTATATATGTTTTGATTGAACTTCTCTGCAAGTTTCTCTGTAAGTTGAATTCTTAGAACTAGTATGCAAAGATGGATGAAGAGCACCATTTGTAATAGTGATAAGATTTACATGACCTAAATGCAAGTATCAGTAGACTTTTAAATAAGTTATGCTAAATCTATGTGCTCAAATATTATATAGCTGCTTAAAAGACTAGGCTTTGTATGTAATAACATTTAATGTGTTTAGAATCTTAAGTTTTTTTTTAATTGCAGTAAAAACACATCACTAAATGCACACTTCAGTAGCGAAGTATATTCACATTGTTGTAGCATAGATGTACAAAATTTTTCATCTTGTAAAACTGAAACTATATCCATTAAACAATGACTCCCCATTAACTTTTCACGTCAGCTTCTGGTAATCACCATTCTGTTTCTATGTATTTGACTACTTTAGATACTTCATGTAAGTACAGTCATAAGGTATGACTAGCTTATTTAATTTGGCATAACATTCTCAAGATCTATCTGGGTTGTAGAAGGTGACTAGATGGCCTTACTTTGAAAGGCTGAATTATATTCCATTGTGTATATACATATATATTCCTTTTGTTTATTCATTATCCTTCAATGGATTTGTGAGTTGTTTTCATCTTTTGACTATTGTGAATAGTGTGCATGGATGTGCAACTACCTTCAAGGTCCTACTTTCAATTCTTTTGAAAATATATCCGGCAATAGGATTTCTAGATCATACAATAGTTCTATTTTTATTTTGAGTAACCATACTATTTTCTACACATAGCAGTCACATTATTTTATAATCTTACCAACTGTGCACAAGGGTTCCAGTTTTTCCATGTCTTTGCTAACACTTGTTAATTTCTGTGTTTTTGATAGCAGTCCTTCTAATGGGTGTGACGTGTTAGCTCATATGATTTATATTTGCATTTCTCTTAGGAGTAGTGCTATCTATGCTAATTGGCCATTTTTCTTCGAGAAATGTTTACTCACCACCTTTGCCCATTTTTATTTGATTTTTGGTTATTGAGTTGTAGACTTTTTAGTAATTTTGAATATTAATCCCTTATCAGGTATATGATTTGCAAGTACTGTGTCTCATTCCATAGGTTCTGTTTTCACTTGTTAATTGTGTCTTTTAAGATGTATTAGTTTGATGTCCCATTTGTCTATTTTGCTTTTGTTACTTGTGCTTTGGTGTCTTCCCCAAGAAGTCACCAATTCAAATGTCATGAAATTTTGTTCTGTTTTCTTCTATGAATTTTACAGTTTTGAGGTTTGCATTTAGATCTTTAATCCCTCTTCAGTCAAGTTTATATATGATGTCAGCATTCAACTTCATTCTTTTGTATGTGAATATCTAGTTTTTCCTACATCATTTATTGAAGAGAATGTTCCTTGGCACCCTTGTCAAAGATCATTTGATCATATATGTGAGGCTTTATTTCTAGGATGTTTATTCTAATCTATTTACATATGTCCTTATATTAGTACCATACTGTTTTAATATGGTTTTGTAATACATTTTGAAATCGGGAAATGACAGTCTTCTGTGTTCTTCAGAATTATTTTGGATGTTAAGCATCCCTTGACATCTCACATGAATTTCAGGATGCACTTTTCTATTCCTCAAAAAACTGTTGGGATTTATAAGGAACTATGTTGAATTCATACATGGCTTTGGATATCATTGCTATCTTAATAATATCATTTATTTCAATCCAGGATTTTTTCAGTCTGTAGAATCTTTTAGCAATGTTTTGTTAATGTACAAGTCTATCACCTATTTGATTAGTTTTATTCCTGGTAGTTTTCTTAATATCCATTTCAGATTGTTCTTCATTAGTTCTTAAGTCTTGAATTTTGTATCCTGCATCATTGCTGAATTTTTTTATTAGATATATATGAACAGAGATAATTTTACTCCTTTTTAAATTTGGATGCTTTTAATTACTTTTCCTAATCTGTGATTCTAGCTAGGATTTCCAAAGCTATGTTGAATAGAGATAATTAGAGTGGGTATCCTTGTTTGTCTATAGAAAAAGCTTTTAGTCTTCTACTTTTGAGTATAAATTAGCTGTGGGCTTTTTATAGCTGGCTTTTATTGTGTTGAAGTAGTTTTCTTCTATTAATAGTTTAGTGTTTTTATCTATGCTTTTTTAAAAAGTGAAAACTAATTTGAGATGATTATATAATATGATCACTTTCTGATAAAACAAAGGCATATACACATCCATACATATATACTTAGGAGAGACAACACTGGGAAAGTAAACAATAACCTGATGATATTTTTGTTTCCTTTCTCACTTGGTGGGAGGCAGAATGGGAAATAAAGAAGGACAGGTGTTTGGGGAGATTGTTTATATATTTCCAGATTTGCATATATTTTTTAAAATGCAGTTTTATATTAATAGTTAGAAAAAAGTCATAAAACTTCTTACTTGAAAATTTCTAGTTTCTTACATGTATTCATATTGTCTTTCTTAAAATTTTTTAGGCCTCACTGAATGTGAAATGACAAAGTCTAGCCCTTTGAAAATAACACTGTTTTTAGAAGAAAAGAAGTCCTTAAATGTAACCTCAGACCCAAAGGTTGAACAGCAGACTGGTTGGTTTTTTGGGTTTTTTTTCTATTTTTTCATATTCACTCTGGAAACATTATAAGAAATAATACATTGCTAGAGGCACATATTCAATTTTATCTTGTGTACTTCAAAATACCTTGTGATTTTATGATACAAAAATTAGCGAGGGAATGTTTTTGTTTCTACAAGGATATAGGACTGTTAATATTGATCTTTAGGTCACAGAACACTATGAGAATCTGACTAAGGCCATCACTCACTTTCATAGGGAGAGAGAATTAGTACTGAAGTCCCTTCCTTACCCTGCAGATACTGTTAGAGCTTATTTATAAGTGTTGCCCTAAGTGATGTTAATAATTATTATTGTTTACCATGTTAAAGGGCAGCTCTAAACAATAGAAAAAGTTACTTGAAAGAAACTTTTTTGTGAGTGTGACGTTTCCAGCCGTCATCTTGCTGTTTGAGTTTTTCCTTAGTATTTTTTCTTACAGCTTTGAATCAGCTTTTGATATTGTCAGATTTCATTGTTTGGAAATGTTATGAACTTTAGAAATCATTTTAGTCTCAGACATCAGTAGTATTTTATGTTTTTATCTCTTCGCTTTTTTTGGGAGGTGCATTTTCTTAGTGTTTTTTTCCTGTTAATTCAGTAAGCATATGAATGTTAGGTCTCTTCTGCTATCCTTTTAATTTTTAAAAATCTGAATTATAGCATCCACCTATTGAAATATTTTTCAGAAGTGGTACGTGAAATTGAAATGAGTGTGGATGATGATGATGATATCAATAGTTCCAAAGTAATCAATGACATCTTCAGTGATGTCCTAGAGGAAGGTGAACTGGATGTGGAAAAGAACCAAGAGGAGATGGATCAAGTGGAAGCAGAAAGCAGTGAGGACCAAGAAGATGGACTGAATATCTCCTCAATGTCTCTGCTTGCTCCATTAGCACAGACAGTTGGTGTGGTAAGTCCAGAGGTAAGAAAAAATTAAATTATAGGCATGGGGCATAGAGAAACTAAGGAGCAGTGGAATTTCTTTCTGTTTTAGTTGGTACGTGGAGATTTAGCCCTCTGTACCAGGGGTACTATGCAAACCTGATGTCAGTTGTCTTAAAAGAGAATTTTATACTCTAAAGTAGTTTTCTTGTGCTCTTAGGTAGAATCTCAAGTATAACATGGCTTAAAAGGCCAGCCATTTGGACCTAAATCTTCACTCTTGTGTGCTGACTATTAATTGGCCAAGTTATTTAATATCTTTACACAGTTCCCTTATTAGTTAAGTTAGTTTAAAAGTGTCTACATCATGGGATTCGTGTGACTTTTAAAATATATTAGTATACTAATATTTAGCACCTGACAGATAACTAACATTTATTTAGAGCTATTAATGTTAGTATCACCTTAAACTAAGTAAATGCAGTGGCTTGAAAACTGACTCAATTAGAAATGGTTTTTTTAAGTGTTACAAGTCCAGCTATCTGTGAACTTTTATTTATTCATTTACTTCTTAGGAATTTATTTTGTCTTATTTTTATGATAAGCCAATTGACTTTTTTGATATTTGTTTCCTAAGAGAAGAATTAATTCAGTTCCTCAGAATGATCAGAATCAGTGTCACCCATAAAATCTACTAATATCTGATGTATTTTCCTGCAGAGCTTCATTTCCTCTCCTCGACTGGAACTGAAAGACAGCAGCATAAGTGATGAAAGTCCAAAACCAGGAAAATTCCAAAGAACCCGTGTCCCTCGAGCTGAGTCTGGTGATAGTATCAGTTCAGAAGATCCTGATCTTCTTTATAGGTAAAATCATTTTTGGAAGGCATTTACTCAATAGGTTACAGTTTAAATTGACATAATCAAGTTGTATGATAGTTTATGACCATGTTATTTATAATTTATCTGTGTTAAACTTTGGAATAACTTTTGTCACCCTCTTTCACCAAATGGCATTTTCCATTTTGGTGAAGTCTTTTACAATGTCAGTATCAAATATTATTGATATATTCAATAAAGATCATTGTATTGCTGGATTTTTAATAGAGTATAACTTATTTCCTGAAGCATTGATGCATATAGATCTCAACGATTCAAAGAAACAGAACGCCCTTCCATAAAGCAGGTGATTGTTCGGAAGGAAGACATTGCTTCAAAATTGGATGAAAAAAGGAGTGCCTTTTCTTCTCAAGTTAATATCAAACAGAAAATGCAGGTATGTGCTTCTGTACAAATCTGTGGAAAGGAGATTTGAAATGTTTCCTACACAAGATTGTGAGCTTTTAGAGGACAAGTGCTTTATTCATCTTTGTACCCTGAGTGACTAGAACAGTGTTTGATGCTCAGTAGCTCAGTAAATCACTCTTGAGTTCAGTTTAAATGAGAAAGTTCTTTTTTTATGAATTAGGTGTTTTTGTAAGGAGGAATGTTTATGGCTTATTTTTACCTCTTAAATTTTTTTTTTAAAGATAAATTTATGTATGCATACAAGAGCTGGGGTGTAGGCAGAGGTGCAAGGGTTGAGAGGAGTCACCAGAGACAGAGTGGGGTGCAAAACAGGCAGATTGACAGAAATACACTGCTGAGAAGAGCAGTGGGTGAGACAGGACAGGTCTGCTGCACCATGTGGGTTAGCTCCCTGGCCAGGGATTGAATGCATGCTTCAGTGGCTGGGGATAGTTCATAGTGCTTGTGCCACCAGGGAGGTCCCTTTAATGTTTTTGGTACATAGTTTAGAACTTGAAAAGTATATCTGTAACATTTTTATTTTATTCTCTGTAAATTTTAAGTTACCCAATCAGATTAGGTAGAATTAAAGTTTAAATAAATTATAATATTAATGATTTAAAATTTGTTTTTTTTCCCTCCTTTCATTTGTTTTCACTAGGAACTCAATAATGAGATAAATTTGCAGCAGACAGTGATCTATCAAGCTAGCCAAGCTCTTAACTGTTGCATTGATGAAGAGCATGGGAAAGGGTCACTAGAAGAAGCTGAAGCAGAAAGGCTTCTTCTAATTGCAAGTATGTGTGTTACACCTGAAACAGTTCCTTCAACTCAGGAAAAATTCATTTTGTTCAGTATATTTAGAAACCTCCACTTTTAGAGAAATGCCATTTTTGAAAATCTGTTTCAGTTGATTAGCTTTTTGTTTTATATACCATAAGATTTGTGGTACATGTAAAATTAAATGTGGTTTGCATGAGAGATGAAGCAGTTGGAATGCTTTTGCAGACCCGCAACTGTGAAGAATATGTCAAAGATGAATATATGGATATTCATATATGAATATATGGATATAGGTGTATACATGCTTGTATGTATATACATATACTCTCATTATACTTTTTTGTATATAGTTTAAAAATGTATGTGGATTTGTTGTGTTTGTATGAGTGGTGATAGAATGAAAGAGCATATTGAGGTGAAGAAATTATATATCACATGAGAAAACGGACCAAAAATCAAAGTATTAAGGATTTGGAAACAGAAGTAATGATTTATCGACCTCTCTACTACTTGTTTGTGTAAAAATAATTAATTGATTTTTGTTGCTGGTTTTATGTGCACTTGCCACATCAGTCCTTTTTCTTGAATTAGAATTGTTTCTCATTTAGAACAGTCTTAATTTTAACACTTGGAATATTGATTTGTTTATTTCTACATAGCTGAGAAGAGAACACTTTTGATTGATGAATTGAATAAATTGAAGAATGAAGGGCCTCAGAGGAAGAATAAGATCAGTCCTATATCCCAAAGTGAATTTGCCCCATCCAAAGGATCGATAACATTGTCAGAAATCCGCTTACCTCTAAAAGCAGATTTTGTCTGCAGTACAGTTCAGAAACCAGGTATAATGATGTTTATTTGCATAAGTGGTAAATCATGTATTTAATTATGAACCTCAGCTACATTGAAATTGTGCAAATGGAAGATCACACATAAAGATGCAAAGCTTATTATTGGGCCTTTATGAATATATGTGTGTAGTAATAACTAAGGGAAATTTTCATACAAGGTGTTACTGATCTATACAATAAAAGGCATGGGACTAACTAAAAGTAGGCTATTTAAACATAATTTTAAACAAAATATATTTTCATAAGATGAGGTTTGCTGACATAGTAGGTCATTCAACTTTCATTAGTTAACTTTTATTGTGAGCATTGGGACATCTTAAAAGAACTTATCTTCCTTAGTCAGTTTTATTTAAAATTCACCCCATTTTAGAAATTTGTTCTTTAAATTCTAACTTACTGTTTATGGGAGTGAAGAGTGAAGTTGATGATTCTTCTATTGAAATTTTATTTCCTTTCCCCTTCTAGGTTGAATAAGTAAACTTTTCTAAACTGTGTAACCTAAAATTCACATATAAGCAGAGAGATTAAGGTGAACATGTTCTCAGAATCTGAAAGTTGGGCGGGGTAATTATAGCAAGGGTAATACAATTCAAATTTGGGCACGTTTTTCCTCTAACATTTATTTAAATTTTTATTTATGTGAAACATCCTCTTTGAGGAAAAAAAAGGGCTATGAGGAGGTTAAAAAGGGATTTTCAAGGAATAGGGAAAGTACAGAATAGAGATCTTTAGAGTTTGAGCATCAATATAGAAATGAGGTAATAGGTTCTAATTCTTGCTGTGGATTTTGGTGGTGTAGGCAGATATCTACTGCTAATTTAGTATGTACTTAATAACAGTGAAAAAATAGTTTGTTTTTATTAACATTTATCACTGAGTTACATTCATAGAAATGTGGATTTTAATCTCACTTTTGAAATAACCAGTTTACCTTTTTGAGGTACGTGTTATTTGCTATAGAAGTGTGTAGGGTCAAAAATTGAAAACAAAGGAGCAGAAATTGAGGCATGGAGGTGAAGTTATTTCAGTTCACAAAACTGAAAGAGAACTATTCCATGGCTTACAAACTAATTTATAATTCATTCTATGACTATTTGTCTTGTGGGTCTATAAAATGGGTTTTAGTAATACTAAAATAAATTTCATACAAATTTGCCCCATCCAAAGAATCAGTATTTTTGTCTACAGTACAGTTCAAAACCAGGTATGATCTTCCAGAATGCTGATTTAACTTGTACTTATTCTATGATGTGATTACTTCTTGCAGATGCAGCAAATTATTATTTCTTAATTATACTAAAAGCAGGAGCTGAAAATATGGTAGCCACACCTTTAGCAAGTACTGCAAACTCTCTTAATGGTGATGCTTTGACATTCACTACTATATTTACTCTGTAAGTGAATTGACTTTTGATGGTTTAGACACATATTTCTTTGAACTTAATGTATTTTTTTTATATAGACGATAATTCAGTTTTCAATTTGTTGACTTTATTATTTGTTTTTGATCTTTCCAGTAAGTAGCACATTTTTTTCTTGCAGCAATAGGTATTTAGTGTATTGAAGTACATTTATGTAAACACTTTATATGTAAATATAAAAATAAAATCTGGAGCATGAGTTTTAAATTTATGCTTTAAATCTCACGTACTACATAGTCAATCTCAGTGAAAAGATTCATGTAGTATTACAGATTTATTTTGGAATAAGAGAGTCAAAATCCAGTTTCAAAAGAAAACTTTAAGGTTCTTGAGTTGTAAGATACTAAAGAAAATATTTGAACTTTTATAATAGGAATAAGTAAACATTCCTTACCATTTTTTAAGTTATGTAGTGGCTTATAACTATTGTATTTAATTAAAAATACTGTAAATTCTTTTGCTCTCAGAGTCTTGTAACAGTATTTGTGGTATCTTTCATAATGGCATAACTTGATTATTTTTAAGTTATTTAATGCTTTATTTTTCCAGGCAAGATGTATCCAATGACTTTGAAATAAATATTGAAGTTTATAGCTTGGTAAGCAATTAGAATCTTCAAAAATAACTAGTTACCGTATTGTTTTTGCTAATTTCTGTTAATGGTTTTAGATTGCTTTTTGCTATTCTAAGGCCTATGCCTTCTCACATACATGTAAGATAAACTTAACTGTTTCTACAGAAATAACTAATAGTGTATTTTTCTTAAAGATAGCAGATTTTAAGCTGTGTTTTGGTTTTGTGTATAGGTACAAAAGAAAGATTCCTCAGGCCCTGATAAGAAGAAAAAAGCATACAAGTCAAAGGTGAAAAGAAAAGAAACCCAGTAAAAATATTATAATCAAAAAATATACAGATCATGTCACTTTAAATATATGTACAGTTTTTAGTGTTTATGAGGTTTTGGGATCATTTTTATATCTTAAATTTCTAGACACTGCATTTAATAGGTATGAATATTGAAAGTAAACTTACAGTGAAGTAATCATAATCCTAAGTATAAGCTACCAGTACATTACATTAGTTCATTATTTTCTCGACATTTACTTGAGGAATAAGTTTTAAACTTTTTAAATTTTTCTCAGACCTTTTCTCTGAACTCTTATCAAGTACTGTAAGCCAGTACAGAATGTTGTGATCAGGTGTAAGGAACGTCCTGTGTCGGAATAAGGAATAGAATGTCTAACTTTATTTCTAGCCTTCTGGATCTTTGCTTGTTTATGCTTTTTCTAAGTCATCATTTAAACTAATTTTATTTTAGCTCTAACAAAAAAGGTACAGTGGTGTGAGTAAAGTCTTAATAAAGAATTGAAGTATTATGTATTTATATTTAAGGATTATTTTTGTGTGGCAGTATTTTAGCATTGGTTAATTTTAAGTTTCCAATCATAATGATAAAGAAATATAATGTTAATCTTTTTTTTTTTTCTAGGCTATTACTCCAAAACGACTTCTCACATCTATAACTACAGTAAGTAAATTAAAAAAAAAAAAATTGAGCTCCCTTAGGTAATGTTTATCTTATTCATAAGATTGTAAGTTGATTAACCAATTTTAAGCACTACACATTATAGGAATCTGTAAAATATCCTGGTCATGAAGAGTAGGGAATCTGGTAATTATATAGCCAAAAAATTTTCTCATATGTTTTCTTGTATTATTGGAGTTATTTTCAATATTTAAATTTCTGTAGCAAATCAAGGAATAACATGTTTATTTTTCATACTTTTTTTTTTTAGAAAAGCAACCTTCATTCTTCAGGTGAGTGCATTTTGAACTATTAACAATACTATAATAAGGCAAAGAGCTAAGCAGTTGCATACTTTTATATATAAGCCATCTTGATTTATAAATGTTAACCTTAGTCCCCTTTGAATAATATTTTCTGTTTTTAATAACACATATGATTACTGGGCAGAATAACATGCTGTCTGGTTGTGCTTTGTCAGACATTACCATAAGTTTATACCACATTATTGAGGCAGCATTACTCATATAATACCTATTCACTTGGCAACTGCAGCAGGAGCTCTCCAACTTACGGATTTGTTTTGTGCTGTCCACATTTTGTAGTTTACTTCTACCTCTATTGAACATGACTGGCATTGTATCTTGTGAGAAAATCATCTCACTAGTTCACTGAGAACTGTGGTACCAGAAAGTCAGGAAAGGCCATCTCCTGAGTGGTTGTGGACCTATATTTTCCAGAAGGGATTAGAATGGAACTGATTTCTTTATCAACTTTGACTTTTGGTCTCTTCTTAGTGAAAGAGAATAGCTTGGAATAGATGAGAGTCTCTGCTGCTCATTGCGTCATCATAGGTCATAAATAGCAATGAAGTCTTTTCATATCTCTTATAGTATCTGATTCTGCATCCACTTCCTCCACTCCCTTCGTCCTAGCCTCCCCATACTTAGTGATGGAGGAAAATGAGATAATTTTTTGTGTGGCAGAAATTGCTAGTTTACTGAGACAGTACCAATTTCATTCTGTTAGGGTGGAGTAATGAATTATTATTTGCATTTATACAAGTTATTGTGCACTAAGCTTCATTTCCTTTTTCTTCAGTTATGGCCAGTCCAGGTGGTCTCAATGCTGTGCGTACCAGCAATTTCTCCCTGGTTGGATCTTACGTGCTGTCATTGTCTTCAGTAGGAAACACTAAGTTTGCACTGGACAAGGTAGTCCAAACTTATTTATTTACTTAATTTTAGCAAAATTAAGCGAATACCTCAGTACTTTCAAGTATTTGGAGTCTTTGGCTAAAAATATATGTTCTGAGAATTATACATTTTAACTAGGCATGGGTGTATATAAATGTTTTTTTTTTTTTTCACATAGAACTATTTATCCCTTGTATCTTGATAATTTAAATCTTCAAAGTAGTGTATGCTGTCACATCTGTCTAAAGAAGTATTACTTCTCACATATAGATATTAAGTGATTAGTCAAAAATCTTATCTGGCCCATTTGAAACACTATTTTGAAATGGGTAATATTTTACAGATTTCTTTTAAACAAACTAGGGAAAGAGACAATTTCTTAGAAAAGTACTTATAAAGCAAATAGATTTTCTTCTTAGCTTCCCCCACCAATTAAAAAGTTTTAGAATTCAGGTCTATGTGGTAATACTATTCAGCACCTTTTTTATCATAATGTGATATTATGATAAAAAAGGTGCTGAATAGTAGCACATCTAATTTAAAGAGTAAGAGAACTAGAGGCACACTATTCCATGGATTGACTCCTGCTATATAACACAATGGAATTTTAAAATATTATAAGATATTTTTGTGGGCAGAAAAGGGTCTTGATTTCTGATCTGCTAATAATTTCTTTTATCATTGAGCAGTGTCTTAATCTCTCTGCTATTTTATTTCTCAATATAAAATATTCAGTTAGAATACAAGTCTAATTTTAAAATTCTGTATATGTTTTTCTTTTAAATTGATAACAGAAAAGAGTCTGAAATTTTTATATTGTTAATGGCTAATGTGTATTTTAGTATGCTAAATTTTTTTAATTATGTGACTTTTTGTTTAGTAATTTAGGTAGCAAAACAAATTGAGTGATCTTGGATTTTTTTTTTTCTTTTTCTTTTATTTTGTTTGTTTTAGATAAATTATGATGTAAAAGAGCGAGAACTACTGGGCTATATGTTCCAGGAAAAGGTTGCCATATTTTCTTTGCTTGAAACTAATGAGGTTAAAAATCAATCTTTTAGTTCATTTCTATTTGTTCCACTAACCACTCTCATATGTTTTGAATAAGTAAGGACAGGATATAACATTTTTTTTTTTTTAGACTTTTGTAGATGGGTGTCTTTTTCTTTACTTTCATAAATTTTTAAAGTTGATTTTGACAGTTCTCTGTTTTCCCATGCATGTTTGGTATGTGGGCTTTTCTCCTATATTTTTCATGTTATAAGTTGTTTAACTTCCCTAGTTACTTCAACATTGATTTTCTGGATACCAAAGTTCCAAATTAATAACTGTTTCTTAAAACTATCAATATTGTTGATGTTATAGATATCAAAAGAGTTCTTGGTGGTGTTTTAGATAAAAGTAGAAGACTTTATGGTCTTGATTAGCTATTAGGTGTGTTGCTATATAAATCTAATACTGTATTTAATATTTTGAAATTAAAATGCATTTGACATGAAAGTTACAAGAAATATTACATATTTTAGAAGAATTTTATAAAGGATTTTGAATATCCTTGTGAAGATCATTTACAAACATATAGAAATAATTAACTTACCAAATGCTGGCTGGTGTTTTAAATTCCTGAAAACAAGAATTGCAAATTACATATAAGAACTGGGGTTCTGTGAACTGTATTAATTACTCAGTATTGTTACATAGCAAAATTTTTACATTCCTAGTAGATCTCATTATTCTTTTCAAGGACCTATTCCATTTATATATAAAATTTGTCCTGGATGGTCTTTTCTGAGCAGCAAGATGGAGTACATATTTGTTCCAGCCTCTTAGCGTTGATGCAGGAAAATATTTAAATAGTTAAGTATAGAAGGTCTTTAAATTGGATGGGAAAATGGAAGACTATCTGTACTTAAATAATAATCCTATTTAACCGACTGAGAATATTCTCAATTTAATCTTCTGACCAAGAATATTGTTATTACCATTTTTTTTTTAGTTTACAACACTTGAGTACAGAGAGATTAACCTGTAGACATTTTGACAGGAAGCAGCTAATTAGAACTTACTGTGTAAGTCTGTTTCTCCCAGCTAGCCCTCCTCCTTGACGTTGAAAATAAGTCATTTTCACCTTGCAGCAATGACTTTTGCTATTTTCAGTCAACACATCTTTTTTTCTGCTTTGCTTCATCTCCTGTTAAGCTCATTCGATGAGTTATTCATCTCAGACTTCACTTTATAATTTCCTTTTGGACCTCTTGGAGCTTCCATTTCTCTGTTGAAATGCTCCCTCTTCTTACCCATTTTTGTTTATCTTTTGTTTCCAATTATTTAACATTATAAATGTCCTTCCCTTATAATTCATCTACGGATCTGCTACTGACAGGTTTTTTTTGTTTGTTTGTTTCTGCTTGATTAAAGGCTTTTTTCACTTCTTATAATTTTAAAATTCTAAGTCAGATGTTATATTATAAAATAGAGACTGATTAAACTTTTTCCCCCTCAATTTGGACTCCTTTTGATATAATGAGAAGTCAAGCTGAGATTGACTTTAGATTTGGTTCAGCTTTTTCAAATGTTTTGAGAATGACAGCAGAATTTTGGCATCTAAAAATTCTGCAATACTACCAGATTTTTGCCCAATTTCCAGACTTGTCTTCAGTTTGTGGCACTGTACTTAGCAAAATTTCTGAGGTGCCTAGACTCTGGGCTCCTGGTGATGCTCATCTACCTTGAGAGTCTAAACTCGGCTGGTAAAGCCTCAATTGGTTTTTCTTTACTTTAAAAATGTATTGCCTCAGGCCTGCTTGTTCCTGCATAGGTCCTTGCTCCCAGGGAGTGAAATGATCTTCAATTTGGTTTCCTGTGAGGGGACATTCCCTACTGGAATTTGATCCACTTAATTTTTTTTTGTTTCCCACAATTCTCTAAGGACTTAGAGCAAAATAAGATTTTCTTACTTTGCCCAGTGACTTTGTATCTTAACAGTAGAAATAGTGTATTTTGTGATCTTTTACATCTAAGTTGGAAGTAGAAGTCTTAACATGTAATGGAATTAGAACTCCTTTTGTATACTACTCTTACCATACACACTGTTACCATACACATTAGGAGAAATTTAATGGACAGCATTTGGATATGCTTTTGTATGTCCCTGTGACTAGGAAATCAGCTGTGGTTGGGAGTGAAAAATCCTCATGTCATGACAGTAATGGGATCTACTATGGATTAGGCCATTTCAGACCTTCATAGTACATTTAGATAAGCCTTCTTCACATATTCAATATTGTCTTTCATGTCTAGGTCACCTCTTTGTATCTTTCTGCCCTCCCTGTAATGCAAACTAGTTTTGGATTAATTTTAGAAATCTGCTTGAAAATAGAATGGCATGTGCATTCAGTAAAAATTGTCATCATTTTATTTATCAGCTTTATATTATCTACATTAATAACATTTTTTATGTATAACCTAGATCATTATTTCTCAGAAAATTTGTTCTCTGAGGGTAAATTTATGTGTGTATTTGCATATAGATATGTGATATAGCATATATCAATACTTCATTGCTTCCTATAACTGAATAATACTCCATTATATGCATATACTGCAGCTTTTCCATTTACTAATGGGGATTTGGACTGTTCTTTTGAATAATGCTGCTGTGAATTTGGATGTACATCTACTTGTTTGAATGTTGTTTTCTGTTCTTTTAGGTGTATAATTAGGAGAATTTTTATGGGATCACTGGTGATTTTCTGTTTAACTTTTTGAGGAATCCCCACACTGTTTTCACAGTTCCTGTACCATCTGACATTCATTCCTTTTAGTGATGTGGGTTCCCATATCCCTACATCTTTGCCAGTGCATGTTATTTTCCACATACTTGATTATAGACATCCTAGATAACATGAAATAGTACTCCATTTTGGTTTTAATTTGTATCTCTATAATGAAGTAGCCACTGGGCATCTTTTCATAGGCTGGCTGGCCTTTTATGTATCTTTTTTAAAAAATATGAATTCAATTTCTTTGATAAATGCCCAGAAGTGGGACTACTTCATTAATATAGTAATGTTTTTTAGTTTGAGGAACCTTCAGATTGAAAACTTTTTAATTTTGACAAAGTCTAATTGGTTTTTTTGTTGTTGTTGCTTATGTTATTGGCATCATATCTGCGGATTCATTACCAAATTCATGATTGTGAAGATTTACTTCCCTTTAAGAATTTGTTTAAAAACTGTCATATTTAAGTCATCAAAGCACTTTTAATTTTTATGTATGTGAGGAAGGGTTCCATCTTAAGTCATTTGCATGGACATATCCACTTTTCCCATTACCATTTGTTGAGAAGACTGCTCTTTCCTCATTGAAGGATCTTACTTGAGACTCTTGTTACTCTTGTTGAAATTAGCTCAATTCTATTTCTTTGGTCTATATGTCTGTCTTTAGGTCAGTACCACATTGTTTTGATTATGGTAGCAGTGGATTAAGTTTTGAAATTGGCAAGGTGATTCCTACAATTTAGTTCTTTTTTCAAGTTTGTTTTGGTTACTTGGAGGTCCTTGCTATTCCATATTAATTTCCATTTTTAGTTTTTGGTTCTTTATTACTATGTAAAATTGTATTAACATACTGGTTGGTTCATCTAATTTCTCACTGAGTGTAGTCTTTTGTTGGAGAATGGATGAGGACATGTATTCTCTTGTTAAATCTGTTTTCTTTATCATTAACTTGGGACTTCTGATACTGTTTTTATCAAGTGCACCTTGAATGAATTTATTCTTTTCTGCTAAGGAGTTGGTGGCTTTTGGGCCACCAATTTATGTTCTAGCTTTAGAAAAAGCTGTGTGTTCAATGATATAAAAAATAAATAAGTAGATGTAAAAAATAAATAAGTAAATGCATTTAAAAAAGAAAATGCTGTGTTTTCAAGGTACAGTATTCTTTATTTAAGATTTGTACATGCTTTATTATTAAGAAAAATCACATATTTTGGAACTATTTTGCAAATAATTCGCCCTCTTTCTTTGTAGGTGCCCTTTCTATCTTCTTTGGAAGGTCACATTTATTTAAAAATAAAGTGCCAAGTGAACTCAAGTGTTGAAGAAAGAGGCTTTCTAGTAAGTAGCATCACTTAATTTGTGTATTCTTTTTTCAATTTTGTAGAATGTAAATTTGGTTGCCCAAAAGTATGTGTGATTAATTGGTTAAGTAAAGATATGCTGTTATGCCCAGTTGTTGTCTTGGAATATAATAAACCACAAAAAATATTTCCTCAGTAGCTTTTAGTTTAACTGGAAGAAATATAAGTACATAGGCAATTAAAATATAGGCAATAACAGATAGTGCTTGGCTATAAATTGGTGGCAATGATGAAGACTTAAATGAGACTACAGAAAGGGACAGGGTTCATTTGTTTACTATTGTCTGACTGCTTTTGTGCCATAACAGCAGAGTTGAATAATTGTAACAAGAAAACCTTTCACCAGCAAAGTTTACACAAAATTTGCCTACCCCTGACTTACAGCACTGTTACATTTTTACCTTGTTTTGTTCACTAACATGTTTTTCAATTAAAAATAAGAACTTTTATGTGAATTAGGACTCAATTATAGCCACAACTGAAAAGTTGTTTTTCAGGGAAAAAACAACTTTTAGTGTTTAAGTACAAGCTCTTCCATGGGAAAAAATCATGTTACTAGTTATCTCTTCCACAGTCCACTCCTTAACCAATACTACTGCTTCACTTGGCTTTAGAGTGTAATTAGTACTCCTAAAGCATATGCTGGCCAACTGCCTGACTGCAGGGAGATTATGCAGTTTCCAAGTATATTTCTAAGCTTGATGGCTCAGCAGTAGCCATGGAGTTCTGATGTTTATCATAGTGACCCATCAAGGTCTTGAACTGACTCTTTTCTAATTCTGTTTTGTTCTTATGAATAAAAATTTAAGGCCTGTTTTCCCCCATTAAGATGTCTCATTTAATTTTTTCAATATATAAAATATGATATTCTCATACTTTCCAATACTTGAAACATTTTTTTTTTAAAAAAAGATTTATTTATTTGTTCATGGGGAACTGGGGTACAAGCCAGAGGTGCAAGGGTGGTGAGAAGATTCATCAGAGACAGAGTAGGGAGCAGAATAAGCAAATTGACTGAAATACACTGCTGAGGGGAACAGTGGGTGGGTCTGGAGAAGTTTGCCACGCCATGTGGATCACCCCCGGGGCAGGCAGGGATCGAACTCACGCAGAAGTGGCTTTAGTTTCTTAGTGCTGTGCTTTAACACACTGTGCCACCAGGGAGGGCCTGAAACACATATTTTAGGAACATTTGGTGATTAGGGATACTATCATTTTAAAAAGCCTAAAGTTATATATTTATTTATACAGCATTACATCTGCCTTATACATTTTGATAGTGTTAGAAATCTGGACAATTTTCTGCATGTGAACAATCAGTAATTTTTATTACTAAGGCAAAAGAAAATGATAAAATCATGAAGATAGGTTTGAAAGTATGAAGTATGTCAATATGTTGAGATTTTAAAAATGTAGTTAACATTTGACCCTTAAAATTCTAAAGTCAGGATTTCTTTGACTTTTCCAGACCATATTTGAAGATGTTAGTGGCTTTGGTGCCTGGCATCGAAGATGGTGTGTTCTTTATGGAAACTGTATTTCGTATTGGACTTACCCGGATGATGAGAAACGAAAGGTAATATTAATAATATTGGCCAGTGGTACCCCTGATAGACTTTCATGGAATGTTTCATTCTTTGTAGATATTGGTCACATCTCTGAAACCTTTGACATGGAATGTTTTGCCTCTGTAACTAGTATTTAGGGAGTTACACAATGAGAGAACTTTCAGACAATGTTATTGGCTATATTTACTGGAAACATAATATGACTTGTTGGAATATTCCTTTTTTATTTCATTTGAATTATACCACATTTTTCACTATTATGGATAAAACAATGACTTCATTTATATAAACATCTTTGGGCACTTACATATTTGCTTAGGGTTCATTTCTTTTAGGAAGAATTGTAGGATCGGGGTGTACTCATTTTGAATTTTTTTTATTGTTATCATCTGATTACCTACTAGTAGTAGACCATTTTATACATTCATCCTCACTGTTGTAAGAGTTTCTGTTACTCAGCCCCCAACCAGTCAACAGAGATTATCATTGTACTCTCCAGATTTAGCCAAATTAATGTTTTAAAATGGTATCTTTCATTTTTTCATTTGCAATTTATTTTTTTACGTCATCATTCATTTTTGTACTATAATTGGTTTCTTCACTCAGGTGAGGTCCCTATAGTTCTCCCACAGCCACATCATCCATGAGCCATCATCATAGTCCCTTGTGCTCTCCCCTCCTCTGTGGTAGCTTTCATTTTAATTGCATATTAAAAATTATTAAGAGAGTAGGCTGTTTTATTGCTGTTTCTTAATGGTTTATGCCTATACATGTCCCTTTCCCCCATTTTTCAGAGCTGTTTGGTCTTAGGAATTTTTTCTTTGACTCTCATGTAATAGGGATGGCATGACTTCCAAAGCAGTTGTTTAACTTTATCTTTCATTACATAAATATTTACAGATGAAATAAGATGTCTAGATTTCTGTCTATAGAAAGAGAAGAAGTGGACTGTAGTTATATGTTAATGTAGTTAATGTTATAGCTAGGACATTAGCAATAGAATTATGCTATTCTTTTTCTTTTACGTGTTTGACATTTTCCATCAGTTTATTTTTTATATAGGCTAATAGCTCCAGGTGACATTTTTAGTTTTTATTTTATTGTCCAGTAATAAACAATAATAAATATTGAATATGCTTCTTCATAACTCATTGTAATTAAACTTTAACTTTAAATAAATACTTTTAAATTTAATTTTTGAGCAGTTTGTAAATTGCTTCATCTTACTGACTTAAATGGCCTTGTTTCTTTTTTACTAATAAATCTTTCTAAAATTTGTTTTTAAAGAATCCCATAGGAAGGATCAATCTTGCCAATTGTATCAGTCGTCAGATAGAACCTGCTAACAGAGAATTTTGTGCAAGACGCAACACTTTTGAATTAATTACTGTCCGACCGCAAAGAGAAGATGATCGAGAAACACTTGTCAGTCAATGCAAGGACACACTGTGTGTCACTAAGTATGTATTGAGCTATAACTATTTCTGTCAGTTAAGTAATTACCCAGTATGTTTTTATCACTGTGAAGAATATGATTCGTATTCTTGAAAATTGTATAGTCTTAATGAGAAACAAAATGTAGTGAGAATAACTAAGTTAATATAGATTAAAAAATATAACATCAAGTTATATATAAGCTAATTACAACTTATAATACAGCCTTTTTTAAAGATTTATTTATTTATGCATATAAGAACTGGGGTACAAGGCCAAAGGTGTTGGGGGTCATAAGAAGATGAGTCATCAGAAACAGACTGGGGAGCTGAACAGGCAGGCAGATCTACTGAAAAATACACTGCTGAGGGCTGTTCCCCACTCTGTCTCTGGTGAATCCGATCACCCCCCACCCAGCACCTCTGGCCTGTACCCCAGTTCTCATATTTATAAATAAATAAATAATACACTGCTGAGGGGAGTGGGCAAGAAAGGAAAGGTCGGCTGCACCATGGGGGTCAGCTAGGGATCAAATTCATGCTGCAGTAGTAGCTGGCGACAGTTTGATAGTGCTGAGACTTTAGTCCCCGCGGCACCAGGGAAGCCCACGGTGTATCCTTTTTTAAAGTAATTAGTAAACTGGGTTAAATTTGAACATTTCACTAGAAATTTAGACTCTAAGCATTATTCAAAGAGGTTTTACACATGCCTTCCTTTATATCCCAAAATATCATCAACTGATTGGTTTACTTAATAAACAATCTGATTTTACTCTGCAAAGTTCTGGTTGGAGAGTAACAGAATAATCATCTGGAAGTGTCACTTTTTTGATAACCCTAAGCTTGCATATAAGATGCAAAAGTTTATTGCTGAGAATGTGAGATAGACTTTTGTTTCGATGTAATCCTCAGTGTACAACGTTGTCGAAAAAAGTTAGAATTTGACAAGATCTATATTAATCAGGCTGTCGCTGGGTATTGCAGACAGGACGCTAGATAAAGCTAGTTTCTGATTTGGAAATACCAAAAAGCTACAATTAAGAAACTGGACTAAATTATAACAAAGTTGCCCAGGTATTGCCAGTTCTTCCTTTTAGATAGCTACATAGAGGACCTGCTCTTTGGAAATTTTTGGTTTCTAGATCATTTTCAAATTAATTCAACTGAACTCAAGGACTCCTTTTCCTTTAGGGACCTTTTGTGCAGCTTCTACTTCTGATAGGGCAGAATAATCAAAATAGATTTATAATAATTTTGTTTCATAGCTACTCTGTCAATGACCATAATCAGTGGGGTAACCCACCGAAATGTAGTGTTCAGGTAGTTTCAAACCACACCAGCCCATATTATCCTTTTTAGGCATACTCACATTTTTCATATAATCTTCTTTTGCTTGCTGTATATCCCGGTACAGACTTCTCCTTCCATCTTTGGCAAACAAAGATTGATCACATGTTGCTGTTACTGCTCTATACTTTATTTGCAGGTAGTTTTTCTCATTATAACATTTTTACCAATTGAGTAAACATTTATTCAAGTATTTGAGAGTTATTCTTCCTCAGTGATCCACCAAATAGAACCATAGCAAGTTTCTTAACTCTGCTGGTCCTCTGAACATTCTCCTTTGTAAAAAGGGAAACATAAACTTCAGAGTGACAATAGCAATTATTAAGTAGGCATACTTAACATATTGTTGAGCACATCAGATAAGCTTAACAGTGGTCACTATTGTTATTGCTAGTATTGTACTCTTTCCACTGACTAGCAGGAGATGATCAGCTCAATGCTTATTTATTCTTATTCCCTTCTAGTTCCAGTGGGGAGATAACAGAAAGATACAGAGTGATATAATATAAAATCTTTATAATATCTCCCTGTTTTCTAGAAAAATAGTCTGACTTGTGAATCAGGGAATTCTATGTTTCATCACTTGTCCCATCAAATTATTTGACTTGTAGCTAAACAGAGATGCAAAGAAGGAATCCTGATATGGACAGAAAGATTGGGTAGGCAAAGTCTTAGGAACTTTAGATAATTTATTATAAATAACACCTTCTGTTGGCATATAAAACAAAAATAATAGGAATAATATCTGGAAAACTTAAGAGTTCATGAGTCTGTAATTCTAGCTTTTGAAGAGCCTGATTCTGAGGATTTCTAGAAGCTTCCACATGCAAACGTGTGTTTGCTCTTGCTATGGTTTAGATGTCCTTTACTACCAAATTGCCCAGGCTAGACTACTTGGATGAGACAGTTATCATCTTTAATGTGGAAACTCCATAATTTACCAGGTGTAATCAGTATGAGTTATATTAGCTAACCAAACTGTGGTGAGGTGTTTGTTTTTATTGTAATTGGAGAAGTACCACATTCAGAGGATTCTTAACTCATTCACTAAAAGATGATACAGAGTCAATCATTTTACTGTTTTTTTTTTTGTTTGTTTGTTTTGTTTTGTTTTTCTTTCCTATCTGGAATACATGGAGGTATGAAATTGTAGAAAAGAATCCTGAACTTCTGTTTGCTTTTATCCTGTAGGAACTGGCTGTCTGCAGACACCAAGGAAGAACGAGATCTCTGGATGCAAAAACTCAATCAAGTTCTTGTTGATATTCGACTCTGGCAACCTGATGCTTGCTACAAACCTATTGGAAAGCCTTAAACTGTAGGGAGCTTCTATGCCACATAGAAGGTTATTGAGCTGTGTTTAAATTCACTTTAAGAGCATCAGATCTGTTGATTGCATTTTATGCTCTACAAAAGGCTATTTTCAATATTCACTACATGTAATACAGTATTTATGTCTTGTATGTAAAATCACCTGGTTTCTCCTCTCATTTGTTAGTGTCTGGAAGAAAATTCATTAAAAGTCAAATCTGCTAGGTTTAATTTATAGGCCTCATTTTCCTCAATATCATATTACTCAGTTTTTCTGGTAAGGTAGTTTTTTAAAGTCAGAAATTTGGAGTTGTCTTCTTGGAGCTTTGGATCTTGAAGTAGAAAGGTCTTCCAGGGGTTCCATATAGAAACTCTGACTTCTTGTTACTTTCTCTAGCCTCAGTTCTTTTTCTACTGGTTGTGGTCACTTGTTGATCATGAGGTCTTGTACTAAAGTACTGAAAAAAATTCCTAAGGGATTTCACAGAAACATTTTTAGTAATGGAAGTAAGAACTTTTGCAAAATAGCAAATGTACATTAAAATTCAAGGCTGCCTGAAAACAACAGATGTGGACATGGATCATATTGTATGAGATTTGAAGGTTTTATTTAGAAGAGATAATGATCATATGGCTTACATTTACTTAGTTACTACAGATGCAGTGTGGTGCACATTTTCATAGAACACAGAGTTTTAAAAATAATTATTTTTGCTATATAGCTTGCACAGACTCCAACTCTATGGGCATGTTAGCTCTTTCTACTCTTGTAACAAGAACAAATGTAAGTTGAATCATTTTATAAAAAAGGTAAACTTTACCAAGCTGCTATGTACTAATACTTTGCATGCCAAAGTTCTGTTTTGTTTTGTTTTTTAAATGTCCATATATCACAGTCTAGAAAACCCATTTAAAAAAAAAAAACTGTTAAGTCATGTCTTTCCTTTAAAAAGCTTAATATTTTTTTTTTATTATAAAGTATGGTAAAGCATGGTCCCAACTTTTAAATACACTTTGAATTTCTTTTAACAATTCTTTGAATTGTTACTGATTGATGGTCTCATTTATAAACACTAAATTCTGTTACTTCCTGTCATTTTTTTCATTCAAATGTATTGTTTCTTATGTGTATTATAAAAATATATTTTATGATCACTTACCTGAATAAATACTTGTAAATGACTTATAAAGTCAGTTATTTAAGAAATATTATTTAAATGTGTCATGTGACTGCTCTGCATCCCTAGGCTATATAGGCTTTTGGAGGTGTTATATTGACAATATCTCATCTATTTGTCTCTAGCCCTGTGCTCAGGTTATTGTGTGTTTTAGGGTTGCTGCTTAATAAGTAGGTAGATGAAGGATCCTTTTAAGAGGCATTTCAGCAGAATCTGGTAACTGGATATGCATTTGAGGAACTAGAGATTGATTCTTAAGTGCTTAGCATAGAATGACACGACCATCAGGCACAGATTTGATGAGATTGATGGGAGGGTCCCTTTTAATAGTTTATAGATTTGTATTTAGTTCTCTGTAGGAATTAAAATATCATGGTATAAAATCAAAAAAGCATAAAGAAGTTGCAGTAAAGTGTGTTTTCTCCCCTTGTCACCACTTTGACCAGTACTTTGAGAACCCACCCAGAACATGTATCATGCTTCACAGACATAGTTGTATTTTTTTGTTCATAAAAAAATATTCCAACTTAGCATATTTAGAGCTTATATAAAACTCACTTTTAGAAAAAATTAAGATGACTGTGGAACTAAGTTACAAATACCTGCTAAACAGTGGGAAATAATGCTCTGAAGTTTCAGTGTTATCTGTCCTTGGGCAGGTTGAGGGAGTGTTGAAACTTGGGAGTGTTGAAACCCTTGCAGTGGAGTAGATAAGATCATTTAGGGTGTATGAGATGAGCTAGAAAGCAAAGTAAGAACAGAAGAAACATTTTTTGGAGAAAAAGTACAAAAGGAGTAGTTAGTGATAGTCTTTTGTGAAAGAAAAAAATAAAGCGATGTCTGGTAAGACCAAAGAAGAATCTTCAGATTCTAACTAAAAGTCATGAGGCAGGTTAAAGAGAATATGAACTGAAGTTTGGTCAACTCAGTAAAATTGTTTAATAAAGAAGTCAGGTTATAACAAAACCCATAGAGGAAAGAAAAGAATGACTGATTTGATTGTACACACACAAAAAACCCTGCCTGATAAATGTCTATGAAAAGTTACACAAGCAACAGACTAGGAAAAAAATTAACTTATTTAGTAATCAAGTAATTAATATGTAATACATAATTTCCTATGATAGAAGCATTCACCAAGTGATGCTTTGGTGTTTTGCATGGATTATCTCATTCTATCTTAATGTGGCCTTATGAAACAGGCATTTGGGTTGTAACAGGGTGGTCCCCAGGAAGAGGTGAGGTTCCAGGTTCTCTGCCCTATCCAGCAGGAGGGTGGAGCTAAACAGGGAAGAGTAGAATCTGGAGAGGAGGAAGGAAGCAGAATGGAGAGCCAGAAGACCTGAGGGAGGCACATGGAGCCAAGACACAGGTGAAGAAGCAGCTCTTGTTTCTTGATCCTGGACTGGTTGAAACAGATGTGGGTGAGAGACCCGTGTGAAGGTGCACTATGATAGCGTTTATCTTGCTTTTGATTTGGTTCTTTTCCTCCCAGACTTGGGCACAGCCCAGGAATCTCCAAATCTGCCTCTAAATAGGTCCTTTCATCTGCCACATCAAGATAAAAAATACTCTAGCGCAGATGACCTTCAATGAAAAGAAACTTATGCAATTAGTATGTAACAGGAGACTAGAGAAATAATATACTTTAAAAGTTTCCAATTAAATACCTAAGGTTGCTCATCCCCTTGTGGGTAAATGCCCACATAGAAAAGGGGCAGAAGGGGGCAGGCAAGACTGAAAGGAAAAGAGCAAAGTCAAAATACAAGTCAAGATAAAGGTTGCCACTGTCACCCACCATTGTCTGTCTCTTTCAAGTGTCTCTTTCCATATCCCCTGGGTCCCAGATACCAGTCCACGGCCAAGGAGCAAGGGCAGCATCTTCACATGTCTCTGCTCTGTGTGCTCCTCGGGTTTTCTCTTGGTCCTGTCTCCTTTCTATAGAGATCACTTTGTTTTAGACAACAGTTATTAAGAATTGTCTCTAAGAAGAGCAGTAATCTTGGTTTAGGACGAATTTACATGTTGGACAAATCACTTTCTTTAAGTTGGTATTAATAAGAACAACATAGAATGTGTGTACAGATTAAGTAAGAAAAGATAACATATTTAACAACGAGTCTAGGATATAGCTATTAGTCGAGAAATTCTTTGTAATGGTTGCAGTAAATGAACCCAGCTGCTATAATATATCAAACCTGGACCTGCAGATGCCTCATCCTAAAAAGTCAACCCTCTCTCATTTCAGTGTCTTTCTGACTGTGTGGGACTCCAGTGATCATTTAGGAAGTAGGATCTTCATTTGATGATTGTGTCCTCTGGGCCCATTGGGTATCAGCATGCAGCCAAAAGCCAAGGAAGGAGAGAACAGGATAATATGTGGGAGGCTTTATTATTAGTTACCTCTCTTCCTTCCCCATTCAGCTGGCCAGTTAATGCAATCCCACTGTGTGATGTAAAGAGAACATGTTTTTGGAGAATATCCAGTTATTCTGCTAGTTTTATCCCTTTACTCTTTTTTTATCTCCTAAAATTCAGGGTTGTTTTTAATTTTTTTCACTTACTAGTACGCTGAGCTAATGCTGCTTATACTTGAGGGCCAAAAGTAGTTAAATATTTCTTTTTAAAAAAAACTTAAAAAAAATTTCACATAGAAGAGCTGGGATGTAAACCAGAGGTGGTGGGGATTGTGTGAGAGAATTGACCAGACACAGAATGGGGAGCAGAACAGAGAGATTTACTGAATTACACTGCTCAGGGGAGCAGTGGGGGGAGACAGGAGAGAATGTTGTGCTTTATGTAGGTTAGATTTGGCTTGGGATCCAACTCAGGACCTAGAAGTGATAGTGCTGAGACTTAACCCCTAGGCTAGAGAAAACTACAATAGTTAAATATTTCTAACGTGATGAAACTTTGTTGTATATTTGATTCTGGTGCAGTTTGCATCAAAACCCTGAAAGACAGCAAAATGTAGGCAAAGGTGATGTGAAATATGTACTCTCACTCATCCCTGAGAAAAGAATACACGTATACCATCCTTCTGGAAGGACCTTTGAATTTAGAATATTTATACTGCTTGATATAGTGATTCTGTTTTTGGAAAATGACCTGAGGACGTGCTGTGAAATACAGATCAAAACTTGATGTGTAAAAATATTCACCAGCGCTTTCCTTAGTGTAACAAATAATTG